CTGGAAGTGGCCTAAACCCCTCTAAAACCAGCCTGGTCGACCAGCTAAAACCAGCCAACCAGCCTAGGCTGGTTTAAGCTGGATTTTTTTAGCAGGGAAAGACAAAATAAATGAGCTATTAAACCAATTATATTTAAAACAGTTTTTAAAAAATCTTCTCTCTGTTAAACAGCACTTGAGAAATATTAGAAAAATAATTACGATTTCACAGGACGCTGTATAATGTTGTCTTCAGCTGCATCACATGTTGGTTAAGATTCACAAATGTACCTGAGCGTAACCTCAGCTCAAGTTCTCTTTGGTGTCATGGCACAGATTTCTGAAGGGGAATACATCCTCTGACTGAGCATTGGGATATGTTACTGCAATGCATTAATGCTGCTTTAATATTTAGTTGCAGCAAACGGCTTTCTGCTCGTCAGCTTATGTTTCTGGCTTCAGTTTTAGCTGTGTTGCAATAAAAGTGATGGCAGGACAAACCCATCAGAAGACATACTGTATGATTGATTGGCATGTGGATTAACTGCATGTGTGTGTGTGTGTGTGTGTGTAGACAGGTGAGACGGCCCTCGATCAGGCTCGTGAAAACAACAGTCCTGAAGTGGCGCTGCTGCTCACCAAAGCCCCGCAGGTAAGAAAAGCCCAGTCCCGTGTTCCTCCCTGATATTTCACTGACTTGCTCACATGACTGATGTTTAGATAGAGCTGCACATCTGTGCTGTGCTCTTACCTCTCAGATGGAGACAAGATCATGAGCCCTCCTGTGAAACTTTAACTTAGTGGTTTAACACTGATAAAGACGAGGCTGTTTCTTCATGCAAAATAGATTTGAGGTCTGAAATTAAATGCACAGTTGAAGTCAGAGTTATTCGCCCTCCTGTATATTTTTATCCCCAATTTCTGTTTAACGGAGAGCAGATTTCTAATAATGATCATTTTAATAACTCATCTAATAACTGATTTATTTATCGTTGTCATGATGACAGCACATAATATTAGACTAGATGTTCTTCAAGACACTATTATTCAGCTTAAAGTGACATTTAAAGGCTTCACTAGGGTAATTAGGGTAAAGTTAGGGTAATTAGGCAAGTCATTGTATAACAGTGGTTTGTTCTGGAGACAAAACTAATATTGCTGTAGGGGGCTAATGATATTGAGCTTGAAATGGCTTTAAAACAAGTAAAAACTGCTTTTATTCTAGCCGAAATAAAACAAATCAGACTTTCTCCAGAAGAACAAATATTGTAGGAAATACTGTGAAAAATTCCTGAATCTTTTCAACATCATTTGGGAAATATTTCCTAAAGAAAACAAAATTCACTGAAGGACGAATAGTGTCTCTAGAACAACAACAGGGTTAACACACTGTCTGTATTCACACGCAGAGCTTCAGTCGAGGACGCACCGTGAGGAAGAGGAGGGACAAGATGAAGACGGAGGGTCGAGCACAGTCTGTCCCGCGGGATGAGATGCTGCCGAGAAAGGTGAAGGAGCAAACTCTCTCTCAAACACTAAACAAGAGGAAAACACACTGAACGTTATGTAGGAGAGAGTTAATGATGGGGTTAATAATTTAGCGATTATACTTCCGACACTTCAGACCTGCATAACATTTTCAATAATTCAATCTCAGACACACTCAGCAGCACATTTGGCGCTGCTTGACATTTTGGCCGGACAAAAAAACTAAAAATCCAATAATAAAATGCAGGACGGAACGGTGGCTGAGTGGTTAGCGATGTCACCTCATAGCAAGAAGGTCGCTGGTTTGAGTCCCAGCTTGGTCATTTCTGTGTGGAGTTTGCATGTTCTCTTCGGTTTCCCCCACAGTCCAAACACAATGCGCTATAGGGTAATACAAAATTGGCCGTAGTGTGTGTGCGCGTGAATGAGTGTGTATGAATATTCCCTCGCAAAACATATTTGCGAGATAACACAAAACGTATATGCGAGGGAACGCAAAAACTTCCAAAAATATATTTACCCAGCCTGATCTCACGAGGAAACATAAGTATTTTATGTTTTGCCAGTTTAGTGGCTAATTCGTAAGAATTCGTACGAGTTCAGTCATACGAAAATGTACAATTTTAAAAAGGAGGCGTGGCACCCAACCCCTAACCCAAACCGTCATTGGGTGATGAGCAAATCGTTCTAAATTGTACGAATTAGATCATACGAATTTATACGAATTAGCCACTAAATCAAAAAGTTACGAATTGCCGTGAGATTGCGTTGGTTTACCTATCACTCGTTTTTTTTCTCCCACCCATTATTTTTCTCCACCATCATGTCCTTTCCGGGTCTCCGTAGCATTGCTTTATTTACTAAATCAAAAAAGTAATAAATAAACAATTTAGTGAGCATAAAAAGAAAATAGACGTAATAATAAAAATATATTTAATAAAATAATAATCAGAGAAACTATACATACATGAAAGGTTAAGCAAAGGAAATATTAGAACAAAATAAACCAATTAAATGATTATTAAATAAATAGATTGAGATATTTTTCATTTGTTTCAGTTTTATATTTTACTTTTAAGCCTATAGAAGCCTGCAATCCGCACTTTTAAATCATTTATTTGTTTCACAATCTCAGGACACGGTTGACCCCGTACATTCAGCTATCTGTAAGTGTATTTATTATTTTATAGTGACGACATTTAGTCACTTTTGTTTTCATTCACATTTTCATTATTAATTATGAGCTTGTGCCACTTTTCTCATTCATCCAATTCATTCAAGTACTTTTACTGTAGTATAGCATAGTATAAAAGGGAAACAAACCATCCCGCACACTATCAATACTTGCTGTATGGAAATGTTATTATATATGACGGTAAATATACAGGGTGGGCCATTTATATTGATACACCTTGATAACATGGGAATGGTTGGTGATATTAGCATCTTGTTTGTGGCACATTAGTATATGTGAGGGGGCAAACTTTTCAAGATGTGTGGTGACCATGGGGGCCATCTTGGATCCAACTTTTGTTTTGTTTTTTATAGGAAGAGGGTCATGTGACACGTCAAACTGATTGGGAAATTCACAAGAAAATCAATGGTGTGCTTTGTTTTGACGTAGCTTTATTCTTTCATGAGTTTTTTTACAAGTTTCTGACCACTTATAAAATGTGTTCAATGTCCTGCCTATTGTGTTAGATTGTCAATGCAACCCTCTTCACACACTGATAGCAACACCGCAGGAGAAATGCCAGCACAGGCTTCCAGTATACAGTTTCAGGTGCTGCACATCTTGTATCTTCACACCATAGACAACAAAGACAATGGGGCCAAATTCCCAATAGGTTTGATGTGTCAAATGACCCTCTTCCTATTGAAAAAACAAAAGCTGGATCCAAGATGGCCGACTTTAAAATGGCAACCATGGTCACCACCCATCTTGAAAAGTTTGCCCCCTCACATATACTAATGTGCCACAAACAAGATGCTAATATCACCAACCATTCCCATTTTATTAAGGTGTGCCAATATAAATGGCACGCCCTGTATAATGTTTCGGTCCTATGACCTTCATCAGACTTTAGGGCAGGGGTGGGCAAACTCGGTCCTGGAGGGCTGGTGTCCTGCATAGTTTAGCTCCAACACTAATCAAACACACCTGAACATGCTAACCAGTGTCTTCAAGATCACTAGAAATCTATAAGCAGGTGTGTTTGATTAGGACACCGGCCCTCCAGCCCTCCAGTTTGCTGCTCTAGGGAGCTAAAGTGTAGTTCAAAACAATGCAGTATAAACTACAATAGTATTCTTTCACACGTGAGTGATACTCTCTATGTACTCTTGAAGATATTTGAGCATGTTTAAACGTTGTGTCGTTTCTCCTGTGTGTGTGTAGTGTGACAGTGCTTCTCCAGCCCAGGACACTCACGGCAGTGACGGCTCTCTCCGCCGCACAGACAACATGTTTCTCACAGAGCCACGAACAAACAAAAACTGCCACAGGAAAGCCAGAGACAGGGTATGTCTTTATCTATAAAGCAATGTCCGATCAGCTGGGAATTGCTGAGCAGTCTGATGGGGTTGTGTGTGTGTGTGTGTTGTTCAGCTGTCTCCATCAGATGCCCTCATTCACAGACCAAATAAACAGAGCGATCCTAAGAAGAAGAGTAAGACGGAGAGATCGTCTCCATCAGCCGTTCCTCCTCCTCCTCCTCATAACTACAAGGCGTATCAGCTCTACACTCTCTACAGAGGAAAAGACGGAAAGATCATGCAGGCGAGGAAACAAACCGCACCACATCAGACTGCTGTTAGAGCATGCAGAACAACAGTTAACCTTATTATTAAAGGGGCAGTTCACACAAAAATCAACAGTTAAATCCGTAGTAGGGTAAAACACACTCTGAAACTCAATGAACAGAACATCTTCATTTGTGTTTAACAGAAGAAAGCAACTCAATTGAACAGGTGGAGGATGAGGGAATGGGGACAGTATATACAGTTAAAGTCAGAATTAATAGCCCCCTTTAAATTTCGTGGTCAAATGTTTCTCATATGATGTTGAACAGATTCAGGAATTTTTCACAGTATTTCCTCTAATATTGTTTCTTCTGGAGAAAGTCTTATTTGTTTTATTTCAGCTAGAATAAAAGCAGTTCTTAATTGTTTTAAACCCATTTTAAGCTCAATATTATTAGCCCCTTCAGCAATATTAGTGTTGGATTGACACACATTCAGTAATAATTCACACAGCGGCAAAACTTGAGCTGTTTTGAAAACGGACTGCAGTACCTCAGTGTGGGAACAGCTGATGGTGGCTACAGCAATGACAATCGCCTTGGAATCTCGAGTTCAGAAACTCATTCAAATCGCTAAAGGAAGAAGCACGCGTCACATTTTCGGCAAGGTTTTAGGGTGCTTTCACATCTGTAGTTTGCTTCATTTGGTCCGGACCAAGGGTAATAAATGATGCATTGCTGCATCTTCTGCCGTCTTTGGGTCGTTTTCACACCACACTGCTGGCTTTAGTCCCAACCAGTTGAAACAAACCAAAATGCAGTCATCTGACAAAATCCACATCTCTCATTGGCCAGATGATGTTGAACATATTTCCTGAACTGCTTATTGATTGGTCAGAATTCACCTGCAGAAAATGCCAATGAACTCCCGCAGGTAAACAAACCGGCAGACACAAAATGTTGTTTTTACTCTGGAGGGACGACTGCGCTGGCTGATTGTATCCCTGCTTTAGACAAACTATACATTACGAGAATGAAGCGCGGCCGCGGCTGGAAAACAGTGTTTAATGCATCGCTCGTCACTTCAGGAGGAGGCGTGAATTAATTTAGCTAAACTGCGACATGCTCATCTTGCGGAAATATTACCAACGATCCATCAGGTAATGTTTTCCTCTCTTTCTCTCTCTCTCTGTTGGTAAAGCGCTGTCAACAAATATTTTTCCTCCATATCCCATAATGCACAGCGCATCGGCCTACGGCAGCTGAATTAGTCCAAAATGCGCAGTACTTTTTGCGGTTGGACCTGTTTTAGTACGGATCATATTCTCACCACAAACGAACCGCTCCAGGGTTCGTTTGAAAGCGTACCGAGAGCACCTCTTCAAGCAGGTCTCGGTACGCTTATTTGGTCCGCTTTTGGTGCGCACTCGAGTACGATTGCTGCATTCTCACCTGCCCAAACCAACCGTACCAAAAGGGGAAACGAACTCTAGTGCGATTCAATCCAACTAAATAAGGCAGGTGTGAAAACACCCTTAGATGCAATATGTTAACAGCCCCATACAGATTTAACCTGAGAGATACAGTCCAAGCACTGATCTGTAATAGTTATGTGATTACAAGCCGCGTAGATCGATTACAACTTATAACACACAATTAAACACAAATTTTGCAAACTACAGAAAACAAGCATGGATGGTAATTTTCAAAAACTCATAACAGGAACTCTTTAAATTATAGCAACATATATATTGCCCTGATTAATTAGTGTCATATATCTTGCATTGATTTTTAAAAATCAGCTTCAGCCAGAGAAAAATAATTAATGGTCGACGTCAATTTCCTAAAAATCATTAGGAATTATCAAATAAAAAGACTTTATTAATATTTACTCGATCTCATGAGATAAATGGAGAAGTATTTGACTGTATTTGTGACTGGTGTGTGTGTGTGTATATTACAGGCTCCTCTAAACGGCTGCAGATGTGAGCCGCTCATCAGTAAGCTGGAGAATCAGCTGATGGCCACTAAAGAGGAGATGCAGTCGGAGATCCACACCGTACAGGAGCTCATGAACAGCAAGATCGGCCAGATGGACCGCAAGAGCAAACATCAGGTCAGTATGCCATTCAGAAGAGCTCAGGATACTCACACGTCTCAGTCTTAAAGGAGCACTACACTTTTTTTGGCATCTCTAGAGTCGAGTTTCACCATTTTTCAATCCATTGAGCCGATCTCCGGGTCTTGCAGGAGCACGTTTAGCTTAGCTTAGCATAGATCATTGAATCGGATTAGACCATTAGCATCTCGCTCAAAAATGACCAAAGAGTTTTGATAATTTTCCTAATTTAAAGCTTGACTCTTTTGCAGGTTCATCATGTGCTATGACTGACGGGAAATGAAAAGTTGCTATTTTCCAGGCTGATATGGTTATAGGAACTAAACTCTCATTCTGGCGTAACAATCAAGGAATCTTGTTTTTGTACCATGATTGCAGGAGAGACACTGTAGTAATAATATCACTGCCTAAAATAGTTCTCAACTAGATAACTAGACCACAGTCTGGTCAGTCTTTGTACACGGTGTAACTACAGCAGAGACAAGCTTTAAACTCTTTGGTAATTTTTGATTAGGATGCTAATAAATAAAGCATAAACAGATAAATAGGTGAAGTAAAATAGTGTCCAATAGGTGAAGTGTAAATGGTGTCCATTAAATGATTCACTTATTCAAAAGATCCTTTCACAGTGAGTCTCCAGCAAATGATCTGTTTTGGTCAGGGGTGTCCAAACTCTACCCTGTTGTTGTTGTGCAGATCAGAGCTCTGGACAAGATGACATTAGAGCGAGTGTCTGCAGAGAGGATCGAGTGTTTACACCGCATCGACAAGAGAGCTGTGCAGGAGCGTCTAGAGGCCGAGAAACGACAGGTAAACATCAGCAATACCTTTAAATTAACCAATACCTTACCAAAGTTTCCAGTAAATGATTCAAATGATCCATTCAGAGTGAGTCTCCAGTTAATGATTCACTGATGCAAATGATCCACTCAGAGTGAGTCTCCAGTAAATGATTCACTGATTCAAATGATCAATTCAGAGTGAATCTCTAGTAAACTATTCACTGATTCAAATGATCCATTCAGAATGAATCTCCAGTAAATTATTCACTGATTCTAATGATCCATTCAGAGTGAGTCTCCAGTAAATGATTCACTAATTCCAATGATCCATTTAGAGTGAGTCTCCAGTAAACGATTCACTGATTCAAATGATCCATGCAGAGTGAATCTCCAGTAAATTATTCACTGATTCAAATGATCCATTCAGAGTGAATCTTCAGTAAATGATTCACTGATTTAAATGATCCATTCAGAGTGAGTCTCCAGTTAATGATTCACTGATTCAAATGATCCACTCAGAGTGAGTCTCCAGTAAATGATTCACTGATTCAAATGATCAATTCAGAGTAAATCTCCAGTAAATTATTCACTGATTCAAATGATTTATTCAGAGTGAATCTCCAGTAAATTATTCACTGATTCAAATGATTCATTCAGACTGAGTCTCCAGTAAATGATTCACTGATTCAAATGATCCATTCAGAGTGAATCTCCAGTAAATTATTCACTGATTCAAATGATCCATTCAGAGTGAATCTCCAGTAAACGATTCACTGATTCAAACGATCCATTCAGAGTGAATCTCCAGTAAACGATTTACTGATTCAAATGATCCATTCAGAGTGAATCTCCAGTAAACGATTCACTGATTAAAATGATCCATTCAGAGTAAATCTACAGTAAATGATTCACTAATTCAAATGATCCATTCAGAGTGAGTCTCCAGTAAATGATTGGGCTAAACTGTGACCCTTAAATAAAGTTGTAAAAACAATATTCATTCTGTCTCCACTGCAGCATGACTTTATATTCTATACTGGACATTATTTCTGTTATGATCATTCAGAAATATTATTTACTTCAAAGCGATATGCATTAAGTGCAAGAAGCCTGTTTCCTTCTGTTTGCAGTGTATGTTAGTCTGAGTTCTGCCTCTCTGCACACAGACATCAGTGGTGAAGGATCTGAAGAACTGGTGTCTTTCTAAGATCCAGAGTTTGGAGACTCGTCTCTCAGGTGAGCGTGTGGACAGCAGGTTACAGCGCTCCTCGTCCCTCACAGACACACTGTCGGACTGCACCCCCGTCCTGGAGCCGTCTAGAGCAGCCCCGCACCCGTCTCCATCAGCAGAGCCCACAGATGCAGGAGAGACGGCCGCCGCCAGCTCCTGTGCTGAGGACGCTCCGGCCAGATACTACGTGATAGAGGTGGACGCATCAGCAGGTACTACAGACTGACCACACACAGGAATCAACCTTAGCCTATATTTAAGCGAAGTGTTCCTTTAAGACTAGACCTTCTCAAGTGTTTCTCTGTGTTTTCAGACAAGCCCTCGTCCCAGAATCAGTCTGCGCCTCAGTCTCCTTGTATAGTGCGTCCTAAGCAGCGCTCGAGGGCCTGCAGTGACCCTCACCAGCTGCGGGACGAGTCTGAGGAGCGCAGTGTGGAGCCCAGACCTGCAGCCGAGCACAGGACCATCAGGAGACACAGAGCCAAGAGCAAACCCAGCGCTCAGAGCCTGACGCTACAGACCTGTCCTGCCGCCGCAGAAGGGGCGTTCGCGCAGGAGCGGGACAACATGCATGCGCTGGAGGTCACGCAGTACTTCTTCGAGGCGGTGACCCTGCAGATGGAGCGCTGGTACGAGAGGAAGATCGAGGAGACGCGGAGGCAGGCCGACCACAGGGTGCAGGCCGACAGAGAGCTGCTGCTGGACCGAATACAACACCTGGAGGACGAGCTGCGCCTGCTCAGGATGAACACACAAGACGGATAGACAAACACTGGAGGAAAGACTTCTGGAGGAAACACTTCTGGAGGAAGGACTGGAGGAAACACTTCTGGAGGAAAGACTTCTGGAGGAAACACTTCTGGAGGAAATACTTCTGGAGGAAGGACTGGAGGAAACACTTCTGGAGGAAACACTTCTGGAGGAAACACTTCTGGAGGAAACACTTCTGGAGGAAACACTTCTGGAGGAAACTTCTGGAGGAAGGACTGGAGGAAAGACTTCTGGAGGAAAGACTTCTGGAGCAAGGACTTGAGGAAAGACTTCTGGAGGAAACCCTTCTGGAGGAAAGACTTCTGGAGGAAGGACTGGAGGAAACACTTCTGGAGGAAACACTTCTGGAGGAAACTTCTGGAGAAAGGACTGGAGGAAACACTTCTGGAGGAAACACTTCTGGAGGAAACACTTCTGGAGGAAACACTTCTGGAGGAAGGACTGGAGGAAAGACTTCTGGAGGAAAGACTTCTGGAGCAAGGACTTGAGGAAAGACTTCTGGAGGAAACCCTTCTGGAGGAAAGACTGGAGGAAACACTTCTGGAGGAAAGACTTCTGGAGCAAGGACTTGAGGAAAGACTTCTGGAGGAAACCCTTCTGGAGGAAACACTTCTGGAGGAAGGACTGGAGGAAAGACTTCTGGAGGAAACCCTTCTGGAGGAAACCCTTCTGGAGGAAACACTTCTGGAGGAAAGACTTCTGGAGGAAGGACTGGAGGAAAGACTTCTGGAGGAAACCCTTCTGGAGGAAAGACTGGAGGAAACACTTCTGGAGAGCAGCTAACACAAAGTGTAGGAGCTTCAGAAGTCCACGTTTTTCCTTGAGAGCAGACAGCAGGAGGGTCTGTGGTGTTTTCATGCAGGATTCTTTTATTCAGGACTTCTGGTTGCTGGAGTCATCCAAGTCTGAGGGAGTGTTGTCCCGGCTCACACTGTGCCATTTGTAATAACCCTAAACTATTGTAGCTTGACAGACTGCCAGAATCTCACGATCTCCATGTGACACTGTAGTATCTGAGTAAAGACGTGCCAAACACACCGACACAAGGCAAAACTCACCCAGAGTTTGACGTCATCCCTCCGTGACTTTCACTGTCCTGCGTCCTGACATGAATCCTTCTCGAGACACATTAACTGAAGTGGTCATTGTGCTCTCAGCGTGCCTTGATGGTAAAGCCAGTGGTAAGCTGTTTTGACATGCCCCTATGGTGGTTTGAAGTTGTCGCATTGATTGAGTCGATCTTGAATCACTGCAGGGTCTTCTGAATCTGCCAGAACTTCATCAGAGGGAAAATCTGATCACGATGGCCTCTAAGCCACCACAGATTTTAGCCCAGGATTACTGGAATCTGTTAGGATTTCCCAAATTTGTCTTTCCCAGATTTCTTTACAATTTAAAACGGCATCTTTGGAGATCTTTTCTGCTTATCCTAAAAAACAAAACAAAAAAAAGTTAATAAAAAATCTTAGACATACTTTAGGATGCCTATCCCATGCCTAGTCCTGAGAGCATCACTTCATTCAAAGATTCACCATCTACACCACTGTTTCCCAACCACGTTCCTGGAGGACCACCAACACTGCATGTTTTGGATGTCTCCTTCATCTGTCACACCCATCACAGGTCTTTCAGTCTCGGCTAATCAATGAAGCTAAATCAGCTGTGTTTGCTTCAGGAGACATGGAAAATGTGCAAAGCTTCATGAACGTGGTTGAGAAACACTGCTTTACGCCACGGTTTTCATCTAAAAACTTCAAATCTTAGTTGCTTTATTGAGAGCATGAAAATGTGCTGTTGCTGTCTCAATATATATGACAGAAACATGATTCTGTTAAAAACAGTGACATGATGCACGTGTATCATGTGCTTCATTACAAAGTGACATCACTACTGACCTGTGACGCAGTGTTTTTTATGCATCTGTGTGAACCGGAACCTTCTGATCATGTCGTTTGCATGCAAAACCTGCATATATCTACTGTTAAAATGTTCAGAAGCGACCCAAAACAGAAAAGAGATGGTCAGTATGATTTCAAAGTGACGTCTTTAATGTTTTTTAATCTTTAATCCACTACATTCAAATGTTTGTCGTCTGTCTTGACGGATGTTAACCACTAATATGTGATGAGCTGCTTGTTTGTTTGTGTAGATGTGCAACTACTAGAGTGATTGTTTACAGTCTGCAGCTGCTGCAAAGGGATCTGTATTGACCGTCACGTTCAGCTGCTCTTCTGTACGTCACTAATTCATCTTGAATAAACTGTGTCGATGTAAACGTGGAAGAGAAACCGCTGTGCCTCTGGCTGGAGATTGTTGTGTATCTGACGGCCAATAAGGCTCAGGGGTCCGTTCTTCGTACGTGGATTACTCAGTTAGCTGGATTTGGATATTGACGATTTGGCACGATCCAGGATCATTTCGTTCTTCAAAGCTGATCCGAGAGTTGTTGTCATGGCAACAGTTCTGCTAGGTCAAACCTGATCGGGAGCAGGTTCAATTCATATAAACAGGATTAGATCGGCTCAGTTCAAGCAAAGATAATACAGAAAGTATGTTCCCAATTCTGATATTTTCTTACAGTAGTAGTTATACACTTGGGAAAATGGTACATATTTTTAACTATATATATAAAGTTATAGTCATTAATAAAATAAATAAAGCTATACATATTAATAAAACGTATGCAATCTGCACCCTCGAAATGAAAGTACAAAGACTGCCACCTGGGGGTGCAAAAAGAAAACTTATTGTATGAACTTTTTAGATCGCTTTAGTACAAATTGTGTGTAATAGAAATGCACAATATGTGACTTTTTTTAAAAGCAATAATACGCAGTTATAAACATGTTTTGATTGTTAATATGCCAGTGATTTGATGCTTCACAAAAGTTGCAGACGCCTTTACCAATATCAAAATGCTTTTGTAAACAACCAGTTATTCTTTACACAGATTAAAAAAATGGTTACTACAATAAAGAAAATATTTTCTAAATGTAGAACTAAATACATTGATTTGCATTGAAATACACGATGAATACTCTCGACACATGAAAGTGTAAAGCCTGCAGCTCACAACAAATGTGGAAGGTTATTGCGTGTCATATTTAACGCACCGTTTACTGCTAATTTGATGTAATTTTGCTCACATGGATAATTGAATATTAATCAGATGATGTCATTACGCTGCTTTGCCGTCAGCCAATCGTTGCATTGCTGATCATGATTTCGAGGATCGATAGATCTGTCCTTCACAACACACGCAGCGATCTCAGATCAGTTCATCCAGACATTCTAATCTGATTCGCGAACTTGTTTGAAGAACCAAATTAGCGAGAAATCAGTTATCAAGATTAAAAGATCCAGGATCGGCAAAATCATCTTAGATCATTTAAGCGAGGTACGAAGAACGGACCCCAGATTTAGTGTCTAAAATAATAATGCTCTTGACAGAGAGTCGCAACAGTCAGACATGTTTTTGTTTTATATATAGATTATTAGCATATGCAAATGTGTTTAATAAAGTCACCGTTCAGAACAGCAAGAGACAGTGGTTTACTACTAAAACAAATGTGGTTCTGTTTTTGAATTGAGGATAAACATCTGTAATTGACACACGCCGGGAATACATTTACATTTATTAACAGAGTTGGCATAACTCATCAACTAATGGTGTATTATCCTAAACATTCTGAAGAAATTATATATATATATATATATATATATATATATATATATATATATATATATATATATATATATATATATATATAAAACACACATTAATTATTTAAACGCAAAACCAAGAAAACCGCAATTCACAAGCGCGTATTGAACTGTGGAGGCTGTACTGAATGGTTCAATATTAAATTGATAACCGTGGCATCCCTAGTAAAATTAGTAGTTGTACCGAGTATTATTTATGCTACTTATTAAATTACCCAATATATTGTATTTTATAAACGTCTACCCCAACTCTAAACCCAGCCATCACAGCACTGTAAAATACGAATTATTGTTATACAGTGTCATAACACCCATTCTGGTCTAAGGACATCTTTGATTAACTCTTTTAGATTTACATTATATGTGGAGTATGAGACCAGCATCACTTGCTGAGCTAACCTAACTACTTTAAATGTTTTTTTTATGTATTCACAAGTATAATTGTATAGTTGGAACTTACAAACATCACAGAATTATTATTCATAAGGTGACAGGTGTTTATTAATGTAAAATACATATTTTATACAAACAACAGCATAATACAGACTGTCATAACAAATTAAAACAATGAAAACAACCGGCTGGATGTACTTTATCCCGCTTATTACAATGGCTACCTGCCACAAACAGTATATATAGGTTGTTTTCACCTAACGGCAGTGCCTAATTTGTGAATTGCGAGGTCCCGGAACAAATCTGGAGAGGTGACGCGCACGAAAGTGGAGAGCAAGGGAGGAGGGGGAGGGTGTTTTGGATGGCAGAGGGGTGTGTGTTGCGTCACGGACGAAAGTGAAGAGGGTTGGGGAATTGCGGGAGAAAGTGTAAGTGAACAGTGGGCGGTTGAGGAGTGAGAACGCTAAAATCAGGTGACAGATCAGATTTCAGAGGTGTCGAAGCCGGGTGCGACGTGTTCCGGCACAAATTAAACCCTGCATAACGTCATTGATGATGTGTGAAATTCAGATGGAGGGCAGGAAGTGGTTCTTCTACATAGGAATCGCTATCAGAACATCAAAATATTTCTGTTTTATGTTGTTCTAATTGTTTAAATAAGAAATGCAGAACTGTTTTTATGGACTACGTTAATTAATTAACATTCATTCATTTTCTTGTCGGCTTAGTCCCTTTATTAATCCGGGGTCGCCACAGCGGAATGAACCGCCAACTTATCCAGCAAGTTTTTTACGCAGCGGATGCCCTTCCAGCCGCAACCCATCTCTGGGAAACATCCACACACACATTCACACACACACACTCATACACTACGGACAATTTAGCCTACCCAATTCACCTGTACCGCATGTGTTTGGACTGTGGGGGAAACCGGAGCACCCGGAGGAAACCCACCTAAGGCAGGGAGAACAAGCAAACTCCACACAGAAACGCCAACTGAGCCGAGGTTCGAACCAGCGACCTTCTTGCTGTGAGGCGACAGCACTACCTACTGCACACACATGAGTGTGGATGTAAGTATATGGATGTGAACATATTCACTGATGGTGATTCTCAGTTCCAGGATGAGTCTGTGTTATTCAGTGGTTGTTATCTGGGAATAACATACTTTGTAATGTCACGACTGACCAATCAGAATCCAGTATTCCAGACAGCCGTGTGATAATCATCAATAACACCAGAAGTATTCAAGCTTTCTACATAAACCTGATCTGTAAATGTAATCAGACGTGGACACCAGGACGGGGCGTTAGACTGGAGCCGTACTGAAAAGACGCAACTACACACAGAGTCTATATGAAGTGAGTTTGTTAAGCTGGGTTTTATTAATAAACGTGTGCATGATAAATAAATACAGATGTGTGTGTCCTCATTGTAGTCTGGGTTTTCAGCAGAGTTTCAGCATCCAGCCAGAGCCAGAGATCTCCTCAACTCCTCCAGATGATTGTGCGCTTGACTGATCATCATGCGGATGGCATCCTGCACAGGGAAAACACCCCATTTCACAAAACACCACGACTGAAGACTCAGTGGAAATAAATAAATAATAAAAACTCGTCTAAGCAATGTTTGTTATTGCTTTGCTTGTTTGTAATCTTGCTTATTAGAATAATAGAACGTTACTAATAAAATCTGAAAGTGTGTGAGGTGTCCACCTGGTCTGTGTTGCTCTTGTTCCTCCTGAACTCGTCTCGGGCCCAGTCTCGCAGGTATTTGCGGTCAGACTCGTGCGGGACCCTGCGGATGGTGCGCTGCAGATCTCTGTACAAACACAGCACCTTCTGTCTCTGCAGAAACTGAACACAACACAACATGGGTTTACTACAGCGGCTGGACTGTAAATGACCACACACACACACACACACACACACACACACACACGCATCCAGTTGCAAGAAGACGTACATGAACCCTCTGGGATTAAGAATAAACCCAGAGGATGTGTGAGGCAACAGAAGACAGATCCAACGCATAGAAGTAAATCAACAACAGATGAAAATACATCTTCTGGAGTGGCCCAGTCAGAGTCCTGAGCTCAACCCGATTGAGATACTGTGGCATGACCTCAAGAGGGTGATTCACACCAGACATCCCAAGAATAATGCTGAACTGAAACAGATTTGTTAAAAAATCAACAACAGAACGGCTTTACCAGAAGACAATACACCTTCTGGAATGGTCCAGTCAGAGTCCTGACCTTAACCTGATTGAGATCTCAAAAAAGAGATTCACACCAGAAAAATATTCACATCTCAAAAATATTAAAATAAACTGGACAATAGAAGATTGGAGAAACGTTGCCTGCTCTGATGAGTCTCAGTCACATTCGGATGGTCGGGTCAGAATTAGGCCTCGACAACATGAAAGCATGGATCCATCCTGCCTTGTATCAGCGGTTTCCTGAGTATTGCTGCTGCCCATGTCCATCCCTTTATGAGCACAGTGTCTCCATCTTCTGATGGCTACTTCCAGCAGGATAACGCACCATGTCATACATGTACTCAAATGGCCTCCCCAGTCACCAGAGCTCAATCCAATAGAGCAGCTTTGGGATGTGGTGGAATGGGAGATTGGCATCATGGATGTGCAGCCGACAAATCTGCAGCAACTGTGTGATGCTATCATGACAATATGGAGCAAAATCTCTGAGGAAGATTTCCAGTAGCTTGTTGCATCTCTGCCACGAAGGATTAAAGCCGTTCTGAAGGCAAAAGAGGCTCCAACCCGATACTAGGAAGTGTACCTAATAAAGTGGCCAGTGAGTGTATGCAAATTATATACTGACATAGAAGTTCATATTTAGATTTGAGAAATATAATATGTCAAATACGCAACATGTACCTCAAAATATTGCGAAAAACTATCTGTTTACATATCTTTCGACCAAATATGTACATGTTCAAATATTTTAGATATTCTATAACCATATATATGAAGAACATACAATTATAGCTGATATATTGAAACCTATCTGTTTTTCTAATAGTTTGATATATATATATATATATATTTAAACAGACATTTTTTTAATATTTTGACATTATTTATCTGAAATGTAAACATAAGCTTGTACGTCATGTATGTAATTTGCATATAGCCTGTCAGATTTCTATGTCTCTCTCTCACACACACACATTTAGCTGTTGTACGTGCTGCATACGCGTGTCCGGACAGCAGCTGTAGCGAAGATCAGCTCACTGTCGATCTATACTTGCTTTATCGCCAATGTAAGACACTTATAAGCAAAGATTTACCGTGACTTTACCTGTTTGAGACTCAGAGCCGCTGGTGGTAACCGAGACACCGCCATGTTCTTTCCTCTGCAGGAAAGTGGTGGGAGGGAATTGTTGTGTGAAACTAGAGGGGCGTTTTTCCATTGTCCTACCTGATTGGCTCGATTCAAAGTGACAGCGGTTTAGGGGTGTGGTTGATCATGTTCATTGGAACAACCTATTATTTTGGAAACACCCTCAAATTCATAAACGCCCACATTTGCTGTATAGTACGCAATAAGGGGAGGAGTTAACCGATCCAGACGTGCGTTTTCTTTTTCATCTTTTGTATCTGACGAAGAGTTGGTCTAGAAGGGATACAGCTGCGGATAATCACGTCAATATAGCATAATTTTTGTGTGACTGTACAACAATAATTAATATACGGGTTGTGTTTAGGGTTAGGATAGGGGTAGACGTTAACAAAATACAATTTAATGGGTAATATAATAAATAATATGAATAATGCTAGGTATAATTACAGGTTTAACATTACCGTGATTATTAGGTTTAGTGTTGAAGTAGGGGTAGACGTTAATAAAATACAATAGACGTATACATTAATGAATAGAACAAATAATTCTCGCTAACTTCCGTCCATGGCTGTATCCCTTCTAGCAACAACCGGTTGGTTGCCGAATATCGCCATCTACTTGAAGAATCTAATATGTATTTTCAGTATTTTATAATAACTGTGAGAATTAAATTGCGGAGTTAATTGTAGTAAGTCTATATTTAATACAATTATGTTCGCAGATTTTCATGATGGCTGCCCATTATTTTACTAGTCACTGCAAAATTATTATTGTATTACATTCTTCGTTCCACATAATTTATTTCACATTTATTATTATAACACTTAAACGGGTTGATCTGATTCTGTTGCATAAGCAGGGTTGACTTTCATTTTTCTTAAATCAAGAAACAGATTAAAGTTTGTTCATCCATTCGTGACTTCTCAAAGCTTCTCGTAACATTTTCCCGTTTTATTCCTGCATATTTTATTATTTTTGTTTAGATTCTGTTTTCCTCCCTTTGTGTTCGCAGGCATACATATCCTGTAACTATAACACGAAATAGCTTTAATGTAAAAATGTAATCTTTAATATCCCAACAAACACATTTACGTTGTAGCGATGTCTGCACAACGTTGTATTTTTTCAAAGGCAACGTTGCCGCTTACGTGCTCGCTACATTGTCACAACGTAGAAATGTAAGACGTGAGAAGGCTGTAGCAACGTTGTCGTGCGACATTCAGCAACCGCGAGGCGGCGTTCTTACTACTTGTATTAATATTTTTTTGTGGCAGTTTATCATTACTGCCTAGAATACAGGATAAGCAGCAATTCTTTTCCAGTATTGCTTAATATGAAATATTGTTCATTTATTTTTCCTATTTAATTTAAAAACTGCATGTGTAAACTTTAAAGTGTAAAAATGCCACACAAATGAATATAATCAAACTTTTTATTATATATTTCACAACATTTAATACATACAGTACACATACAGTATCTAATTATAAGCAAACAGTATAAAATAAAGTTTAGATATATATATATATATATATATATATATATATATATATATATATATATATTTAAACTAAAGGGTAAACAAACAAGAAAAGTAAACAAGAAATCATTAAAATGTAAATAAATATATAAATAAATATATAAATTAAAATTCAAACACTGGTCAGTGAAGCTCTGGACTGGAGAATACAGCAGACCGGGGAGCGCAGCTGAAGACCAGTCGTAGTTGTTGGTATGGAGAAAGCAGTCAGAGGAAGAAACAAATTCAACGGATAATCCAGCTTCAGAGATCCACAGCAGACAAAAGTCAAAATAGGCAGTGAACAAGAGAGGACAGATCAGAGCTTGACACAACAGCACTACACAGGAAATGACTATGACTAGCAAGTTATTGAAGTTTCAGACATTTATTGTAATTTCATTACATATAAAATCTCCAGAGTAATTATGTAGCCTACTTTATTTTAATGTTTTAATAATATATCATATACCAAAATTACAAACAATTAAATAAATTTAGAGATACAGGGAAAACAGGTTTGAGTTAACAGAAGTCAGAGTTAGTCTCCGAATACTTACTTAAATTATGAGAAGAGAAAGAAGAGGTCCTGTAGTTGTGGCGTTGCTCGCTGTTAATGAAATGTTAAACTTAGTGTCATTTCAATAACAGCTGTACAAAATAATAAAGTAATTTTTCATAAGCATGATCTATTTTCCACATTATGGACATGCTGTTTTAGGTAACATAACTACATTTAATAGTAAATAGAATAGTATACTTCTTACCTCATTCAATTCTTCTTTCCATCAGGAATTACAGCAACACTGATCTGAGGTGAATTCAACAGCTGAAAACATTCTGAAAGACAAGTTACATAAGTAATTTGAAAACAACAGTGAGTGATTAAACAATAGTTTCATGCAACTTACGCATAATTAAAATCCAGAAATTATCAATAGAAGATTACCTCCATGTAAAAATAGCCTGTTGAGCAAAGAGAAGAGTGGGTTTTAAATAAAACATCAAAAGACCAATCAAAATAGAAATTTAGACTAGCAGACCTTTTAATTACTATCTATATTAATTAGGCATATGAACCTCAATTTATATACTTTAACTTATAGGGATAGCTCACCCAAAACTGACAATTCTGCCATTTTAGCCTCATTCTTTATTTGTTCCAAACTTATTTAGCTTTTTTTCTGCTAAACAATAAAGAAGATGTATTAAATAAAGCTGGAAAACTGTAACTATTTAATTCCATAGTGTTTTCCTACCATGAAAGCAAATGCTTACAGTCTTTAAGTGTTCAACAGAATAAAGAAACTTAAAGGTTTGGAATCACTTATTATTTACAGGGCAAATAATTCGTGAGTACATATCATTTTTGAGTGAACTGTTCCTTTAACGGGACGCAATCTGCACAGAGATGTTTTGTTTTTAAAAGTTATTTTGTGTTTTGTAAAAAGTGGTTCGGCTCGTGTGATGAAGTATCATACTAACTGATCACGATGGATATGGAAAAAACTGAACTTCAAAAACATTATTGTCCATTTGACTAAAGACAAGGCGTAGGTAAATAATCAGGAAATGTTTTATCGAGAGATTTAACATAATGATTTTAATGTTGTTGCCGTCCGTTAACGGAATGCTGAAATGTTACTCGCTCGTAATAACTTCATTACGGCTTTTGTGTGTGTGTAATGTTGGAACAGATTGTTGTCGAAATCATAGGTTTGTTTGAATATTCACGATTTATGTATCTTATTTAGCATGAAGAAATAAAGCAATACTCACGTCTCCTCGGTCGTTGATGAATGAGACGACGGCTTGTTGAAATTTAAACTGATTCAGCTGTGACCAGTAAATGTTGTACAGTGGTCGTCCACGCCACCTAAGCACAACCTAAAGCATGCGACCCTCATGATGTTTAAATGGCAACCTTATGACATCGTTGTGACAACCTTTAGAAACAACGTAGAATCCTCAACCTTTTTGCAATGTTGGTACAACGTTGTAGGAAGGTCGCTACGTTGAGGCAACGTTGTGTGTTTGTTGGGTATTTGTCTGCAATGGGCTCTATGCACAGCTAATGCCAATGATGAACTTCCTGTGAGATCTTTATGTGACTATTTTCAATTTCATAAGGTTCCTTTTACAGCCTTGATGTTGTTATGTAATTAAAATGCATTCAGTTCAATAGACTAAAGCATTAATTTAGTTGTTAAACCGTAAAAAGAGACAAAAGACCGTTTAAACGCACGTACCATCATTAACCGCAGACGAGTGCAGAAACTCCATTAAAAATACTGAGGTAAAATTAATTTCCATATTTTAAAGACATGGCAGGGGGAAATATAATTTAATGCAGTGCTACTTGGTTGGACTGATACCCACTTTAGGCAGGCAGTGAAGATCACTGATTTTTTTTTTTAAAGAAATCAGATCTTATTTTGTACGGGATGACAAATAACCGGAAGCCCTGGGGCTGGCTGACTGAAAATAAAAGTCCGTGTGCATATACCCCACTAATATTTTTGGACTGACATTGAGTCTAAACCAAACGCACACAGTGGAAGTATACAAAATCTAATAATGAAAAAAAATATAATAACGAACAATACATACAGCATTTATTAACCATAGTTCAACATTTATTTACACTCCCATTCTTTTTTTAAAATAATGTTATCCCTTCTCCTACAAAACATTTCCGCCCCTACTCAATATTTCGTTTTAGTTAAAAGTTGTTTTTATATATAATTGTTTTATTGCTGTTAAGAAATATAGCAACATTTAAACATTTTACACAGGGCATACGGACAGCTAGTTGAAAGTACGTCAACCCGCATCAACATACTGAAATAAAAGTCTCAGTAACGTCCGGTTCACGGAGACTTTTAAAACATAAAATCATGACGTCAAATCTCACTATGTTCTTGTCAGGCGCATCAATAAAGCTTTCCGTTGTAAAATACAAGTTTACTTCCTGTTTTCATTTTTTCTTCATGTGACATCTGAGACATTTCATCTCGAAAGTGTGTAAAAACACACACACACCGCGCGCGCTGCCACGTCAGGGTTACAGCTCTAGATAAACACCTGGCAGAGCTCACACAACACACACTCGGCGGATAAACACACACTCACAGGAGCGCAGATCAGCCGAGCGCCGGATTATTGAGCATCATGGAGAGCAAATACAACCTGAAGAGTCCAGGTGAGTCAAACCTCTGATCTCTATCTCTCTCTCTCTTACACACACACACACACACACACACACACATACACACACTGCTGTCGCGAGCTATAAACCACACCATAACATCTGCACTCCTCCATCCGTCCAGCCGGTCTTTTCACTGTGTCGAGCTAGCTAACGGTAGACTTACGTTACTAGCCGCAGTCACAGGTGTGTGTGTGTGTGTGTGTGTGTGTGTGTGTGTGTGTGTGTGTGTGTGTAATGAATATTAGTTTGTAATAAATGATTGATTGTGTGCGTGTTTGTAATTTATGTGTGTTTTTAATGTGTGTATTTGTAGTGTGTTTGTGTGTGTGTGTTTTTATTGTGTGTGCTAGTAGTGTGTGTGTGTGTGTGTGTGTGTGTGTGTGTGTGTGTGTTTGTAGTGTATGCTTGTCATTTTGATGCATGTGTCTTTTCCGTGTGTGTGTGTGTTTGTGTCTTCTTCATGTGTGTGAGTGTGTGTGTTTGTAGTGTGTGTGTGTGTCTTTGTAATGTGTGTGTATGTAATGCATTTGTATGTGTAGTGTGTGTGTGTGTGTGTGTGTGTGTGTGTGTGTGTGTGTGTGTGTGTTTAAATGAGTGTATGTATTGAGTGAGTGTGTTTGTGTGTGTCTATAATGTGTGTCTGAGTGTAGTGTGTGTGTGTGTGTGTTTAAATGAGTGCTTGTAATGATTGGGTGTGTTTGTAATGGGGTTGTGTTTAATGAATGTGTGTGTGCGTGTGTGTCTTTGTAATATGTGTCTTTGTAATGTGTGTCTGAGTGTATATAATGTGTGTGTGTGTGTGTGTGTGTGTTTAATGAATGTGTGTGTTTGTAGTTAACTATTTATGTGCTGTAGGTAAATGGTGTGTTTCAATTCTGCCACCACCGCAAGTAAATTTCTAACCTGTGTTGAGCATTGCATTCAGATGCACACATCCACCATTACATGGACTACAAGTTCCAGTCATGCACCACACACACACACACCTGCTCAAAGTCTGAAGCTGCTCTTGTACTGATTATACCACACACACGTCTGTCTCGCCTTGACACGTTCACTCTCATGGCTGAGTCTTGTTATGCTGAATTGGGAACATCACGACGTGGTTTCCTTGCCTTCCGTGTCTGACCTTTGCTTTGTTTTGTTTGTTTTACGTTGTTTGCTGCCTGCCTTTTGACCATCCGCCTGTTATATGAGCATGACTCTGGATCTGCCTGTATACATCTGTTTGCCCTTGTGTTGATCGTTGCTTGCCTGACCATTCTCTGTTCAATAAACCCTGCTTTTGTTAAACTAGGCAAATTTTCAAATTTAGTAAACTAATAATACTGTGTGTGTGTGTGTGTGTGTGTGTGTGTGTGTGTGTGTGTGTGTGTGTGTTAGCTGTGAAGAGGCTGATGAAGGAGGCGGCAGAGCTTCGTGACCCCACAGAACATTATCACGCTCAGCCACTGGAGGTGAGACTTTATTATTTATAGGAATTGAATTTCTGGGAGTTTTTTCATGCGTTATCATCTGTTTTAGTGTGTAACTTTATGTGAAAGGTGTGTTTTCTGTAGCGCTGTTTGTGTCTTGCTTGTTTGACGTTTTATTAACAGAAGTTACAGAATGTTTAATTCTGTAAATGTTCAGAAGAAACAATGAATATTAGACTGACAATTAGTATTATTTATTGTTGTTTGTATTATAAATGTTAAACGTTTTAAATGTATTTTGTTATTTAAATGTAGTTATTTATATTTAATTTATTAAATTGTTCATAAATTTGAATTGATCCGAATTTGAAGTCAATCAAGTTGATCAATTCTATTGAAATAATTATGATTTATCGTGTAACTATGAACTGTCAAGAACTGTAAAAATGCTAAAACATTGAATATTCGACTATGAAAATTAGTATTATTTTTTGCGATTATTATGTTTGATGTTGAATATTATAAACGTAACTAGTTGTTATGTAAATGTAAACAGTTATTAGTTATATTTAATTGACTGAATTGTTACATCAATTTTTTTTATAATTATTATGATCTTTTAAAAGTTTGATGTCAATCAAAAATCTGAAGTTGATAATAAATTATATTTAATTAGGATTCATTTTGTAACTTCTATTATTAAAACGCTAAATCAGTCAACATTAAACTATAAAAATGTGTATTTGTTGTGTTATTAAATGTAAGTTTTTAATGCACAAAATGCAGTTAAAATGCAAAACAACAGTTGTAATTTATATTTTATTCATTAACTTGTTACATAAATACTTTTATCATTTTATATAATTCATTATTCAAATAGACTTTAATTATTTCAAGATATTAAAAGCATTTTATTATTTTTTAAATAGCTTGATTATTCTTCAGACTTTTGAAGTGTACTGAATCTGGCTGAACCAGAAGTTGCTGAGACTTCAGTATGTTGATGTGCTTCCAACTGAAACTGAATATTGAGTAGGGGGTGGGGCTTTCCTTTTGTGCATCATTCCCTTGTAGCAAACTAACAGTAAGAGGGGCGTGGTTAGGAACATTAATATGCAGTTGCTATAGCAACCCTCAGGTTGGCATCAACAGAAAGACAAACACTCCAAACACAGAAGCAGATGCTCAGAGTTTGATTGAAGATTATCAAAACAAACCTTTTTTTTTTGACTCAAACTTTTAACTTACACTGATTAATTATTCACTTTAAGGAGACAATATGAGCTAGCAAGATAAACATTGTACTCCTTTTGATTTCACACAGATTTCAAATGAGGTTTTTGTCATTTTGAGGAACATCCATAAACGATTTGTGAGCATTTATTGCCTATGCATGGAGAGCGTGTTTTATCTGCATGAAGCCTCAGATTAGATTATTACTCTGTGTGTGATCATCCATGTTGAAGTCAAGCCTGCATGCAGTAATTGCAGTGTTATTATACTCAGTGTGACTGTCTTGTGTTGATCAGGATAACCTGTTCGAGTGGCACTTCTCCGTTCGAGGACCTCCAGACTCTGATTTCGATGGAGGAGTTTATCACGGCCGGATCGTTCTTCCTCCTGAATACCCCATGAAGCCCCCCAGCATCATACTGCTCACTGTAATTACACCGCCTTTTTCACTGCTCTAACCAACTGAAACAGTATTGCTATAATAGAAAGAGAAATTAATTTTAATTATAATTTTTATGTTTTTACACCCTTTTTAATTTTAATTTTAAATTAAATTTTTTATTAATTTCTAGACAATCAGAAGTTTACACACATTTCCTTGTTATTTTTTTAGCTTTGCTTTTAAACTGTGTAACTTTGGTCAAATGTTTTGGGTCTCCTTCCACAAGCTTCTCACAATAGTTTGCAGGAGTCAGATTTGTCTTGCTCGCACAAGCTTTTTCAACTCTGCCCATGAATTTTCTATAGGATTGAGATCAGGGCTTTGTGATGGCCACTCCAAAACATTCACTCTGTAGTCCTTAAAGCACATTTGAACTAATTTGGCAGTGTGCTTAGGGTCATGGTCTGTTCGAAAGACCCATTTGTGGCCATGTTTTAATGTCCTGGCTGATGTGTTGAGATGTTGCTTCAATTGTTAAATTATTTACTAACTCATTCTGAATGATCCTAAAAACCCTCAACTACTCTTAAATGCAACTATGTTGTAAATAATGCGATACTTAATTTAGTAATGAAAAATAAATCATTTACTAAGTATGAAAATACAATTATTAAGCACATTTTAAATATGGTTATAAGTCAAGAAAAGAGCATTTGTAGCTGCAGTTATAAACTGCAGTAGAGTTAATGCTTAACGGATTATGAATTCACTATTTGCGAATGCTTAATAAATGATTTATAGTGTGTAGTTATTATAAAGTGTTACCACTTTTCTTCTCCTCAGCCCAACGGAAGGTTTGAAGTGGGGAAGAAGATCTGTCTGAGTATTTCTGGTCACCATCCGGAGACGTGGCAGCCATCTTGGAGCAGTGAGTGTCTCTTTATTTTGGGGTTGTATAATACCATCTTGAAAACTGAATAGTGTTTGTAGACCTAATGCAAGATTCATACTTTTAAAAAGACAATACTATAATATAAATTGGCCTGTGCACTGTAAAACCCAAAACGTAAGAGTAACTCCCCAGCTAACAGGGAACGTTCCTAGAACATTCACTAACGTTCTTTAAAAGTTGTGGAAATGTTAGCACAAAAAGTTATCAATAGAACGTTTTTAGAAGGGTGTCATAACGTTGTTAACGTTCTTGTAACATTGTAAAAAACGTTCTTAGAACAAAGTTCTTATGAAGTTATTTGTACTTCATAAACGTTGTCATAATGTTGATGCAAAACGTTTTTAGAAAGTTATATTTTGGTGGAAATTTAGGTTTTTAAAATGTTGTAACAACATTATCCTAACCATAAAAAAACGTTCTATCAACATTAAGCAAACTGGACAATTTAACGTTCTTGGAACATTCCAAATAAACGTTCTTAGAACGTTATATTTTAGTGAAAATTTAGGTTTTTAGAATGTTTTAACAACGTTATCCTAACCATCAAAAAACGTTCTAGCAACATTAAGCAAACTGGACATTTCAACATTCTTGGAACGTTACAGATAACGTTATGAGAACGTTCTTACAACCTAAATTTGTTAGCTGGGTCAAACCATTTGGGGAAGCTGATTGCAACAAACCATTTAATTTAATAAACTAATCCTAATGAGTACTGTGAACTTAATCCATTTGAGTAAATGAAGCAATTTGAGCACAGTAAAACCCGATAAGTGACGAGAACTCAAACCAACCGAGTACTGTAAAACCCAATAAGTTAAGGCAACTCAAACTGTTTGAGGAAACTGACTGCTACAAACCATTTGAGTTAAACTAATCTACATGAGTACTGTGAACTTACTCCATTTAAGTTGAAGTAATGAGATGTTTAATTAACTCAATACCTTCAACACTGAGTTCAAAACTCTTTTCAAATGAGTAGAACTAATACATGGCTGGCAGTCAATTCAGTGGTTGGGCAAACCGCACTCCTATGTCACGTTGTGGTCAGACTCAAAATGGGAGGGATTTGGATCCTATTATGATGTAAGGAAAATAAAAAAGAGACTTATTGTCTTTATATCATGACTGTGGACACACTATCTGCACAAGACTTTTGGCCAGCGGAGAAATTAAAAGGGTCGTGCCCAACTGAGTCTGGTTCTCTCAAGGTTTTTTTTCTTCACTCCCATCAGGTGAAGTTTTTTTTCCCTCTCCGCTGTCGCCACTGCCTCGCATGGTTCAGGATTGGTAGAGCTACGCATCGATGAATTTGCTCTTCAGTGTTTGAACTCTCAGTAATGATTAAATCACACTGAACTGAGCTGAACTGAACTGAACTGAACTTAAACACTAAAACCTGAACCACACTGATCCAGTTACTATGACCATTTATGTGAAGCTGCTTTGACACAATCTACATTGTAAAAGCGCTACACAAATAAAGCTGAATTGAATTGAATTGAACTATACCTACACACAGTTCTGTCCAAACTACTTCCAAAAGATCATTTGCATAGACGCATTATATGTGCGCTTAAAGTGTCTGGTGCATATGGAGAGAAGAGTGTTTCTACAGGTGGTTTGGCAAGCCCACTCACCTGTGTGAGGCACACTTAGAAATGCTCAATGTTTTTTTTTTTTTCAGTTTGTATCAGTGATCACTCTTTCCATTAAAGCTGAATGTTTTGTTTGTTTTGTTTGTCAGTCCGGACTGCTTTAATAGCGATCATAGGATTCATGCCGACTAAAGGAGAAGGAGCGATCGGATCTCTGGACTACACTCCTGAGGAGAGAAAAGCTCTCGCCAAAAAGTAAGATCTTCTACCCCTTTATTTATATTCTTTTTCCTTCCATTATTCAGCAGGAATAAAGACTAAACACCATGGCAACAAAAATTTTACTTAATTGTACAAATTAGATCAGACGAATTCATACGAATTAGCCACTAAATCAAAAAGTTACGAATTGCCGTGAGATTGCGTTGGTTTTTTTTTTCACTCGTTTTTTTTTTTTTCTCTCACCCATTTTTTTTCTCCACCATTCCGTCCTTTCCGGGTCTCAGTAGCATTGCTTTATTTACCAAATTAAAAAAAAGTAATAAATAAACAATTTAGCAGGCATGAAAAGAAAATAGACGGAATAATTAAAATACATATAGAAACTATACATGTATTAAAGCGTAAGCAAAGGAAATATTAGCACAACATAAACCAAATGATTAATAAACAAATAGATTGAGATATTTTTCATTTTTGTTAATTTTTTTATTTTACTTTTGAGCCTAGAAGCCTGTAATCTACACTTTTAAATGATTTATTTGTTTCACAATCTCAGGACACGGTTGACCCCGTACATTCGGCTATTAAAAATGGCAAGTGGCTAGTAACGTTGGAAATCCACTAGACACAGTGGCTGGTGATCAAAAAAATGTCAAGCCCTGCATATACATATTTATATATAGAGAGAGAAATATATATATATATTAAGCGCAAGAAATACATAAGTAAATTCATTCATTCATTAATTTTACTTTGGCTTAGTCCCTTTATAATTCAGGGGTCGCCACAGCAGAATGAACTGCCAACCTATCCAGCATATGTTTTACACAGCGGATGCCCTTCAAGCTGCAACCCAGTACTGGAAAACACACGTACACACTCATTCACACAGACATTTTAGCTTACCCAATTAACCCAAAGCGCATGTGTTTGAACTGTGGTAGAAACCGGAGCACCTGGATGACATCCACGCCAACACGGGGAGAACATGCAAACTCCACACACAACTCGAATTAGCTGGGACTCGAACCAGCAACCTTCTTGCTGTGATGCGACAGTGCTAACCACCTAGCAACTGTCTCTCACCATACAATACTAGTATCCTGTAAAATGTTATGTACTCTCATTGGGGCAAAGACTAAAGCAGAGTTATTAAAGCTGTTGGTTTTGAAGCGTCTGCTGTTCAATCTTCTCCTCGTTGAACAGCACTGGGGAAATTGAATATTCACAGGAAGAGTCTTCAGCTTCATGATAAAAGCTCCTCATCTGCCCTAGAGACTGAGAGGTGCTGCTGGGACGTGTGTGGACATGCTGAGTCCTTCAGAAGAAACACACGCGTGACGAACTGCTGCCATCAGCGGCTCATTTCCAATCAACACGTGCTGATTAAACAGCCACCTCCAACACACGCACACACACACACACACACACACACACACACACACACACACACACACACACACACGCACATACCAGCACATGAAAACTAGAGGAGCAGGTCTGTGGGATCAACTCTAGAATCATCAGCCTGCTGTTCTGCTTGTGGATTTGTTATTTAACATGTTTTTGGGGTCTTCTATTCCCTCATTGTGCATTAATTTCCTACCCTAAATACATCCAAATTATTTAAAAATTAAAAATTAATTACTATCTATCTATCTATCTATCTATCTATCTATCTATCTATCTATCTATCTATCTATCTATCTATCTATCTATCTGTCTATCTGTCTATCTATCTATCTGTCTATCCATCTATCTATCTTTCTGTCTGTCCGTCTGTTTGTCCATTCATCTGTCTGTCCATCTATCCATTCATTCATCCATCCATCTGTCCATTCGTTCGTTCGTCCATCCATCCATCCATCCGTCTATCTAGCTATCCATCTATCCATCCATCTGTCTGTCTATTTATCTGTCAATCTGTCTGTCCATCCGTCTATCCATCCATCCGTCCATTTGTCCTTTCGTTAATCCGTCTATCTATCTATCAATCAGTCTGTCCATCCATCCATTCATCTGTCAATCTGTCTGTCCATTCATCCATCCATCCATCTATCTATCTGTCAATCTGTCTGTCCATCAGTCTCCATCCGTCCACTAATCTGTCTATCTATCTGTCAATCTATCTGTCAATCTGTTTGTCAATCTGTCTGTCCATCCATCCATCCATCTGTCAATCTGTCTGTCCCTCCATCCATCCATCCATCCATCCATCTGTCCGTCCCTCCGTCTGTCTATCTATTTGTCAATCTGTCTGTCCGTCCATCCATCCGTCCGTCCATTTGTAAATCTGTCTGTCCATCCGTCTATCCATCCATCCGTCCATCTGTCTGTCTATCTGTCAGTCTGTCTGTCCATCCATTCATTCGTCTATCTATCTGTCAATCTGTCTGTCTGTCCATCCATCCATCCGTCTATCTATCTGTCAATCTGTCTGTCCATCCATCTATCCTTCCATCCATCCATTTGTCCTTTCGTCCATCTGTCCATCCGTCTATCTATCAATCTGTCTGTCCATCCATCCATTCATCTGTCAATCTGTCTGTCCATTCATCCATCAATCCATCCATCCATCCGTCTATCTATCTGTCAATCTGCCTGTCCATCAGTCTCCATCCATCCGTCCGTCCGTCCATTAATCTGTCTATCTATCTGTCAATCTATCTGTTTGTAAATCTGTCTGTCCATCCATCCATCCATCCCTCTGTCCCTCCGTCTGTCTATCTATCTGTCAATCTGTCTGTCCATCCATCCATCCGTCCGTCCATTTGTCAATCTGTCTGTCCATCCATCTATCCATTCCATCCGTCCGTCCGTCTGTCCATCTATCTGTCAATCTGGCTATCCATCTATCCATCCATCTATCCGTGTATCCATCTGTCCGTCCATGTGGGTTTAATTGGCTGTGTGTGTGTGTGTGTGTGTTGGGCAGGTCTCAGGATTTCTGCTGTGAGGCGTGCAGCAGCTGTATGCGCTCGGCTCTGCTTCCTCTCTCTCCTGACAGTGACCTTCGACCCGCTGACCCTCAGAGACTGGCACAGCAGATCAACTTCAAGGTGCGGTCACACCAACAGAACACACACATTTCACAAACTCACAACTCAGAGAGACGCTGGAGATTTGCAAGAGAACATTTTTATTTAAATGTTGTTTTTTCCACTATTTGAAAAGCTTGCCACCAGCCATTACAAGATGTTTTTGGTATAAAATATATACCAAATCTATATTTGGTAGTGGTGACCTACTTATTTAGGCCAGTATACGCATTTTATTGGTAATTCACATGTGTGTAGCAGTGTTTCTGATTGGTGAAGCATGTGTGTGTGTTCACAGGCTGAATCCAGCTCCTCCGCTGCAGACAGTAGCAGCTCCTCATCAGCAGCAGCCGAAGTGTTTTCCAACACCAGCGAGAGCTCTGAGACTGCAGACCAAGATACAGAGGACACGTCTGCAGCTGAGCAGGTACAGCAGAACTACAAACACTTCTCATTCTGATCTTACACCTCATTACTTCCACAGGCCTCACATGCTGAAGTCATGAACAGACTATCACACTGAATCTTCACCTGCTGAAATTCACAGGTTGACTTTATTAGTTACATGGTTGGTTGTAAAATTCCAAGGTATGTTATTCCCAGATAACAACCACTGAATAACACCCCGTCAGTGAATACGTTCACATCCATACACTTACATTCACATTCATGTGTGTCTGATTGTCTGTCACACTGTGGTTTTTTCAACTGTTTGGGACTGTTTGGTGAATAAATAATGTAAGTTAGCGTATGTAAGTGTTAGTATGAGGTGACATTGTAAAAAAACGTTGATGTTTTTAGGCAGAAGTGACAAACTGCAAGCTTTGGATGATCTTCTAAATGCAAATTTGGACACGGTTTCAGAGCACACTAGCTTATAGATATTAACAGACTGATACTAATGTCTAAAAATAGTTAGTTTCATTTTCTTTGAATAAACAAATTGAAGTCCAGATGAAACTGATTTATAAAATTTGCCTAGAAATCTTCTTAAAAGCGAGTGTACAGCATAATAAATGTCACTTTATTTGTTAATGATTATGGCCCATGTGATGATTTAAAGTGGCGCAGATTTTTTTATAATGCACATCTCCGCCCCTGTTTTTTGCGTACATCATATTTATAATTGAGACCCCATGTGTAAACAGCCCCTAACATTCTAGATGCGATCCTGTATAGTTTATGCTCCATTCAGCCAGTTTAGTGTCTGTCTGCTTTGTGTTTTTGACTGTTTGTCTCCATCTTGTGTCTGAATAATGCGCAGGTTAGTGTATTCTCCATCAGTTGTTTTAGTTTCTGTTGTGTTTTTGACTGTTTGTCTCCATCTAGTGTCTGAATAATCCGCAGGTTAGTGTATACTCCATCAGCTGTTTTAGTTTCTGTTGTGTTTTTGTCTGATTGTCTCCATCTAGTGTCTGAATAATGCGCAGGTTAGTGTATACTCCATCAGCTGTTTTAGTTTCTGTTGTGTTTTTGTCTGTTTGTCTCCATCTAGTGTCTGAATAATGCGCAGGTTAGTGTATACTCCATCAGCTGTTTCAGTTTCTGTTGTGTTTTTGACTGTTTGTCTCCATCTTGTGTCTGAATAATGCGCAGGTTAGTGTATACTCCATCAGCTGTTTTAGTTTCTGTTGTGTTTTTGTCTGTTTGTCTCCATCTAGTGTCTGAATAATGCGCAGGTTAGTGTATACTCCATCAGCTGTTTTAGTTTCTGTTGTGTTTTTGACTGTTTGTCTCCATCTAGTGTCTGAATAATGTGCAGGTTAGTGTATACTCCATCAGCTGTTTTAGTTTCTGTTGTGTTTTTGTCTGTTTGTCTCCATCTAGTGTCTGAATAATGTGCAGGTTAGTGTATACTCCATCAGCTGTTTTAGTGTCTGTTGTGTTTTTGACTGTTTGTCTCCATCTAGTGTCTGAATAATGCACAGGTTAGTGTATACTCCATCAGCTGTTTTAGTTTCTGTTTGTCTCCATCTAGTGTCTGAATAATGTGCAGGTTAGTGTATACTCCATCAGCTGTTTTAGTTTCTGTTGTGTTTTTGACTGTTTGTCTCCATCTAGTGTCTGAATAATGCGCAGGTTAGTGTATACTCCATCAGCTGTTTTAGTTTCTGTTGTGTTTTTGACTGTTTGTCTCCATCTAGTGTCTGAATAATGTGCAGGTTAGTGTATACTCCATCAGCTGTTTTAGTGTCTGTTGTGTTTTTGACTGTTTGTCTCCATCTAGTGTCTGAATAATGCACAGGTTAGTGTATACTCCATCAGCTGTTTTAGTTTCTGTTGTGTTTTTGTCTGTTTGTCTCCATCTAGTGTCTGAATAATGTGCAGGTTAGTGTATACTCCATCAGCTGTTTTAGTGTCTGTTGTGTTTTTGACTGTTTGTCTCCATCTAGTGTCTGAATAATGCACAGGTTAGTGTATACTCCATCAGCTGTTTTAGTTTCTGTTGTGTTTTTGACTGTTTGTCTCCATCTAGTGTCTGAATAATGCGCAGGTTAGTGTATACTCCATCAGCTGTTTAGTGTCTGTCAGCTCTTTGTTTTTGACTGTTTGGTGCCTTCTTTTATTGTCTGCACGGAGGTTCTGGACAGAAATTCATATTTGACACTGACATACAACATATATTTACATTCTATAAAGCCCATAAAACACTTTAACCCAACTCATCCCAAATAGAGAGGGTTTATTATATATATAAAAAAAAAAAAAACAATCCTGTACATACCTGATAATACATATTCCAGCTAAAGGACTTGATAAAGGATTCAGCTAAAGGATTTGTCACCACTTATGGAATAAATGACCTTTTGAACTCTTTCTTGTCACTAGTTTGCGCAGCCTCCGCCCTAAAGGAAGGGTCTCAAAGTGAAAATGGAGGAGTCGAGTCTGATCAGAATACACAGCATGTGCCTTTTTCTTCAAGAACTGTGAAAACAGTTTATTTATTACACTTGGTTTCCGCTCCAGTTTTTTGTCTACGCCATGTTTATAAATGAGACCCCTGTTGTGTAGTGTGGAAGTGATGGTGTGTCCTGCACTGATCTCCGCTCTCTGTCGTCTTCTGCTTTAGACCGAATCCTCATCTGTGGCTCCTCAGACATCAGCCGAGGATCCATCAGTTTCAGCAGCTCCCAGTCCTCGTCAGCGCCGCTCCCAGAACCAGTCCCCTAGATCCCCCGTGTTCCCGGCGTCCCCTGCACCCCCGCACCTCCCTCAAGACAGCAGTCGCACCGGCTCGGCCATCCTCATCGTGCTGCTCACGCTGGCTCTGGCCGCGCTCATCTTCCGCAGGATCTATTTAGCGCACGAGTACAAGTTTGACTACGAGCTGTGAACTCTTTCCCAAGCGGCGTTCGCTCTGGCACCAGAACGGGACGCCTGTTTCCTACATTCAACTCTTCATAAATGTTTTCACCAATCAAAAGGGGTGAATATTAGTACGCTAGGTAACATGTCAGGTCTTGATTTCACCCCGAAAACGTACCAAATTTACAAAATGATAGTTTTTTATTTTAATATTTTGTTTTGGTCCCACTTTCTATTAAGTGGCCTTAACTAATATGTACTTGCACTGAAGTGATTCATTTATTACATTATACCTGTGTAAATATGTGTTTTTACTTTGTACTCATGCTTGATTAAATACCTGAATGGGATAATATCTGGGTCACTTTATTTTGATGGTCAGTTTGTTAAATTTAAGCTACATGCCGACTAATTCTCATCAGATTATAAGTAGACACAAGACACGTACCTGCAAAGTTTCCTATTAGTCTGTTGAAGGAGCAGTATCAGCAGATATTAAGCAGACAGTCTACTAATACTCAAATGGACCATCAAAATAAAGTGTTACCAACATCTTTATTTAATTTCTTTAAGTGCACTATTGAGGATCCGGAACACCTTTAACCTCTCCATACAACCAAACCTGTCCCTAACCCGACCCGTATCCCACCCTAAGAGTACCACAACATGAATAATACGTTATGAACACAGTAAGTACATTGTATTTATATTTTGATGCAAGTACAGAGTAGTTAAGGCTGCCTAATATAAAGTGGGACCTTTTTTTTGTTGTTGTTGCTCTGTTAAAACTGACAGAGCTATCACTGTCTGGTGAGGTCACAGTTGAACTGTTTTAACTGTAAAGTATTTATGCATTGTGGGATGACAAAAACTGCCTTTTAAATTGAAGATTTTATTGTTTAAAACAGCTGGGGAGATCGATAACTCTAATCAGACTCTCTGGTATTTAAAGGTGTGTTCATAAGCTCTTATGCATACGTGAAGAGTCATTCACGCAGTTGTCGCCAATTTAAACGGTGACATTGTTTGAGATGTCTTTGTTACGACACCTTGATATCACCAATACTTGTCATAAACCTGTCATAAACATGATTGTCATTATAACCGTAATGAATGCCAACTTCAGTGGTACTAATTGAATTTGTCATTAAAATTAACTATTAACACTGACAGAGTATTGATTTTTAACGACAATCTTCAGTTATTAGAGTTATATTAATTTTATTCTACTAAATAAAGTGATCAGATAAAGATTAATGATGCAGTTAAAATTGGTTTGTGATAATCATGTTTATGACAGGTTTATGACATTATATTGTCTTGGTTAAATCAAGCTGTCATAACAAAGGCATCTCAGTCAATGTCAACTTGGCATTTTAAACACAACTGAGCGAATGTCACTCAGTAACAGTTGTCATAAACATGCATAAAATCTCATTAATATTCCTGATTTGTGGAGTCATGATTATTAACGCATCATGACGGTCTTATGAACACCCTTTTCAAAAAAAGTGATATCAATCCTTCTCAAGTATCTGGGTAATATTCCTGTTTTCATCATGCAGACTATCATTAACACAATTACATTTCAATGTGGGGTGTAACATGAGCGAGACATGCGGTTTCCTTGCAGATCCTGTGCTATATTGCAGATTATTATATAGTGTTTGAGTCTGCTGTTTATCACATTATAGTGTGTGGAAATGTACAGGTTTGATCTTAAACTGAAACTAATCCTAACCTGAGAACATGCATACTGCTTCTGATATCGCCCAAATAAATATTTATATATGCTAATAATGTAGGCAAGGTTGTAATGTATTGCTTTTAAATGGGTTTAACATGGTCGTACTGAACCTCACCTCTATAATAACTACCATTGTTTTTCTTTTTTTAACCCAATCTATCATACAACTTTAGATGTTAATACTGCAATACAGTATATTGATTAAAGGTTTAGGCAAAAGCTGCTCCTCTATGTAGGAAACAACTTTAAAATTGTTCATTTTACTTTTTATAAAGGCTCAGTTCACCCAAATATTTACAGTGTGTGAGCATTAACCTGATGAGACTTTGAGTTTCTTGTGTCTGTTGAACACAAAGGAAAAAAGCTGGACAATAACAGCCCTTAGCTGTGTGTCCATCCACCTAATTGTAAGGTGAAGTGATGCTGACAACAGTGAGTGAGGATCCAAACGCTGGCTTTATTATACAGAGATGCTACGGCAAGCAACAGTCAACACCGGAGCAAACAGATGTTCAGTTGAAGTCAGAATTATTCGCCCCCTTTAGATTTATTTTATTCCTATTTTTTTTATATTTCTCAAATGATGTTTGACAGATTCAGGAAATGTTCACAGTATGTCTGATAATATTTTTTTCTTCTGGAGAAAGTCTTACTTGTTTTATTTCGGCTAGAATAAAAGCAGTTTTTAATTTTTTAAACACCATTTTAAAGACAATATTATTAGCCCCTTTGAGCTATATATTTTTCTCGATAGTCTACAGAACAAACCATCGTTATACAATGACTTGCCTAATTACCCTAACCTGCCTAATTAGCCTAGTGAAGCCTTTGAATGTCACTTTAAGCTGTTTAAAAGTGTCTTGAAGAATATCTAGTCTAATATTTTTTACTGTCATCATGGTAAAGTTAAAATAAATCAGTTATAAGATGTAAGTTATTAAAACTATCAGGATTAGAAATGTGTTGAGGAAATCAAACGGAAATTAGGGGAATAAATAACAGCGGGTCTAGTAATTCTGACTTCAACTGCTGTATGTGTAATTCCCCTATAAGACAATGATTTTTATCTGAAGAGACTTTAAAGCAAATCTTTAAAGTGTATTTATTTTATTGTGAATCCTTCAAAAATGGTAATTTTTATCCATAGTAAACCTTAAAAACTGTTAAACCATAGTTTTTATCTTAGATATTTAATGCTGTTGATGTGTTTCATTGCTATATATATTTATATTATTATTACAAATAAGTGATGTTTATAAAATGTTGTAAAGTTAATCTGGTTTTGCCATGAAATCGCCAGAGAAGCTGATATGGCAATCAATTCAAAACTCTCTCTTATAGGATTGTGCCATAAAGAAATCATTAATGGAAAGGTTAAGATGCACATACATTTTAAAAATGCAGAAAGTATGACCGAGTAGGACAAACTTTTTATTCAATACAAAAAAATGTGCATGACCTGATGGAAACTCATTTACCGAATAAATTCCAGCATGCGCATTAAACAGTGATGTGATTTTGTGATAAGAGGTCATATGATGATTTAAATGTGTGTGATGGGACAACGCAATCTCACGGCAATTCGTAACTTTTTGATTTAGTGGCTAATTCGTATGAATTTGTACGATCTAATACATACAATTTAGTGTGTTTGCTCATCACCCAATGACGGTTGGGGTGAGGGGTGAGGTAAGGTGTCACTCATCCTTTTTAAAATCACACATTTTTGAACGATTGAACTATTACGAATTAGCCACTAAACTGACAAAATGTAAAATACTGGCATTTCCTCGTGAGATCAGGCTGGTTGGGATGCATTAATAGAGTTTGCAGCATTTCCAGCACATTGTGATACATTTGAACTGTTGTTCTGCTCATTTCTAAGAGGCCTCAGTCGTCAGTCTGTCATGACAGTGCTTCAGTATTCTTCAGTATTCTCATTCTTACATTTTAGTGTGATTTGCTGATCCCCCCAATGACTGTTGGGTTTATGGTGGAGTTTAGTGACGCCTAAAAATGTAAAAATCATACAAACTCGTAGAAATTAACTACTAAACTGACAAAACATAAAATATCTACGTTTACTTGAGCTGAAATAACTACGGTTTGGCCAGTAACCAAAAATGGCCATGGAGCCATCCTAGAATTGTGGAAAGAAATGCTTACATTTCCTCGTGAGATCAAGCTGATTCACCCCATATAATATCTGCATAATAGTTTGGCTTTCGTTATAAATGATGTAAAATTGTGCAAAATCATATGTGTATATATAGCATGAACATGATTTAAGGCTTTGACATCGGGGCATTGTGATTGATGTCTGTTAAGGATGATCATTAAAGAATTAATGAATCAGAAATTCAGATTCAGTTGCACTTTTATATGTTTGTATTTCCAGATTTGTCATTATCCATTTTTGCATAATGTTATCAGTGTTCCCTGAGGCGTCATTGTGCATTTTTTTGATGCATTAATTATAATCAATATATAAATCAACAGAATATGTAATGCAGCACTTGTAATGTAGCCTATTAAATATATTTAGGTATTGTTGATAACAAAAATAAACTACTTCAATGTGTAATTACCAGTAACCCAATGGAAAATGGAATTTATGACCTTGTTTATAATTTAATATAAAACAAAGAGATAAACATTTCATGAGGCAGTGATGTGTTAATTTTAAAACTGTGGTAGATATGGGGAAAGGCTAAAAATATATATTTTTAAAATTGACACAAAAAATGTTATTAACTATTTTCAATTCACGATTGATGTTTAGAAGAGCAAATTTTTATTGTATTTTCTTTATTTGTTATTCTAGATAATGTCTTATTTTCTTGTAGTGTGACTAGAATAAAAAAAATAAATAATAATTATTAAAATTAACATACCCAATCGGCTACAGAAGAAATCACTGTTGTCCAAAGACTTTCCATAATAAAGCTAATTTGCCTGATTTACCTAAAGCCTTTAAGTGTCATTTTAAGCTGAATACTATCTGGCAAAATATCTAATAAAGTGTTATGTACTACCATCATGGCAAAGAGAAAATAAATCAAAAAATGTTACGTATATGCTTAAAATGGTCTTAGTTAAACATCAAACAAACATATTTAAAATAATATTAAATTCACAGGAGGGTTAATATTTTTGTCTTCAACCGTTTATACATCTCAATTAATAATAAAATATTTTGACATCTATACCGGGGTCCAAACTGACTCTTAACACTTTTTAACTAATTTAATTTAAATAGTTGTATTATACCTCTTTAAAATATTATGTGGGGGGAAATAAACAATTAATAAGTGAAATGCGCTCAAAGATATTTTGTAATTTTAAGATCTTTTAGGGTTTCAAAGTAAACAAGATCATTTTTGAACAGAAATGTTAGATTTATCATTGGACGACCGTTTAGCAAACTGTTACCTCGATGATGCGCGCGGGAACACCAGCCAATCAGAGCGCGCGCTCAGCTCCGACTTTCAGCTCGGCGCGAAAAAAAATCTGTTAATTTCTGCTGAAGATGAAGGTGATGCGGAGACATGCTCCCCAGCGCTGCTGACTGTCAGATGCTTCAGATGCTTCAGGTTTTTCCTCCACAATGACTGTCCTTTTTCTGAAAGCGGCTCTTTTTGTATTGTGCGCCATTGCTGAGGGCGGAAAAATGAAGTACAGCCTCAGGAGAACAAACCCTCAGAACCACAAACACGGCACGTGAGTCCCGCTGCTCTTTTCATACTTCATTCAGCTTTAAAACCTGACGAGGAACTGTGGAGTCAGTCTGCTGTCTCTGTTTATTAAATTAAAACTATTTTGCTTGAGAGCAAAAGTATGTAATTGTAATTTAAGTCAAAAGACTTCAAATACAGAATGTTTAATAAAAATACTGTAATATATATATACAGCTTAAGTCAGAATTCGCCCACCTGTAAATTCTCTGTCAAATATTCCCCAAATGATGTTGAACAGATTCAGGAAATTTCCACAGTATGTCTGATAATATTTATTTTTCTGGAGAAAGTCTTATTTGTTTTATTTCGGCTAGAATGAAAGCAGTTTTTAATCGTTTTAAAATAATTGTAAGGTCAATATTATTCGCCCCTTAAGCAATATTAGTGTTGGATTGTCTCCAGAACAAACCACTGTTATACAATGACTTGCCTAATTACCCTAACTTTACCCTAATTACCCTAGTGAAGCCTTTACATGTGACTTTAAGCTGAACACTAGTGTCTTGAAGAATATCTAGTCTAATATTATGTGCTGTCATCATGGCAAAGATAAAATTAATCAGTTATTTAAACTATTATGATTACAAATATGTTGAAGAAATCTGCTCTCTGTTAAACAGAAATTGGTGGAAAAAGAAGCGGGCCGATTAAGAATTCTGATGATACCTATATATATATATATATATATATATATATATATATATATATATATATATATATATATATATATATATATAATTTAATTAAACATTTTAAAATACTTTTTATTTGCAATCTTTTATTTTTTGTAACTACAGTTTATAGTTTTGCTCTCAGACTAAATAATTTTATATTATAATATACAAATATACAACGTAAAAGAGTTGAAGGATGTTTAATTATAAAATGTCATATTTTAGGTATTAATTTTTTTTAGCTCAGTTCAGTTTACAAAAAAAGGGTAAACTATGGAGTTAGTTTCCTATCTGTTTTATGTCTTTAGTTTTCAATCAAAAATATTTAGTTTGAGAGCCAAAGTAGATTGTAATTTAAAAGAAAAGACTTTAAATAAAGAATGTTTAATAAAATAAATATTGTAATTTATATATATTTATAATAGAATTTTCACGATTTTAAATTAAACATGGGCAATGCGGTGGCGCAGTAGGTAGTGCTGTCGCCTCACAGCAAGAAGGTCGCTGGTTCAAGCCTCAGCTTGGTCAGTTGGCGTTTCTGTGTGGAGTTTGCATGTTCTCCCCGTGTTGCTGTGGGTTTCCTTCGGGTGCTCTGGTTTTGCCCCACAGTCCAAACACACGCGCTATAGGGGAATTGAGTTAGCTAAATTGTCCATAGTGTGTGTATGGGTGTTGCAGCTGGAAGGGCATCCGCTGCGTAAAACATATGCTGGATAAGTTGGCGGTTCATTTCACTGTGGCGACCCCAGATTAACAAAGGGACTAAGCTGAAAAGAAATTGAACAAATGAATGAATGAATTAAACGTTTTAAAATACTTTATTTACAATCTTTTATTTTTTGTAACTAGAATGTATAGTTTTGCTCTCAGACTAAATATTTTTGTATTTTAATATTATTATATTGTTAGTCCTGCAGCTCTGGCTCATTTTATAATTCATTCACTTTTAAAGCCAGACGGGAAACTGTGGAGTCAGTCTGGTGTCTTTATTATTCAATCAAAATATTTAGTTTGAGAGCAAAAGTAAGTAGATTGTAATTAAAAAGAAAAGACTTCAAATAAAGAATATTTAATAAAATAAATATTGTAATTTATATATACTTATAATATTGAATTTTACATTTTATTACTCTTATATAGGGTTAAATACTGCATGGAAACCTGAAGGTGAATAAGGAAACACCTTTAATGTCTGATTGCTTGACTGCACTGAAGCGCTGAGATGTTGTTGTTTTTTTAGTCCACTCTTCAAGAAGATGCTGGATGAAACTAAGACTCATGCGGTGAAATCAGAGCATCTGCTGAGTGTGGAGGATCACGACTTCACCATGAGGCCAGCATTTGCAGGTAAACTCTCTTATAGTTACTTTTTAGGTCTTAGTTACTTCCATTTACAGCCTCTTTTAAAACGTTTACAGACTCAGACTCGGCATTATTATCCCGTTAGGGAAAATAAAATTGCAACAAGGTACCATAACACAGGCGAAGTTCCATGGACACATTAAAAAGATATTACCACACAACATCCATACATCAGTATATAGTAACATCCCCCTCCCCCCTGGACTCATTTAATGACCTAATGGCCACCATTATAAAATAATTTCTGGTTCTATTTGTCCTGTAAATAGGAACCCTAAAACGACGTCCTGATGGCAACAGCTGAAATACAGAGTACAGTGGGTGATCCGGGGTGCATAGGATACCCTGAGCTCTCCTTAGAACATAGTTATGGTAGATTACAATTAGACCAGTCTGATTAAAACCAATGATCTTGCCTGCCACCTTCACCAGGCTGCTCAACCTGTTCTTGCTTGACACGATATGCCACAATTCGGTCGTGGCATATCGTGGTGCGTACCTAATTCAACACCAGCGCTTCCCACACATAAGACTTTACCTCAGCAGACCTTTACTTTCACGTGGACTTTAATGTCATTTCTCTCTACATTATGGTTAATATCTATGCTTAAAGCCCTTTTCATGTAGCGCAAGTTCTCAGCTACTGATATCTGGGCTTCACACTGCAGTCATCAGTTTGACCTCTCGTAGGCAGCGTCCGGATGGATGAAAATTAGTCTCTGTCTGCTAATTGTTCCAGCAGCGCCCGCAGGGATCTTCAGTCACTAGCTTATTGTTGCGAAGGCTTTTCTAATTCACACATTGGTTTTTCCTTTTTGCTTTCTTCAGAATGTTCTAAGTATTCATTATCACAGCAGACACAATCACATTCACATCTATATCAACATCCATCCCGCTGAGGGTTTACCCCGAAAATGTGGTCGTGTCTCAGGAGGGTAGTGATAAAAATGACGAGTTTGACAGCTCATTATTCAACATAATTCTGCTCTTTTATTTTTATTAACACCCTTAACGTCTCTTGATGTGTTCAGACATCATTGCTTTGTTGCTGCATGTAGTGTGTCAAATATTACATGGCAGTAAGTTGCAGTCCTGCAGATGCAGTGAGAACTGCTCCACTCAATGTATACTTATCGGTCACCATAAACTTTGTTTACGCCATGTACTCCACATTACGAATTTACCGCGCTCAACAACAACTTTCCCCCGCGTCATTACCGGTGTGTGGTATATTCTATGTCACTTCCGGTGCGTGGTACATTCCCTTCTCCGTAAGAAATCTGTAATTGTAAATTTGTTTCGGGACTTCTGAAAGTGTTTTGCGTCTTGTTAATTTGTTTTCTAAAATGTAAATTTATTTCGTCCTTGGTAAAATTGTTTTTCCTATGTAGTTGTGTCTGATGACAGGTAAAAATGTTTTTCAAAGTGTAAATCTGTCTCGAGCTTTGTAAAAGTGTTTCAAACTTTGTAATGTTGTTTTGCACTTCTCGGCCACCGTATCTTTGCACCTAAAAACACCAAACGCAGCGCTCAGGAATGGTTAAAAACAGTTGACATGTCAACTTCCTGCAGTAAACAAAGCCTGCAATGTTTGTCCCGCCTTCAAGCTCTTCTTATTGGCCCACTGCGCTAGAACAGAACGCAAATGCATTAGTTAATATCAGCTGTCAATCACTCAGTTCCGATGACAGGGAGCTACAGCCTGGGAAAACGTAAAGGTCTGGATACGAGAGGATGAATACAACACTGACAGATTTAGCTTTAGAAACCAGATAAAGTTACAAATAATGGTATGTCTGATTAGTGGTCATGTGGTGAATGTCAGTCCAGCATTTACACTTTTCCAAGAGTGGATAAAAGACTTCCAGTGGTTAAAGTCAGATATGAAAATGACTAAAGCATTCACTGTAAAGCTGGTGGGATGGAGTTTTCAGGTAACAGTGTTTGCCACTGAATCTACACATTTTAAGCACGAGATGTTCTAACGTTATTTAATCCTTCATTTAATCGTCACGATGCTGTCAGTCGTGCGACTGGCACCGCGTTCACTATCGATAAAGAGCATGCGATCACAAAGATGAAACTAATATTACAACTCATGAAAAGACCGTTACTGCTATTAAGATGACGTATGCAAATAATAAGTTATATGTCAATATCATCTGTGCAATATCAGACAGCACCCGTGAGAACACAGCACAGTTATTATTGTTAGTTCAGTTCATCACATTCACGTCAGACAGTGCGTGCAGCAGGGTCAGTGAGCGCATGCAGATTTTTGTGCATTTGTTAGTTGTGATTAGAGTGTTAATAGGCCGATGTGTGCGCTTTTTCGCATCTCAAATGCCTCTCGCGAGTGCCGTTCTTGCCTGCGCTATTCTCGTGTAAACCCACCAGAGGCTGCTGTCGACTCACTGAATGATTGACTGGGCGACCGGCCAATCAACTGACCTACCCTCCTCCTTCCCGAAACCCAACCAATTTTAACCCGCCGTCCACTTGCCTGCTTACTTCCCTTAACCCAGTCGATGGTTTACAAAAGCCGTCCAGAAAAAGAAAAGCCCTCGTCTGATTTTTACCACATGTTCGGATTTTACCATCTTCTCATTCTGTTATTCACTCGTTCGTTTTATTTTTTGGACTCTTGTCTTACCTGATTTCTGGAACTGCTCTTCCCCTGGACTCAAACCCGGTCGTCGTCGTGGTCAACTTCTCTCTGCGCCTCAAGTCCGCCGACGTACAAGACGAGCTAACTGGACAAACTGGTGGCAGCTGGAAGCGGTCAGCTGGTAAGCGCCAAAAGGAACGGTGTCATACCACCCCGTAGCGTTGGCTAAAAAAAATGAAAGCAGCCATACGTACCTCCGGCTACATAATTCGCGGCCTCCAGAAACGTCTGCGCCTTAACACACCTCCTTTCTAGACCAGCACAACCATGACTCAATAAAGCGACGCAAATAGATTTGCAATTTAAACAACGTGGTGCAAAATGGGAAAATTAGGGTTGCATTGGTCTGATAATAGCAACAAATGGTGCCAAACAAGTCTTGCGCCTTACTGCGCCGGATGTATGATAGGGCCCTTTGTCTTTTTTTTTTGTTCAGGTCCAGCAGTGCCAGTGGGTGTGGATGTGCAAGTCGAGAGTCTGGACAGCATCTCAGAAGTAGATATGGTAAGAAATGTAACTAAGGGTGCTTTCACACCTGCCTTATTTAGTTCGATTGAATCGCACTAGAGTTCGTTTCCCCTTTTGGTACGGTTCGTTTGGGCAGGTGAGAATCGTACTCGAGTGCGCACCAAAAGCGGACCAAATAAGCATACTGAGACCTGCTTGAAGAGGTGCTCTCGGTACGCTTTCAAACGAACCCTGGAGCGGTTCGTTTGTTGTACGAATATGATCCGTACTAAAACAGGTCCAACCGCAAAAAGTACTGCACGTTTTGGATGCGCTGTGCATTATGGGATATGGAGGAAAAATATTTGTTGACAGCGCTTTACCAACAGAGAAAGAGAGAGAGAGAGAGAGAGAGAGAGAGAGAGAGAGAGGGGAAAACATTACCTGATGGATCATTGGTAATATTTCCGCAAGATGAGCATGTCGCAGTTTAGCTAAATTAATTCACGCCTCCTCCTGAAGTGACGAGCGATGCATTAAACACTGTTTTCCGGCCGCGCTTCATTCTCGTAATGTATAGTTTGTCTAAAGCAGGGATACAATCAGCCAGTTCGCAGTCTTCCCTCCAGAGTAAAAGGTTTTGTTTACCTGCGGGAGTTCACTGGCATTTTCTGCAGGTGAATTCTGACCAATCAATAAGCAGTTTAGGAAATATGTTCAACAACATCTGGCCAATGAGAGATGTGGATTTTGTCAGATGACTGCATTTTGGTTCGTTTCAACTGGTTCGGACTAAAGCCAGCAGACGGCAGAAGATGCAACAATGCATCATTTATTACCCTTGGTCCGGAGCAAATGAAGCGAACTACAGATGTGAAAGCACCCTAAGTTGAATGGTTCACTATAATGCAATTTTTTTTTTATTCCAACATAACTGATAAACAAGTAGTATATGTTTTTGCCATCATATTCATTACGATATTAATAAAACAACAAAGCTATTGCAAAATAAACAAACAAATAGTAATGTAGAAAGTAATGGAAATCTCCTGCTCTGCACATCTGCACTATAAGAATGACGCATGAGTGTTTTACAGTTGGACCAATGCATCATCTGTACCCATTTCTGTGATAAGGATGGGATTGTTATTCTCGTTAAAGTAGGCTACTAGAAGTCCACATCGGGGAGATTGTGTGGATTATTTATAGATCTCAGTGATTGCGATTAACCTTCCTTATGATCTGCTTTTATTTATCATATCACTGCTGGTGTTTACGAGTGAGCATGGATTTGATCTTACATAATATTCTATGAGTCATGCAGAGTTAATCCATGAGGTTTACCCTGTGACATCACTGAGACTCGGCCAATCAGAACCACACCATCCACATGCTGGCATGCCTCAGTGATGCCAACAGATGGTAATATTTCACAAGGCTTTAAGCAGTCTGGAAATGCATGTCAGCAGCTTGCATAAAAAAAACAACCTGAATAAGACTAAGTGAATTTGCTTTGTAACCATCAGCTGCATTTGAATTGTTGCACTAAGGTTCACTTAGCAGTTTTATTCTACATGAAGTTTGGGATCACATGATTTTATTAGTAGTGTAAGGATGACTTTGAGGGTTGTGAATTCATTTGTAAAGTTTTATTTGAACACACAAAGCATCAGATAGCCACTTTCTATGAAGGATGAATCATTGAGTTGATAAGCAGCAACAGTCCTGGCCATACAGTCAGACTGGCCATAGGAAGCACATTTCCTGATGGCATCTGGCCTGCCACCGTGATACTGGCCTGCCCCCACTTTTTAAAAACATCGCACCCCCCCCCACTTTTCATAAACATTACGCTTCCCCCCCTTTTCATACACATCGCGCTCCCTCTCCTAAACATTGCGCTCCCCCCCACTTTTCATAAACTATGTGCTATCCCCCTCCCCCAACTCTTTTCATAAACATCACGCCCCCCCCCCCACTTTTTTTAAACACGCTTTCCCTCCCCCCCACTTTTCATAAACATCCCGCTCCCCCCCACTTTTCATAAACATCCCGCCCCCCCCCCACTTTCCATAAACATCACGCTTCCCCTCCCACTTTTCATAAACTTCGCGCTTCCCCCTCCCCCCAACTCTTTTCATAAACATCACGCTCCCCCCCCCAACTTTTCATAAACATTGCGCTTCCCCCCAACCCCCCAACTCTTTTCAGAAACATCATGCTTTCCCCCCCCACCCCCAACTTTTCATAAACATTGCGCCTACATGTATAACATTGTTTAACCTACATTGACATCTGTAGTCGAATTATTTGCCAAATGATTAAATGTTGGACTTTAACTGCAGTTTGGCTCTTTCATTCAGGGAATTCATTCATGTCCCTCGCGACAAACGAGATATTTGATTCGAGGAGCTGCTGTAAGCGTGTATTTTTCATGCAATGTTTGATACCGCACGGCGAATGAGAGAAAAAAACCCTCCGCATTTCCCGGAAACTTAGATGCACACGGCAGGTAGCGTCAGAAAGCCGCATGTGTTATTCCGGTCACAAAATGCGGTGAAAATCCTACACAAGGTTAAAGTTTGTTTGCGGTGCTAACATGTTTACACTCGATGCAATAGTTAGTTCGATACGAACAAACTGAATAAACAAAGAGCGCTGGTCGCTTACTTACCAAATCTGTAGAGACAGGACAATCACCAGCAGCTAGAGCCGCGTCTTTATTAAGAGGAGACTACAAGCAAATCCAGATCTCAGCGTTTGCAGATGAGAACAGCTCTCAGGTAAACAATAATCCTCCTTAGACACGTAAGTTATTGTTGTGGAGCGTCGCGTACACTGTTAATCCACACGTGACTCTGAGCTCTCACAGAGAGAAAATGAAAACGAAACTTAACTGCAGCAAACTATAAAAGCAACACTTCACGCTTGTTTTGCCAACACAACGTGGCGTCTCTGCCGTCTAAACACTGTGACAGTAATGAATATTAATGAAGTTGCACAATAGAGCGCGCTGATTGGTTTGAACCAAGCCTTACTCATGCATTAATGCAGCACACTGTAAGACGTAATAAGACACACTCTGGCACAGACGTCCAGTCTGCACGCTGGAATACACGCTATTATCTCATGACCGTGACGCAGCTTCAAAAATTAGTTTCAAACCGGAAGTACGAATTTGCTTGAAATAACGCAAAAACAACCACAATTACACTTTTTAGTGAAATATAGGTGTCCTAATAGTGTTTTTAGCAGTGTGGGACACATATACCACTGTCAACAGCTCAACACATGTGTTTTGGTGTTTCGTGACCCTTTAAAGTATAAGTAAAGACAGTAATGCATGCTGGTGTTTTCATGCAGGACTTCACCATGACTCTGTACCTGAGACACTACTGGAAGGACGAGCGACTGTCTTTTCCCAGTAAACACAATAAGAGCATGACCTTTGATGGCCGGTTGGTGAAGAAGATCTGGGTGCCTGATGTGTTTTTTGTCCACTCGAAGCGTTCCTTCATCCACGACACCACCACAGAGAACATCATGATCAGGGTTTATCCTGACGGACACGTGCTCTACAGCCTCAGGTGATGACCACACACACACACACACACACATCACTTACTCCAGCTTTACTTCATAATCATGTCTGAGGGTAGAGCTGCTCGATTATGGGAAAAAATCATGATCAAGATTATTTTGCTCAGGCATATTCAATTCCCCTATAGCGCATGTGTTTGGACTGTGGGGGAAACCGGAACACCCTGAGGAAACCCACATGAACATGGGGAGAACATGCAAACTCCACAGAAACACCAACTGAGCCAGCTGAGGCTTAAATCAGCAACCTTCTTCTTGTGAGGCGATTGTACTACCCACTGTGTCACGTTGCTGCCCCTATTGCTTTCTCTTCACTCAATTTTGATTTATTATTGCTGTAGGCCAAAATAGAAATGGAATCTCAGTGAACTGAGCAGCTCTATCTGAAGGTGTTTTATGTTTGGAGTTTCAGGGTGACCGTAACTTCAGCGTGTAACATGGACTTCAGTCGGTTCCCGCTGGACACTCAGACCTGCACACTGGAGCTGGAGAGCTGTGAGTGACCTACAGTAATGTTATTAAACATCACTAATGTCTGCAAACCTGCTGCTGTGTTCCTCTGCTGTGTGTCCAGATGCGTACACCGATGAAGACCTGATGCTCTACTGGAAGAGCGGAGATGAGTCTCTAAGTACAGACGACAAGATCTCTCTGTCTCAGTTCCTCATCCAGAAGTTTCACACCACCTCCAGACTGGCTTTCTACAGCAGCACAGGTGCACACGTGTACTGTAAACCAATGAGCTAGAAACTACTTCAGTTTCAGAAGATACAGGCTGTCTACTGGTGCAAAACCTGTTTCCTGATTATTTAGCCTGTTTATTAGTTTCTTATACACTTTGCACAAGCAGATAACATATAAAGGCCAAACACAGTTTAAAGGCATCTGATTTCAGCAGCATTCAAACACTTATTCATTCATTCATTCATTCATTTATTTTCTACCGCCTTTCCGGGGCTGGGTCTCGGGGGCAGCAGTCTTAGGAGAGAACCCCAGACCTCCCCCTCTCCAGACAATTCCTCCAGCTCCTCTGGGGGGATGCCAAGGCGTTCCCAGGCCAGCCGAAAGACATAGTCCCTCCAAAGTGTCCTGGGTCTTTCCCAAGGCCTCCTCCCGGTGGGACATGCCTGGAACATCTCCCTAGGTAAGCATCCAGGAGGCATCCGAAACAGATGCCCGAGCCACCTCAGCTGACTTCTCTCAATGTGGAGGAGCAGCGGCTCTACTCCGAGCTCCTCTCGGGTGTCAAAGCTCCTCACCCTATCTATAAGAGTGCGCCCTGTCACTCTGCGGAGGAAACTCATTTTGGCCGCTTGTATCCGAGATCTGGTCCTTTTGGTCATGATCCAAAGCTCATGATCATAGTTGAGAGTAGGAACATAGATTGACCGGTAAATCGAGAGCTTTGCCTTTCGGCTCAGCTCCTTCTTCACCACAACAGACCGGTACATTGACAGCATTAATGCTGCCGCTGCACCAATCCACCTGTCAATCTCATCCTTCCCTTACTTAGTAACAAAACTCCAAGATACTTGAACTCCTCCACCTGGGGTAAAGACTTTCCTCCAACCTGGAGATGGCAAACCACCTTTTTCCGGTGGAGCACCATGGCCTCGTACTTGGAGGTGCTGATTCTCATCGCAGCTACATCACACTCAAGGCAAACCACCCCAGTGCATGCTGCAAGTCCATGTTCGATGAAGCCAACAGAACAACATCCTCTGCGAATAACAGAGATGAAATCCTGTGGTCCCCGAAACGGACCCCCTCCAGTCCAAGTCTGCACCAAGTTGTTTTTATGGACAGCTTTCAGACAGATTTATATAAATGAAGCTGACTTAAAGACATAGATATATACACTAGATATCGCATAGGGACCCTGAGCATGCGTCAATAGCGCCGCCACATTGGTACAGTGCTCCCAGGACAAATGTCATTCAACCGCACTAGTCAAGACAGTGTTATTACGTGAAGATGCAGGACTTTAGCGCTGTCTACGGGTGTAGTAACGAGCAAACAAAGAAAACAAAGCACAAAGGCAGAACATTTCATAGGTAATATATAGTTTTTTTTCGTTTTTAGTATGTTCTGAACTTTTCGTGCTAATCAGGTAACGTTATTGATGATAACAGTCACTTACTGCATTCACCATAAGGCAAAGCAGCTCCAACTCGCACTAAACACTCGGCTTATGCTAGTTTTGTTGAATAAAATCAGCAAACAAAGCAATAGAAAGATGACAACGAGATGCTGCGCTGCCAGAAACTTGTATTATTGTCGGCTAACGTTAGTGAAAGAGTCGTACTGGGGATTTAATCACAAACGAGTCGCTCCCTCCGTCAGTATGAGAAGTGAAAGCAGGAGAGGAGCTGTGTTTCAGGACATGATTAGATCAAATTTAACAGGGAGGGTGAATAGTACATTTCTGTACACACAAACACAAGCTTTTTGTCAGGAATGCCCGTGCGGTCACTGATCCATCAATGTAGAAAAGTGATGTAAAATTAAAATTTTTGTAATTAGAAAAACAAAAATTACATTCTAACATCCAGGAAAACTCCCGATCATAGATATATGTGTATATGTGTATATCTCTGGCTTTGGATGGCCACAGTCCTCCACTGTACCTTGGTCCCGCATTCATTTCAAAGGAGTGCTACCCTGTACCAAGATGGCAGCACTATTGACACATTCCGTCCAATAGACAACAATAGGCCAGGCGACATCTAGTGTATATATATGATTTAAAGAGATTAGTTCCTGCAGTTCTTTTATTATAATGATGTGCTTTCTATTTGTGCTTCTCCATTACACACACAGCAATCCTTAATCATCTGACAGACATCCATCATAGACCTCTTAGATAAAACAAGGCTAAATTTGGACCATGAAAATGTAAAGCTAGACTAGTCATCAGATAGACAGATCCAACAGACTTTACACGTGTAGTCTTTCATTCCTGTGTATTTAATGACTTGTCTAGTTTTTAACTTTTGTTACTTGATTTTCACTGACAGACGAAATTTAGTCTTGTTTCAGCTAATTGTCTATGTTTGGATATCAGATGTTGTTTAAACACAAAAGTGCTTGGTGGCCAGTAGAACATTAAAGAAATGAATAGCTGATTACCTTTATTGATTCCTAATGCAAGTTTTCTGAAATACTTGATGTGTGAGCTTTCTTTGGTATCATGGCATTTGAGTAAATCTCCTTTCATATTCTCCTGCAGGTTGGTACAACCGTCTGTACATCAACTTCACTCTGCGCCGCCATATTTTCTTCTTCCTACTTCAGACATATTTTCCCGCCACTCTGATGGTCATGCTGTCATGGGTGTCCTTCTGGATCGACCGGCGAGCTGTTCCTGCCAGAGTCTCTTTAGGTGAATTTACTGTATGAACCACAGCAGGTCTTGGGCCGAAGGCTTACATCAGTTACTGCTTATATAAGTGCACATCAGGCCAATCTACAATACAGATATTCTTACTTGTATGTGTGTTTCAATTAAGAAAAGGTTATTCATTTTGTTTAATTACTGCTCATTAAAATTCACATGAGACGGAAGTTATCATATTGCCCTTTGCTTCACTATTGTGACATACATAATGGTCCAAAAATGATAAAAACATTAAAGGCAGTGCATTCCCTAAACAACTGGAAGCCCCTCCCTAAAGTGCTGATAGCCCACCCCTAAACAACTGATAGCCCCTCCCTAAAGTGCTGATAGCCCCACCCTAAACAATAGGGTGATAGCTTCACTCTAAAGCACTGATAGCTCCACCCTAAAGCACTGATAGCTCCACCCTAAAGCACTGATAGCTCCACCCCAAAGCACTGATAGCTCCATCCTAAAGCACTGATAGCTCCATCCTAAAGCACTGATAGCTCCATCCTAAAGCACTGATAGCTCCACCCTAAAGCACTGATTGCTCCACCCTAAAGCACTCATAGTTTAACCCTTAAGTACTGATAGCCCCACCCTAAAGCATTGATAGCTCCACCCTAAAGCATTGATAGCTCCACCCTAAAGCACTGATAGCTCCACCCTAAAGCACTGATAGCTCCATCCTAAAGCACTGATTGCTCCACCCTAAAGCACTGATAGCCCCTTCCTAAAGCACAGATTGCCCCTCCCTTAATCACTGATAGCCCCTCCCTAAATCACTGATAGCTCCTCCCACAATAAATCTGGTTGGGACCTCTAATTTCGTCCAGTGTCACCTTTAACACATAGTAGACATGAAATAGTAATTTTGACTTAGGCTTTTGCACAAAAGTCTAATAAAATGCAACTGCAAACCCCCGTATGTCACTGTGATATCGTGCAGGCATCACGACGGTGCTCACCATGTCCACCATCATCACCGGAGTGAACGCCTCCATGCCCAGAGTTTCCTACATCAAAGCTGTGGACATTTACCTGTGGGTCAGCTTCGTCTTTGTCTTTTTGTCTGTACTTGAGTATGCTGCTGTAAACTACTTGACCACAGTGCATGATGGGACTGATCGCAAGTTAAGGCAGAAGGTAAAAACACAACTGATCTTTAGGTATATTCAACAGTCTCATTTTGTCAACAGTCATTTCTGCTCTTACTTTCCTTAGTCTCCCTGTTTAATTCGCCACGTCAATTTGTTTTGTTGGCAGATTAGTTTGTCTGCTCATGATGTCATTGCTGATGTCATTGGAGAATATTCCATATCGAAATCACTAGCAGAACTTCAAAGTGTTTATTTCTGCATTTCTTATTGTTGGAACAGCTTGGGTAAACAGACCAATCCCAACAGACTGAGTCATTGTACAAATCACTACAGACTGGGTCATAAGACCAATAGAAACAGACTTGGTCATCAGACTAATAACAACAAACTGGGTCATAGGACCAATCACAACAGACTGGGTGATCAGGCTAATTATAGCAGACTGGGTCATTTGACCAATTTAAGCAGACTTGATCATTTGACCAATCAAAGCAGACTTGGTCATTAGACCAATCAAAGCAGACTTGGTCATTAGACCAATCACATCCGACTAGGTCATCAGACCAATCACAACATACTGGGTCATCAGACCAATCACAACCGACTAGGTCACCAGACCAATCACAACATACTGGGTCATCAGACCAATCACAACCGACTAGGTCACCAGACCAATCAAAACATTCTGGGTCATCAGACCAATCACAACCGTCTAGGTCACCAGACCAATCAAAACATTCTGGGTCATCAGACCAATCACAACCGACTAGGTCACCAGACCAATCAAAACATTCTGGGTCATCAGACCAATCACAACCGACTAGGTCACCAGACCAATCAAAACATTCTGGGTCATCAGACCTATCACAACCGACTAGGTCACCAGACCAATCAAAACATTCTGGGATGTGAGACCAATCACAACCAACTAGGTCATCAGACCAATCACAACATTCTGGGTAATCAGACCAATCACAACAGACTGGATCATTGGACCAACCAGCAGACTGCATCATCAGACTAATAACAACAGTCTGGTCATCAGATCAATTACAACAGATTGGGTCATCGGACCAATCATAGCAGAATTTGGTCCTTCAAACAATCACAACAGACTGGGTCATTGGCCCAATTACAACAGAATGGGTAATCAGACCAATCACAACAAACTTGGTCATCAGACCAACCAGCAAACTGTGTCATCAGACCAATAACAACAGACTGGATCATCAGACCAATCATAGCAGACTGGGTCATCGTACCCGTCATAGCAGACTTGGTCATTATACCAATCACAACCGACTAGGTCATCAGACCAATCTCAACATACTGGGTGATCAGACCAATCATAGCAGACCTGGTCATTGGACCAATTACAACCGACTAGGTCATCAGAGCAGCCACAACAAACTGGGTCATCAGACCAATCACAAAAGACTGGGTCATTAGACTAATCAGCAGTAATGCACACTATAAGACTGTGTTGATGACGTTGCATGCAAATCAGCCTGTTGATTGAGACTGCCAAACCATGAACATTTTCTGACCCATAATAGAAGCGCTTGTACTGTACTTACTGTTTATAAGGCTGACTGCAAAGAATGCATCAGCGGGTTTGGTCCATATTAGGTCTTTTTATTCTTTTAATCAAGAAACAGTAAATATAACGTTGCTTTCAGCGGAGAACATGTTTATGTATAACCAATGTTTGTTGCCAAGCATAAACAGAAAGAAAAGCAGATGTAAATAGACCCTAAATAATAACAAGTGTTTGTGTTTATCCACTTTAGACTTTACCTGGCACATGTGACATATCCAGCATGAGGACTATGATGCTGAATGAAGCGTATGGTAGGCCTGATAGCAATGGTCTGGCAGGATACACTCAGACCACCGTCTCCTCTGAGGAGCCTGCAGAGAAACAGGACCCCATAGCAGTGTGTCTGTCTATAGGACCAGAGGTCAAAGGAGCCAAGAAAAGGACGCTCAGAGGGCTGCGGATCATCCAGAACACTCACGCCATTGATGCCTACTCTCGCATGATCTTCCCAGGGGCCTTTATATTTTTTAATCTCATCTACTGGTCTGTCTACCTCTGAGTGATCATGGCTGTCGCTTATTTTACTTACAGTTGAAGTCAGAATTATTATTATACAGCTATTTTACCATCTTTATCTCCACAGCCGCCTGTCAGTACAGTTATGAATGAAGACGCTTCAATCCTGGTTTGTGGACGTTAAATCAGGTTTATTTTGTACATTAACACAACAGATATCCATACAGCACTGGATATTAACATGTATCCTGTCACATTTGCTGTGCAAAAACAGTGCAAAGATAAACGCGCGTTGTGTGTGTGCATGCGTGAACGACATTGTGTATGACTCATCGAAAGGCTTGAATTAACTGCACAACAAATACATCAAATAATCATTGGGAAAGTTCTTACTGTCGTATTTCTCACAAACGTTACGTGAGATCTGCTTCCTTCATGTCTGTCACTGCGCTGTTTATCTGACGCAGGCGGAGATTGAGGCACACTCTGACAGGCACATGGGAACAGTGAACGAGGAGAACCAGCATTAAAGGCACAGGCCATAAAAACTACTTCATGGTTGTGAAATTTCCCAGGTTCAGACAGCTATAATAAATAATCTGATGGGGGTTTTGAGCTGAAACTTTACAGACGCATTCTGGAGACACAAAAGGCTTAGGGAGCTTTCACACCTAGACTTTTGTTTGGGAACCTGTCTCGTTTGCCCAGTTAGCGCAGTTCGTTTGGCATATGTAAAACCACCCATCGCGCTTGGATCCGCGCCAAAACAATCGCTCCGAGATTGCTTAAATGAGGTGGTCTCAGCTCGATTGAAACTAACTCTGGAGTGGATCGATTGTAGTGAGAAAGCGATATGATCTGAGACTGGTTAATCACAGTGTATTATGGATATGTATTAGGCATACGGCTTTATGAAGAGAGAATTATTAGTAGGGCGGGAGGTCATTCCAGACATCCCAAGTCTCCCGGATGTTTCGTTAGTCTCCCGCAAATTTACAGAGCCTCCCGGATGCCCGCAAACGAGTGATAATCTCCCGCAAATCGTGCATCTCCTTTCCGGTCCTCAATGCGTTACCCACCCCTCTCACCTCTCCCCACCGCATCCGTCCTCTGTCTTCAGACACGTCACGCGCTCCCTGTCAAACACCACCAAACCACCACCATCCCCCTGACAGCTGAGCAGGACTCCGTGATAAACCGTGAAACTGACCGATGTGAGGAGGTCCGTTTAGAAACTTTGCCGTGTGAAAGTGAACCGCACCAAGAACAGAGCAACAATGTAACAATTTTAATTCCTGTTTCGGAACAACTGAATCGATTCACAGGTGTGAACGCACCCTTAGGATGCTTTTACATCTGTGGTTCTCTTCATTTGCTCCGGACCAAGGGTAATAAATGATGCATTGTAGCATTTTCTACCGTCTTTGGGTTCTTTTCACACCACACTGCTGGCTTTGGTCCGAACCAGTTGAAAAGAACCAAAATACTGTCATCTGACAAAACCCACATCACTCATTGGCCAGATGTTGAACATATTTCCTGAACTGCTTTTCGATTGGTCAGAATTCACGTGCGGGAAAACGCCAATGGACCTCCCGCAAGTGAACAAACCGGCAAACACAAGATGTCGCTTTTTAAAGCCATCATTTCATCTAAAGTGATGTATACAAACTATATAGTATAGTACAGTGATCACCAAACTTGTTCCTGGAGGGCTGGTGTCCTGCAGACTTTTGCTCCAACCCTAATCAGACACACCTGAACAAGTTAATCAAGGTCTTACTAGGTATATTTGAAACACCCAGACAGGTGTGTTGAGGCAAGTTGGAGCTAAACCCTGCAGGGACACCGGCCCTCCAGGATCGAGATTGGTGACCCCTGGTATAGTATGAGCAGGGATGGCAATGCAGTGGCGCAGTAGGTAGTGCTGTCGCCTCACAGCAAAAAGGTTGCTGGTCCGAGCCTCAGCTGGGTCAGTTGGCATTTCTGTGTGGAGTTTGCACGTTCTCCCTACGTTCGCGTGGGTGTCCTCTGGGTGCTCCGGTTTCTCCCACAGTCCAAAGACGTGTGGTATAGGGAAATTGGGTAGGCTTAATTGTCTGTATTGCATGAGTGTGAATGAGTGTTTATGGTTGTTTCCGCTGGAAGGGCATCCGCTGTGTAAAATATGTGCTGGATAAGTTGGCGGTTCATTCTGCTGTGGCGACCCCAGATTAATAAAGGGACTAAGCCGAAAAGAATATGAATGAATGACTCGTTGAAATTGACATGAGGATCCTCAAGGCTCTGTGTTCAGCGCTCTTCTGTTTTCCTCATGCATCCACAATAGTGTTACAAACCTCAAGTCATTGGAGTTTCAGGATGATATAATGGTCATTGGCCTGATCACAGATGGTGATGAGGATGTAAAAAGATGGGAAGTTCAAGCAAGGACAGTAACGTCTGTCTGAACAATAGTGAAACTATGGAGATAATCGTGGATTATGGAACACATCAGAGATGAAACACACACCTACATACACCTGTGGTCAAAACCGATGTTAGTGCCTTCTCTTTTCATAGATTAAAGATGGCTAAATAACATTAAATATCTTGGCCCATGTCACTATTGACCGGAGTTCAACTGATTGTATAATAGCCTGTTGTAGGAGTGACTCTGCCTGGTACAGTAGCATCTTGCTGAGTCCAACTCATTATTTATAGGTTTTTAAACGGGTTTTAAAGAAATAATAAAGAAATAGTGTGATCTGTTGGATCTAGCACAGTGCTCATTCAGTAAAGGCACAGCTAAACAGATGCATTTTAAGTCTTGATTTTAATGTGCCTAATGTTGGAGCACATCTGATCCTTTCTGGAAGCTGATTCCAGCAGTAGGGGGCGCTGTTAGTAGCTTAAGGCTGGTTCACCCTGCTTTGACTGAACTCTTGGAGTTTCTAATTTCGACAGTCAGGCACTGCTGTTGATGTCGTTAATCTGGCACTTAAGTGTGTTTTGAACCAGGTATGCAATACCTAGTTCAACCACTGGGTGTCAAATTTACATACTGCACCTTTAAGTTCATTGATTCATTTTCTTTTCGGCGTAGTCCCTTTATTAATCTGGGGTTGCCACAGCAGAATGAACCGCCAACTTATCCAGTATATGTTTTACACAGCGGATGCCCTTCCAGCTGCAACCCATTACTGGGAAACATCCACACACTCTCATTCACACTCATACACTACTGGCAACTTAACTTACCCAATTAACCTATACCAAGGACGTGTGGGGGAAACTGGAGCACCAGGAGGAAATCCACGCCAACACGGGGAGAACATGCAAACTCCACAAAGAAATGCCAACTGACCAAGCCAGGGCTCAAACCAGCGAGCCCTTGCTGTGAAGCGATTGTGCTACCCACTGCGCCACCGAGACAGATGCTGGTGTTTGTCTCGGAGCCCTGGTTTTACGCAGCGGATGCTCTTCCAGCTGCAACCCAGTACTGGGAAACACCCATACACACTCAATCTCACACACACACTCGAACATTACAGGCTGTTTTTAGTTCATCCAGTTTATTTATAGCGCATGTGTTTAGACTGAGGGAAACTGGAGCACCAGGAGGAAACCAACACGGGGAGAACATGCAAACTCCACACAGAAACACCAACTGACCCAGCCAAGACTCGAACCAGCGACCGTCTTGCTGTGTGGCCACAGTGGTAACCACCGTGTCACCACATTTGTCAATTTGTATATTTTTATTCTTTGTTTTGCTTTGTATGTGATAGTGAGTGTTCGTGTAATGCAAATCAGGCTTTGTAATGGTTCAACTTTCAGCCGTGGACAATGACCCAGTCAAAGTGAATGCACAATTAGACTAATCAATAGTAAAATCCATCAGCTAGTCAGTTAGAACAGATGTGTTTGTGCTGGAGAGGCATTAACACACACATTTATGCACTGATTTCATGCATGACAGCGCTCATTAAGTGTCATTGGCTCAGTAATGCCATTTTAAATGCAAATATCCCCTTTCTTGAGATGTCTTTATCATGATGACCTATAAATACATTACAGCCTGGTATGTGTTGCATGGTGCTAACAATGCCAAGACTCTTGGTTTGATCCACAGGGAAATGAAATGTACAGGCTACCTTCAGTACAATGGTAATCAAAGCGTCTGTCAAATGCATAGTTGTAATGCAAGATTAAGGGTTAAGGGTGGGGTAGGTGTACGCATTAAAACAGCTTATAGGAGGAGGAGCTGGAGGTGAGCTTCACCCAAGTGGCTCTGCAGTGAGCACACTTTTTCACTACTGACCTACTGTATTATTGATAAATAGATCAAACATTTTACAACCCACATAGCAAAATATTTCTGGCCCACACAATCAGCTTTTGCCTGGCCCACATGCTGCAGTGAATTACGGTACATGACTAGACCAAGTCTGGCTTCCAGACAAGGGCCAAACACGGACCATATCTGCGCCAAGTCTCAGCCAAGTTAATAACTCATAACTGGGCCAGATATGTTGGTGTGTCACAATTGCAATGAAATTGATAAACACATGACGTGTTGTGCTTTAGACACACTATGGATGTACTTTTTCCTCAAAGTGACCTGATTGGTAGATTTTTTTTTTTTACTTAATTATTTTAATATATTTTAAATGTGGGTCAAGACAGGCCAAACACACATGGCCCACATATCAATTTTTTTAATCTGGGCCAAATGCTACATTTAAACCCAGGCCATGTTTGGCCCACATGCTGTATGCCAGTGCCGGATGAATGCCTGCTGTGCCAGCTTTATGCCAAATCTGGGCCAGAATTCTTTGCAACCAGGGAAGTAACCTTTGTTCTAAATTTTGGACTATTTCTTAAATCTAAAAATGAGTAATAGGAAGGTGTGAAGCTCATTTTAAAGTTAATTTTAATACTAACTAGGCTATTGTTGTTATCTGGGAATTGTCAAATGTACTCTTAGAACGGCTAAAATTATTATAATTATAATGTTTTAATATTTATTATTCAATTAGCCAAAAGACAGAGTTAAATGTGCTGGTCATTTTTTTTTACCTATTAAATGAGAATAAGCTACAGTTTTTTTGGTTAAAACTTGAACATTTCTTTTTTCTAAATTGGTATTTTGAAATTAAGTTTTTTTTTTTTAATTCTAAATATTTAGAAATATTTTGGTCCATAAAAATAATGGTTATGATGACCATCCGACAAGCTAATCCACAAAATATAGCGCTTAAAATGTCACTTAATGCAGTGTTTAAATCTCATAAATAAACAGTAAATGGGGGGAATAACTCCAGATAGGTCCAGTTTTTCAGGAACAAAAAGAACCACCCATTTCACCAAGCTGACTGCGGTGTGTGTATTTCTTTCAACACGTATATGAATAAAAAATTAGGCCTACATACATACATGGGCCATTCTTCAAGTACGGGCACTTTTAGCCTTGTGAAGTTGAGTAAAAAAAAACTTGTTCAAAATTAACACAGCCTCATACGTTAAAACAATTTATCTAGTTTTAAGATCTGTAAGAGGACAAACTTAAATAAGAAGAGAAACATTTTGCCCATCGTGAACCGAACAAATTCCAGCACATCTCAATATACAGCTTATTTCAAAATGAGATAAATGATGGCAGTCAAATATTGTCTAAGATCATGTATCTAGTTTAACCAATCTTTCCATAATATATATATAATAATTATACATTTGTCAATAAAATTAATGACTTGTATGCTGAATTGTGCACCTGTCACACTCTTAAATTGAATATTAATTTGGTTAGGAGCTTATTAGAAAATAAACTGAATTTGTATATTAAATAGAGCATGTGCTTATACATTGTGAATACACTTTTAAATGTGTGATGATGAGAACTTTTTAAATATGTTTTATAAATGTGTGTGGTGATGGAAATGACATTTCTACAGTTTATTGTGAAAAATGAAAGATAGCTTCAGAGATTCGCTTTGAGTTTATTCTAGCCTTTCATGTCTACAAAACACTCGTAATTTTGTTTGGTTTTAAAAAACATATTTGAAGGTACAGCATGTCTGGAAATGACGTAGAATAAATGTATTTCCATATCAAGCAATATTTAACTTGATTTGTGTTCAAGTGTTGTTGATAATCATTAAAGTTTCCTCCATCTTGAAGATGTTCATTTTCATAGAAACCACCTCAATAATCTCACACAAACTTGTTAAAGCGACATTACAGTGTTGTGCTGGAAATGACAGTGCGACAGCTGTATTTTGTATGAAAAAATAATATTGATAACAGTCTCAAATTAATAACGATAAAATATTTAAATTATTTCACTAGTGCTTAATTAAGATACATTAATAGTTACCAGATAAATAATATTTTAATATGTTATTATCAGTGTTGAGGTCTAAAACTCTGAGTGTGCGACAAGGTGAATAATGCACTCTAAAAAACATTGAGTTATTTATTTAACCCAGTGGTTGAGTTAAATACTTTATGCTTTGTTGGGTTATTTTTAACCTTTATTAGGTTATTTAATAATAACAACCAGTTGGATTTAATATTTGGTGCTTTGTTGTTGTTGTTTTTTTACCTTTATTAGGTTATTTATTAATACCTCAGCCAGTTGGGTTAAATATTTGGTGCTTTATAGGTTATTGTTTAACCTTTATTAGGTTATTTTATTAGGTTATTTATTAATAACTTTAATTTTAACAGTCAACTGATTTAATTGACGCAAGACAGCTGTATTAATATGTGTGTACTGTTGTTTTTGCGTTATAATGTTTATTCAAGCTCAAACGCAATAATAATGTTTTTTTATTTTGTTTATCCGTTTCACCATCCAGGACCATCTTTTATTAGATAGATGAGTGGTTAAATGTGTTGTACATTGGGACACTGAGTGAAGCCTGCTGCAGCAGCTGGACAGCCTCTACAGCTCCATATTCTGCTCCGTCAACACAGGACTTTCTGCCTGCACTGTTTATATCTGTATGCACTTTGTTCTGGTTGTTCATTGTTTGTGATTCTTGATTTATTTTAACAAAAGTGTGCAACTAAAATATAATGGAAACAAAGCATTTTCAATGTTTTTGAAAACTATATAATATCTATTTACATAACCATAATGTGAAAATGAAAAAAAATAAATAAATAAAATAAATAAATAAATGCATTGGGTTAAATAACCCATAGTTGAAAAGGTGCTATAATAACCTTTATTTGGGTTTTGTGTTGTGGTATTTTAACCCAATTATTTTAACAGCGTATATACTGAATTAACCTGCTGATCATGTCGCTGTTTTCCACTCGGACTTGTCGCATATTTGAAAAGCTTGCATTAAACACCTTCAAAATCTCCCAGTAATACCATTTGGAGGAAAGTAGAACAATGTTCACTCACTATACCGCGGGATTATATAAGTGCAATTCAGATAGCGCGTAATACCCGCTGCACATTACATAAGACACTGCCAGCAAATGTCTGTTGTTTCCCCTGAAACCTGCGAAAGCTCCTGTTGAGGGAAAGACAGCTCCACATCTGACCTTCACAGATGCAGCCGGCGTGTGTGTGGGAGATGCTCACAATGGGCCGTGTTTAGGTTTGGACAGCAGCACAGAGTGTGTACTTCAGGATAGCACCTGCGGCTGTATGTGGGCATCATGCACGCGGATGTCTGCTTTCTGCTCTGCGCGTGCTTTCTCTGCACTGGAGCTCTGCAGTCCTGTAGCAAGAGCAGGTAAGAAGAGCACATGAGTGTTTTTTTAATTAATCATTATGGCTCACGTGACAGGTTTAAGTAATATTTCAGTTTAACGCGTTTACGTAGTTTACTCACAGCATTCTCCAGTCAACTTTTTGATGCTTGTGAAGTTGCGTGCGCGCGCGCGCATTGCCGCATCTGTTTATCAAAAAGACCCCTGAGATCTGATCAAATATGTGTGGAATCTTTCCTAAAAGTGATTGTAGGCCAGAATTAATGTTATTTTTCTTAATCGATTTTAATTAGTATTTAAGTTGTTTACTTCGTGTTTACTTTTACAGCTGCGTATTCTCCGGTGCGCATCTCCGTCGCTGTTTTGCGCGTACTCGAAGTTTTATCAAATGAGACCCATGGGGATTTGGTTGGTAAAATCGGTGTAGAAACCTTCCTAAAAGTGAATGCACGTCAGAATCAATGCTTTAAACACTTTTTAATCGATTGTTATGTCTAACATAAATCAATATATACTGTCAATATACGCCTATATACAACTCTTGTGGGAATTTGCGTAAGCACGTTTCTGCCCGTTTTTTGCGTACGCAAAGTTAAAACAACACCCCTGAGGTCTGAATAATAACACGTGCCATCCTAAAAGTGACCATATGTCATCATAAATGTTAATTTTTTTTTTATGGCTCACGTGATGATTTTAAGTCATAGTTTAAATTAAATTTGTTTACTTAGCGTTGACTGTGGCTCAGTGGTCAGCATTAGAAGGTTGCTGGTTAAGTCCCAGCTGGATCAGTTGGCATTTCTGTGTATGAGTTTGCATGGTCTCCTCGTGTTGGCGTGGGTTTCCTCCAGGTGCTCTGGTTTCCTCCACAGTCCAAACACATGCGCTATAGGGGAATTGATAAACTAAATTGGCCGTAGAGCATGAGTGTGTGTGTTTGTGTGTGTGTGAATGAGTGTATGGGTGTTTCTCAGAACTGGGTTGCAGCTGGAAGGGCATCTGCTGTGTAAAACATTTGCTGGATTAGTTGGCGGTTCATTCCGCTGTGGCGACCTCTGATAAATAAGCGACCGAGCTGAAGGAAAATGAATGAATGAATGTTTACTTGCAGCAGTGCACATTCTCCTGGCAAGTCTGTTTTACTTGGTCACAACTTGGAAGTGGCGTACGTACATTTCCGCCTCTATATATTTGTGCATATGCAACGACCCTAGCAATCTGATAAAATAGAAACCTTCCTAAAAGTGAAGGTAAATAAATAACTGTAAAACAACATATTAATTAATTATTATGGCTCATCGGATTTTAAATCAATATTTAAAGGTTCAAGACACCCTGGAGTACTTAAAAAAATGTAACAGGTTTGTGTGTATTGAGCATCAGGTAAGACAGAGTTAGCACCTTAAATAGCTTTAATAGTGGGGAAAACTGGATAATTTTGAGCTTTTTGTCCGCTAATTTCATCTTTCAGGCTTTGAATAATTTTTGGGGCGGATCAAAATCAGTGATGATTATTTATGGCTGAGTATTTTTATGCTATGAGAAGACCCTGCTTCTTAAGTGCTCATGAGAGCCTGTGCTTTCTAAAGACAAGGCAGGCCTGCCAAGCTGTGAGACCCAATGACTGTATGAGGCTGTAGTCTGCAGTCCTGTGGCAGCCGTCGCATCCTCCAAGTGGATGCCGCACACTGGTGGAGGTGTGGAGAGACCCCCCTCATGATTGTGAAGTTCTTTGAATGTATGGCGGAACCGGATAAATGCACAATATAAATACACATTACATTACAATACTGTCGTTTTCTAGGATGTATTACTGTATACTACAATACCCCACTTAGCTGAAGTATACTACAGTATTTATCATTTGACGAGAATATGACATAATACTGCAGTATGCTGGAGCGTTCATTAACAAAGGGTTGAAAATACTGTAATATATACAGTTTAAGACACTTTACTGCAGTATGGTTAAAAACAGACTTTATATGTGGCTATGGAAGGTAGAGCTACAACACAATAGAATAAAAACAAATGTATTTTTTATTAAATGTATTTATTTATTCATTCATTTTCTTGTTGGCTTAGTCCCTTTATTAATCAGAGGTCGCCACAGCGGAATGAACCGCCAACTTATCCAGCAAGTTTTTACGCAGCGGATGCCCTTCCAGCCGCAACCCATCTTTGGGAAACATCCACACACACATTCACACTCACACTCTTACAATACGGACAATTTAGCCTACCCAATTCACCTGTACCTGTGTTTTGACTGTGGGGGAAATCAGAGCACCCGGAGGAAACCCACACAAAGGCAGGGAGAACATGCAAACTCCACACAGAAACGCCAACTGAGCCGAGGTTCGAACCAGTGACCCAGCAACCTTCTTGCTGTGAGGCGACAGCACTACCTACTGAGCCACTGCCTCGCCTTATTTATTTATTTAATTAATTAATTAATTAATTGATTGATTGATTGATTGATTGATTGATTGATTGATTGATTGATTGATTGATTGATTAATTAATTAATTAATTAATTAATTAATTAATTAATTTGTTTGTTTGTTTGTTTGTTTGTTTGTTTGTTTGTTTGTTTGTTTGTTTGTTTGTTTGTTTGTTTGTTTGTTTGTTTGTTTGAATCAGTGCACAACTAAAATCTAATGATTTTAGGATTGCTGAGAAATGGAAAACAGAAAAGTATGACACAGTTTCTAGGTTTTTATTCAGGTGTAAACAAACAAAAAATTGTGAAAAAGTCAAACAATCTGCTATAAGGAAATGTCATGCTGGCGCAGTGGGTTGCACGATCACCTCACAGAGTCCCGGCTGGGCCAGTTGGTGTTTCTGTGTGAAGTTTGCATGTTCTCCCCATGTTGCCGTGGGTTTCCTCCAGGTGCTCTGGTTTCCCCCACAGTCCAAACACATGCGCTATAGGGGGATTGATGAACTAAATTGGCCGTACTGTATGAGTGAGTGTGTGAATGAGTGTGTATCCCAGTGATGGGTTGCAGCTGGATGGCTATCCGCTGTGTAAAACATGTGCTGGATGAGTTGGCAGTTCATTCTGCTGTGGTGACCCCAGATTAATAAAGGGACTAAGCCGAAAAAAAATCTGCAATTATCAAATCTGTGTCACTGATTGAACCTTTTTATACAGAGGCTGGAAAACACGGTCATCATGAGCTCTGAGGTCATTAAAGCAATGAAAGATATTAAAACATTTAATCTGTTTGTCCGTATGGGTGTGCTGGTTATTTTTCGGCCAGGGCTGTACTGTATATAAAATCTGCCCAAACACAATCATGTCTGTGTGTAATGCATTTCTAGAATTGTTATTAAATGATTAACCATTCCTGCTTTTATCAGGTCCAAGCGAGAAACAACCAGAGCAGAGCGAGACTTGCATAAACCTGGCAGGTACAGAAACAACCAGACACTCTCACAATCATCTGCAAGATTTATCTGAATGTTAAAGGGGTCCTTTTATGCAAAACTGACTTTAATAAGGGGTTTAAACACAATTGTGTGTCAGTAATGTGTGAATATAACCGGCCTGTAATGGTAAAAAATTATTAATTGTGTTTGTTTTAATCAGACTTGATCAAATCGGTCTGCAGAAACACTTTGACATTCTCCCGTTGCATGTGTCATCAGAGGGGGAAAGCTCCGCCCACTAGTGACCATCTCTCCCTCATTAGCATAGGACGTTAGTCTGTTTTTTTAATCTGCCACTATTCTGACAAACAAGCGTTTGTAGCTCCGCCCTCTTCTGAAAAGAGCACAATCTCATTTGCATTTAAAGCGACAGTCACCAAAACACCATAATTAGGATCAAAGCCTGAAAGAGTCAGTTTCACAGAGTTAAAACATTATCTGTGTGGTATTTTGAGCTGAAACTTTACACACACACACTCTAGAGACAGCAGAGACGTATTTTGTAAATTTTCTTGTAAAAAAGGTGCATAATAGGACCCCTTTAACTCATATCTGTCAATTCCAATTTATACTCATTGGGAATATGTGCCCGGGGCTACTTATTCGAGAACCGCGAAATATGTACCTAGAGCTATGTACGACTGCATTCTGTGTGTAAAATGAACACTACAGGGCGGTATGACACAGCGACAACCTTCTGTTAATTTTCGCGCAATACAGCAAACCATTTACTTCCATACGGACGGCTTTTACAGTGTGACCAGTGCGCTCCGCAGCTCACCTTGTAAGTTGTCAGACTTGGACATGGTTTGAGGACAGTTCCAGAGACTAATTCAAAAAGAAAAAGCTGTGTGAAATTGTGGTAAAAGCACACGGCTGTGATAGCTTTTGAAAGCACTATCGGTTGGGTTTAGGGAAGAGTGTGTCAGTTGATATCAAGCTAATATATAATGCACAACAACAATCCGTTCGGCTTTTTACATGGATGCGTGCAAGGACGTTGATATTGTAAATGAATACAGCGGCCTCTGGTGGATCCACAAGAAATAGCACATATGTGAAAACATGATCTGAGATTGTATTTGAGATTGTCAAAAATATGCACGGCGCCCTCTAGTGAAAACAAAACAGCAAGAATACGTAGCTCTGGACACATATTCTGCAGTTCCCAAATATGTAGCTCTGGGCACATATTCTCTGGTCGGGAAACAATTCAGTTTGCATTAGAACTGTGTTTGTACTGTTATCAGAAAGTTCTGTTTTTGTGACCTCATTTATTTATTAATTTCTCAGCACTTTACTAATGCGAAGTCCAGATGTGACGAAAGCTCCCGTCACCAAATCCGAGCAGCTCCTGAAGCTGGACGATCACGACTTCACCATGAGACCAGGCTTTGGAGGTACAAACAACACATTCAGTCTCAAAAACAAAAATACACTGAATATCCAGCATGTCGTTGGCTATGCTACAAAATAAACATCAATTTAATTATATATCTAAACACAATATTCAATTTTTAAAGGGATAGTTCCACCAGAAATGAAAATTCTGTCATCATTTACTCTTCTTCACACTTTACAAGATCCTCTTTTTCTCTTGTAACGATGGTAGCATACAGATAATCCAAATAGTAGAGGTGTAACAGGCGAATAGGTTGAGGCAACCATCAAAACAACGTAAACAGTAAACGAACAATGGGTCAAAAGCATGGCAAGACAACACAGGAGCAGTTGGACCGGTGTACCTAATAAAGTGGCCGGTGAGTGTATGTCTTCCATGTAATCAGTGCTGATGATCAACAACTTGTGAACTGGTGTGTGAGTGCAGTGCATGATGGGATATGTAGTCTGTAAAAGTGACACATTGTTGAACACAAAAGAAGATATTTTGAAGAATGCTGGAAATCAGTGAACATTGACTTCCATAGTAGGAAAAACAAATACTATGGAAGTAAATAACTTATTTTGTGTTCAGCAGAAAAGCAAAACAAACCCATAAAGGTTTAAAGCCACTATTTTGAGAGTGAGTAAATAGTTAATTTTCTGTTTTGAGTGAACTGTCCCTTTAATTTAATAAAGATAACATACATAATTAATCTTCGTTTTTGTCTTGTTTCTTGTCCAAATATCTTAAAAACTCCTAAATCAAGAAGCATTGTCTGGACAAGTAAAAGCATGGTCTTGTACAGAAATTAAGTGGGTTTTTCCTTAAAAGAAGACAAAAATCTGCTAAATAAATTATTTTAAAGGATTAGTTTTTCTTAGCCTATTGGCAGATTACTTTGCTTGTTTTAAGGAAAAACTTAATTAAATTTGACTCATTATTTCTGAAAACAGGACCGTATCTTTTGCTTGTCTAGAAAATGCTTCTTGATTCAAGAGTTTTTAGACATTCGGACTAGAATCGAGATTTGTTTTGCAGTGTAAGCATTATACTATTGGCTTTATTTTCGTCAGGAATTACTGACGAGTGTGCAATGATTCTCATTAATGATATATGAAAGAGCTGAATTTCTTAATAAACAGCTCAAGAATCAGACTTATGTAGGATTTGAACTGACATCACAGGCAATCAGCTTTACATAAGCTCAGGGCAGATTATAACACTGATTCACTGGGGCTCGGAGCCAGCAGCACTCACTTATCTGCCCGTATCTTCACTGGAGTTCACATGAACTGTAAACACTACGGTCAGATCAGACCCGGATTAAGGGTGATGAAAATAATGCCCTAAGGTGAAAAAAAGGACATGCTTTCTCAAATTCTGCTTTTTATGCAGCGCTTTCCACCACTGATTAACAAACAAGGGCACTGGAGATCTGCTCAAATATCTGCATAAGACACTCATGATATTGTGAGTTATGGGAGATTTCATGCATGCTTAAGACAACTGTCATTAAGAGTCATTCACTCACTTGTGTTTAACATGCAAAGATGACATTGATTGAGATGTTTTATGACAACTTGACATAAGAAAATACATCATAACATGCTTGTCTTTGTCATTGACATTATCAAGACAACATAACCTGTCTTAAATCCATCATAAACAGCCTGTGCAGATCGTTAATGGTCTGCAAATCTGCTGGTTAATGGACTACATGCTCCAGTCATGCACCGCTCACACACACCTGTTCCAAGTTACGGTGATGAAACACACAGACACAGCTGGTTGTTGCTAGATCGGATACGGTTGCGGCCGGAAGTTAGCGAGATTTATTTACATTATTTATGAAATTTCACATTTATTGTGTTTTGTTAACGTCTCCCCTCACCAAAATCCTAAACCCAACCGTCATAGTAATGTAAAAACAGACATCCCATGTTGGGAACAGTCATTTCTGGGGGGCACAGAGATAATTTGTGGGAGAGTGGGTGGGTGGGGGATGGGGGTGGTACGTGTCCGCAAGACATATCCGAAGAGCAGTGGGGGCGTGTCCGCGAGACATATCCGAAGAGCAGTGGGGGCGTGTGTGCTCGATGTGTTTGTTTGTTTACGTAGCCTGCTGCCTGCCTGCACTGACTATCGCCTGTGTATTTGACTACGGCTCCGGATTTGCCTACATACATCTGTTTGCTCCTGATTGTGACCGTTGCTTCCCTGACCATCTCTGTATAGTAAACCCTGCGTTTGGATCCTCACTTCCCTGTTAGCGTCTGCTTCACATTACATTTGTCCTTTGGATATGAATAATGTAAATAGACAGAGAGAGGCCATGAGAAGAAGCAATAATCACACTGTAAACGACCAAATCTGGGTTTTAATCGGTTAATGCTGACGGCTGTGTGAATATATTGAGCTGTGTTCGTGCAGGACTATGATCTTATCGTGATCAGTCAACCGAGAGCACACATATCCTGTCTGTTGCACATCAATAATAGCATATGTTTTTTTATTGATCCTGTATGCCGCTTTAATTGTTTGTACATCCATTGCAAATGGCATCCATCGAATGTTATTGGCTTTATGTTCCTGCAGCCGTTGAGTGTTCTCTTTCATCTGGACATTTGCCACAATGGCGTGAGCGCTCTGAAACTGGGTGGTGTTTTGCTGGTTTTTAATTTTGCAGATTATTCGTGTACATTTGAAGTTATTTGGTTGAAATCCACTGGTCTACACGAGAGATGAGCACTAGATCTGTGCACAAACAGCACTTTATTTACCAAAAGTACATGAGACAGGTAAAACAAGCAGAGGCCTACAAGCACACAGAATACATGAGTGATTAAACAAGGCACAGGTGAACACAATAGGTGTAGAAACAGAACATTAGCTGGGTTTCTGTCGGCCTTTGTTAATGCACATTTTGAAGTACCGCATGAGAAATGAGGGATAGAAATGCCAAATACATTCAATAAATCTAAATTTGGCGATACAATTACTGGTTTCTTATGGGATGCTCAAAGTGATTTTTACACATTTGACAAATTGTGTTCATTGCTTACTCTGTTGTCATCAATTGAAATGTAAAAATTATTATGTGCTTAATTTCAGGGCCTGCGATACCTGTTGGTGTTGATGTTCAGCTGGAGAGTCTGGACACCATCTCTGAAGTTGATATGGTAAAAGACTGACACGTGTTTTTATATGTACAGAAGTCAGAATTATAAGCACCTCCGTTTATGCTTTTCCACAATTTCTGGTTAACAGAGAGCAGGTTAGGGTAATTAGGCAAGTTATTGTATGTGAGTTGTATCTGTAGACTATTGAAAAAGTATAAAGCTAAAAAGGGGTAAATAATTTTGACCTTAAAATGGTGTTTAAAAAATTAAAAACTGCTTTTATTCTAGCCGAAATAAAACAAATAAGAATTTCTCCAGAAGAAAAAATATTCTCAGACATACTGTGAAAATTTCCTGAATCTGTTCAACATAATTTTGGAAATATTTGAACAAGAAAAAAAAAAATTTAAAGGGGGTGAATAATTCTGACTTCAACTGTATATTAAGACATACACTCGCCGGCCACTTTATTAGGTACACCTGTCCAACCACTTGTTAACACAAATTTCTTATCAGCCAAACGAACTGCTGCAGTTCAAAGCGATCATCAGAATTGGGAAGAAAAGGGATTTAAGGGACTTTGAACGTGGCATGGTTGTTGCTGCCAGACAGAGCAATATGGAGCAAAATTTCTGAGGAATATGTAAGAATATATAGGTATACATATAGGGCATACAGCTTTCAGAGAACATCATGACTGATTCAGTTCTCTCTTGATAAATCCATTCAGATGATCTCTGGGTCATGCAGGAGCACTTTTAGCTTAGCTTAGCATAGATCATTGAATCAGATTAGACCATTAGCATCACTTGCTATACTTTAATTCTGGCGTAATAATCAAGGAACGTTGCTGAAGTATCATGGCTACAGCAGGGCCAATGATATTATGCATCACCTGAATATAGTCCCCAGGTAAGTAAGGGTGCTGCATTATATCATTGCGCTGCTGCAGTCATGGTACAGCGGTAAAGTTCCTTGATTATGCCAGAATGAGAGTTTAGTTCCTATAACCATATCAGCCTAGAAAACAGCAACGTTTAATTTTCCATCTGTCTTAATACATGATGTAACTACAAAAGAGTCGAGCTTTAATTAGGAAATTATCAAATCTCTTTGGTCATTTTTGAGCGAGATGCTAATGGTCTAATTCAATTCAATGATCTATGCTATGCTAAGCTAAAAATGCAAGACCCGGAGATCAGCTGATTATATTCAAAAAAGGTAAAACTCGACTGTTTACCTTTAGGGCAGCTGTAAAATCAGAGTTTTTCCAATAAAGGTGTAGTGTTCCTTTAGGATGAGTTTGTGATTGTGTTGTGTGCTACAGGACTTCACCATGACTCTGTATCTGAGACACTACTGGAAGGACGCGCGGCTGTCTTTTCCCAGCAACACCAACCAGAGCATGACCTTCGATGGCCGGCTGGTGAAGAAGATCTGGGTCCCGGACATATTTTTTGTCCACTCCAAGCGCTCCTTCATCCACGACACCACCACAGAGAACGTCATGCTGCGAGTGCATCCCGATGGGAAGGTGCTCTACAGCTTACGGTAACTGTCGCGCACACGCTTACTGCTGATAACACAGAGCATTTTATTCTGGATTTGCTTTTCACTTTGTAGTTAACATTTGACCTTTCAGAATTATGGAAGCGCTCAGTTTAATCCCGTCCAAAGCTCAAGAAGCAGATTGACGGCCATCAGAAGCTTTATGCTGCGTCCGGCTTTGCTTTAGATGGATGACAGAGTTGAGTCGAAACCTAATTAGTGAGAGAAACTTGATTTGCTTTAAAAAAAAAAAGATTTTACACCAAAACTCTAATATATAAACCAACACAGTCATTTCCAGTGTTTGCTATTAAGTTTGTATTTTTTTTCTGCCTGAGATTTAACCAACACAAGCTCATTGGAAATACTTGCTTTAGTTTGACTGCACTTTCTATGTAAAAACACTAGGGGGCAGCATGACGACAACAACTTTGGTTCCTTTTCACACTCGTTATATTTACAGGGTCATATTATTGGTGATTAAAGGATTATTTTTGCACCGTTCTTCGCGCAACACCAAGTAAATACCACAAAGAAACATAACATATCCATAATTTCTAACCAAATAAGCTTACGTTACCTATCTATCTCCGTATGGTCAGCTTTTCTGGTGGACCGACATGAATGTGTGAATCCAACAAGATCAAAACATCACCGCTATTTTAAAATATGGAGTAATTGTTCATTTTATCAGTGTCACGTTATTTTATCTATGACCTTTTCACCGCGATGTCCAATAGAATTTTGCATGCTCAAACTCTAGTATGGTCACAGCGCCCTCTCGTGGATCTGTCATCTGAAAAGTGCAATAAAACGTACCTTATGTAACATTTTAGATTGAAAAAAATGTAGACAGTGCCCTCTAGTGGATTTCTCATACAAAACATGCAACAAAATGTATTTCAAATGATTCACAAAAAACATAAATGAACAACAAAATGTTTAAGTAATTATTTTACATTCCCAAAAAACTTAGACAGTGCCCTCTAGTGGATTTACCATCTGAAACGTACAACAAAACATTTCTTATGTAACGTTTTAGATTGGCAAAAAATGTAGACAGCGCCCTCAAGTGGATTTGTCATCTGAAATGTGCAGCAAAACGTATCAGATTGTATTAGTAATTATTTTAGATTGTTAAAAAAATAGACATCACCCTCTAGTCGATTGTCATCTGAAATGTGCAATGAAATATGTCAGATTAAAAAAATTGTAGACAATACCATTAGTGGATTAGTCATCTAAAAAGTACCTTAGGTAACATTTTATATTGGCAAAAATGTAGACAGCACCCTCTAGCGGATTTCTCATCTAAAACATGCAACACTTTGTATTTCAAGTAATGATTCGCAAAAACCATAGACATCTCCCTGTAGTAAATTTGTCATCTGAAAACATCTTACAACAAAATGTTTTCTAAGTAATCATTTTGTATTCGTAAAAAACGTACACAGTGCCCTCTAGTGGATTTGTTATCTGAAACGTACAACAAAACATTTTTTAGGTAACGTTTTGGATTGGCAAAAATGTAGACAGAGCCTTCTGGTGGATTTCTCATCTTAACTGTGCAAAAATGTAGTTCGATTACTTTACCTTGGCAAAAACTTAGATGGCTCCCTCTAGTGGATTTCACATCTAAAACATGCAGCAAAATTTCTTTTAAGTCAATTTTTTTTAGATTCGCTAAGAACTAGACAGCACCCTCTAGTGGATTTGTCATCAGATTTGTAAAACAAAACATACCTTAGGTAACATTTAAGATTGGCAAACATGTCGACAGCGCCCTCTAGAGGAATTCTAATCTAAAATGTGCAACAAAATGTATTTTAAGTAATTATTTTAGATCCACAAAAAACTTATATGGCACTCTCCAGTAGATTTTCTAAAATATGCAACAAAGTGTATTTAGTCTACAGTCATGTATGTATTAATGTCTAAAGTCATTTTTGTTTAGATTTGCAAAAGCATAGGCATCTCCCTCTATTGGATTCATCATCTGAAATGATAAAATGTATTTTATGTAATTATTTTAGATTCGCTAAAAACTCCCTAAAACACAGCGCCCTCTAGTGGATTTGTCCTCTGAAGCGCTTAACATAATGTATCAGATTCACGAAACTGTAGACGTCGCCCTCTAGTGGATTTGTCTTCTAAAACGTACAACAAAACGTACCTTAGGTAACATTTTAGATTGGAAAATATGTTGACAGTGCCCTCTAGTGGATCTCTCATCTAAACTGTGCAACAAAATTATTCTTATTAATTATTTTAGATTCGCAAAAAAGACCTTTTAGAGACAGCGCCCTCTAGTGCATTTTTCATCTGAAATGTGCAAAAATTGTATTCCAATTACTTTAGATTGGCAAAATACTTAGATGGCAGCATCCAGTACTTCTCATCTAAAACATGCAACAAAATGTATTCCAAGTCAATTTTTTTCATTTGCTAAAACTTAGACAGCGCCCTCTAGTGTTTTTTTTCTTCTAAAATATGCAACAAAATGTATTATATTCACAAAAATGTAGATGTCTCCCTCTTATAGATTTGTTTTCTGAAACGTACAAAACATACCTTAGGTAACGTTTTAGATTGGCAAAAATATAGATGTTTCCCTCTAGTGTATTTGTGTTCTGAAACACACAACAAAACGTACCTTGGGTAACATTCTGGATTGGCAAAAATGTACACAGCGCCATCTGCTGGATTTATTGTGTAAAACATGCAACAAAATGTATTCTAAGTTAACATTTTTTTGATTTGATAAAACTTAGACAGCGCCCTCTAGTGGATTTGTCATCTGAAACGTACAACAAAACATATTCTAAGTATTTTAAATGAGCAAAAAACATAGACAGCGCCCTCTAGTGGATTTGTCATCTGAAACGTACAACAAAACATATTCTAAGTATTTTAAATGAGCAAAAAACATAGACAGCGCCCTCTAGTGGATTTGTCATCTGAAACGTACAACAAAACATATTCTAAGTATTTTAAATGAGCAAAAAACATAGACAGCGCCCTCTAGTGGATTTGTTAGCTGAGATGTGTAGTGAAATGTACCCGGAGCAACATATTTTCCTTTTTCACAAAAACTTAGACCATGGCACGCATTTCCAAAGAGCCCGGGTTGAATCCATCCTAGATCCAATCTATCCAGCCCTGATTCTTGCTTTAGACGAGTGAACGTGTGGATTAATACATGGGAATCTGTGGGATTAATGCAATGCAGATGTCCGTTCAGACACAAAGCGGGCTTTAATCTCTAAGCCGTCCCACAACCAGCGTGCTGGATAAAAATGACTTTATTCTTCTATACATCTCCACGTACAATCTGTAAGCATCCGATCCAGGTCTGTCTTTTTATCCCAGGCCAGATGGCTGATCTGCAGGGTTTTACTGATTTCTGTACAGTGCATCCACACAGAATCCCAACCTGAACCTTACACATTTTATGTTGCAGATGTGTGTTAAATTGTTTTTTACATCAGTTTTTCAGCAATTTTGAAAGGCTACATTGATTTACGTCAATCTAGACGCCACATACTACACATAAACAACAATTATTTGTAATCACTACTTATTAATGTATTAAATGGAGAGCTCACCCAGGAATAAACACTTCTGGTGGTTAAGAAGTGGTTACAAATGTTTATGAAATTCTTCATTCTGTTCAACACAAATCAAGAAATCATGAAGAGTGTTGGAAAAAAGCAGCCATCGACATCCATGGGTACTAGAAATACTCCCTAAAGCAGAGGTGGCAAACCCTGTTCCTTCAGACTTCAGCTGCAACCCATATCAAACACACCTGCCTGTAATGATCACATGGTGTTCAGGTCCTAATTAGTTGGTTCAGGTGTGTTTGATACGGGTAGCAACTGAAATCTGCAGGAAGGTGGCTCTCCAGGAACAGGGTTGGCCACCCCTGCCCTAAAGGATCTCCATAAATACTATAGAAGTCAATGACTCTTTTTTTCGAGCAATCTCAGTTTATCCTTATTTTGTGTTCAACAGAAATAAGAAACTCAAGTCAAGACAAGTGTATTAGAATTATCATGTTTGTGTGAACTGTCCCTTTAAATCATAAGCCTGTCCCATTACAAGATGAATAGCTCTGAATGCTTTGTGTAGTAGTTTTATATGAACCACAAAGAAAGCAGAAGTTGACATACACTGTATAAAAAGGCACCATTTTAATGGTCAGATGTTGATGTGACTAAACTTTTTCACTTTTAGGTAAGTCAGGATGATCACATGTGTTTCTGTTCTGCTTAGCAGAATAATGAGAGAGATATTGTTTGGGAAATTGTTATAACTCTTGTTGAAAGTCAAGTTTACACACAATCAGATTATTCTGCCTCTGAAAAAGCTCAGATGATGATGTCGAGGTTTTGGAGGTTTCTGATTGGCTAATTGACAACGTTTGAGTTAATGTGAGGCACAACTGTAGAATAGTATTGAAGGAAAAGCTCAAACACACTGCTTCCTTGTGTGACAACATGGGAAAATCAACAAGCCAGAATCAACACAAAACCAGATTACCATTAGCTGAATCACACTGGGAATAGACTGATGTTTGGAGACATGTCCTGTGCTCTGATGAAGCTAAGATTGAACTGTTTAGCCATAATGAGCAGTGTTACATCTGGAGGACAAAGGGGAAATCAACAAGCCTAGAACACCATCCCAACTGTGCAGTATGGGGGCGGCAGCATCATGTTGTGGGGCTGTTTTGCTGCAGGAGGGACTGGTCCACTTCACAGCATAGATGGCATCATGAAGAAAGAACATTATGGAGAAATACTGAAGCAACATCTCAACACATCAGCCAGGACATTAAAACTTGACCACAAATGGGTCCAAACAGACCATGACCCTAAGCATGCTGCCAAACTAGTTCAAATGTGCTTTAAGGACTACAGAGTGAATGTTTTGGAGTGGCCATCACAAAGCCCTGATATCAATCCTATAGAGAATGTGTGGGCAGAGTTGAAAAAGCTTGTGCGAGCAAGACAAATCTGACTCAGTTACAGCAATTCTGTCAGGAGGAATGGACCAAAATTACTTTAAACTATTGAGAGAAGCTTGTGGAAGGAGACCCAAAACTTTTGACCAAAGTTATACAGGCTAAAAGCAATGCTAAAAATATACCAAGGAAATGTGTGTAAACTCTAGACTGTCTAGAAATTAATAAAGAATTCTCTCATTATTTTGGCATTTAGCAAATGTAAATCATTCAGGTTATTCTAGTGGACCTAAAATAGTAAACGTTTAGTATCATTTACCATCAGACAGAAAAAAAATGGTTTTGCTCCTTTTTTTAAAGTGTATACTGTGTCAACTGTTTCTATGTCATGGATTTGTTTGCTGCATATACAGAAACACAATGTTTACCTTTTCCATGCTCACTCAACAGGGTCACGGTTACATCGATGTGCAACATGGACCTCAGTCACTTTCCCCTGGACACTCAGACCTGCTCGCTGGAGATCGAGAGCTGTGAGTAATGCCATACATTAAGCTGAGCGCTCAAAAAATGAGTTGTGTTGCTTGTTGAAGCTATCTAGCAGTACTTTGTTTATCGAGCAAGTGTATCTAACTGGATTAGCAATGAAAGCTTTTAAATACAAGATAAAAAGTTATAATTTTCTGTTCAGTGTGTTCAGTTTTAGTTACTATACACTCCAAATATGGCATTTGCTGCTTGTTCAAACTACTTATTTTCAAGTAGCTGAAACAACACGGTGGCTCAGTAGTTAGCAATGTGGTCTCCCAGCAAGAAAGTTGCTGGTTCGAGTCATGACATTTGTCATTTCTGTGTGGAGTTTGCATGTTCTTCCTGTGTTGGCGTGGGTTTCCTCCAAACACATGCGCTATAGGGGGAATTGATGAACTAAATCAATAGTTTATGAGTGTGTAAAACATAAGCTGGAATAGTTGGCGGTTCATTCCACTGTGGCGACCCTTGATCAATAAAGGGACCAAGTTTTATATTCACTTGGTGAATAAAGCTGATTCTGATTTCCCTCGCAGACGCCTATACTGACGACGACCTGATGTTGTACTGGAAGAGAGGGAACAAATCTCTGCAGACGGACGACAAGATCTCTCTGTCTCAGTTCCTCATCCAGGAGTTCCACACCACCACAAAACTAGCCTTCTACAGCAGCACAGGTCCACACTGATAAACCCACCGCTCACCCGTCTCACTCTGACAGCTGTTACCTTCCTCCATATTATCTCACATCATGTCATGTCACATTGCGTAATGCCGTAATTCCCCACTAGCAAAAGATTGGTGTCATAACTTCCTCCGGTAAACCATCAGATTTCAGTCTGGTGACCTAAAGGGGCTGTTCACTCAAAAATGAAAATGTACTCACTAGCTGCTCCTCCAAACTGTTATGAGTTTCTTTCCCCCTGTTAAACACAAAAGAAGATATTTTGAAGTAAGCTGAAAACCTGTAACTATTGACTTCCATACACCACAAAAAATGCTGTTCTTTTTGTCTTGTTTGTAGTTCAAATATCGAAAAACTCTTATATTAGGAAGCATTTTCTAGGCAAGCAAAATATATTGTCTTGTTTTCAGAAATATTATGCCAATAAACAAGCTAAATAATCAGCCAATGGGGGAAGCAAAACAATCTTATGTCAAAAGGAAAAACTAAATTATTTTGCTTGCCCCCATTGGCAGATTATTAAGCTTGTTTTAAGGAAAAACTCTCTTAATATTGGCATATAATTTCTTTTGTTTGATGCCTAATCTGCTTTTAACTGTTTAAATTAAACTGAACTGAATGGAGGTTTGTAGTCCACAATGAAACAGATATTCAATATTGAGTATCAAACAGATACTCAACCTGCTATGGAACCGATGACCTTCTGCATGGGAGTCGGGTGCTCTACCAAGGAGGCTAAAGGCCATGACCTCTAGCGTCTGTCACTAGAGCACCTTTAGAGGTCAGAGGAGTGAGGTTTACCTGCACAGCACTTACTAGCTGGCCTCCGTTACACTCACCACTCTAAACCTCACTTCCATCCGGGTCACGGCACCAATGTAACCCCACCAGTTCTACTCCAGCCAACCCGCTCCGAGCTGGTATCGAACTGGCGAACTTCCGCATGGTAGTCAGTTGCGCTACCAAGGAGGCTAAAGACCATGGCTGTCTGTCTCTAGAGCAACTTTAGAGGTCAGAAGAGTGAGGTTTACCTGCACAGCACTTACTAGCTGACCTCTGTTACAACAGCATGTTGCTGCAATGTTTACAGTGCTGATCGTACACTTCCAGGTTTCTCCTCAGTGCAGCCTTGCTTTCGTTTTTAAAATGGCGGCCGTGTGAAATAAGCGTATTTGCATTTCAGCCTGCAGTCACTAATTTATATTATATTTTATATGTTTATATCTTCTTGTCTATTGTGATGGGCTAAAACAGAATAATCAGTCTCGAACAGTTGTTGATCATTGGTGCTGTGCAGGGGCGTAGATTTAGGGTGGACAGAGGGGACACGTCCCCACCAATATCGAAATGTTCCCACCAATAATTTAATCCACTTTTTAAAAAAAAGTCATCAGCTAGGCTGGCCAAGCTGATTTTAGCTGGTCATCTCCCAGGAATATATATATGTATATATATTATTTGATTCAGCTACTATAGTAGGTATATACCAACGCAATCTCACGGCAATTCGTAACTTTTTGATTTAGTGGCTAATTCGTTCAAATTCGTACAATCTAATTCGTACAATTTACTCATCACCCAATGACGGTTGAGCTTAGGGGTTGGGTTGAGTGCCAAGCCTTTTTTTTTTTAAATCGTACATTTTCGTACGACTGAACTCGTACGAATTCGAACAAATTAGCCACTTAACTGACAAAACGTAAAATACTTACGTTTTCTCGTGAGATCAGGCTGTATATATCTACTATTGATATATATATATTGTTTGATTCACCTACTATACCTACTATAGTAGGTATATACCAGTGCAATCTCACAGCAATTCGTAACTTTGTGATTTAGTGGCTAATTTGTATAAATTCGTAAGATCTAATTTGTACAATTTAATATGATTTGCTCCTCACCTAACAACGGTTAGGGTTAGGGGTTGGGTGCCACGCTTTTTTTTTTAAAATCGTACATTTTTGTATGACTGAACTCGTACGAATTCGAACAAATTAGCCACTTAACTGACAAAACGGAAACTACTCCCGTTTCCTCGTGAGATCAGGCTGTATATACCTACTATTGATATATATATATTGTTTGATTCACCTACTATACCTACTATAGTAGGTATATACCAGTGCAATCTCACAGCAATTCGTAACTTTGTGATTTAGTGGCTAATTTGTATAAATTCGTACGATCTAATTTGTACAATTTAATACGATTTGCTCCTCACCTAATAACAGTTAGGGTTAGGGGTTGGGTGCCACGCTTTTTTTTTAAAATCGTACATTTTCGTACGACTAAACTCGTACGAATTTATATTAATTAGCCACTTATATATATTGTTTGATTCACCCATCCCCACCAATGTCAAGTGCAAACCTACGCCCTTAGTGCTGTGTAATTACTCAAATTATCCTCTCTCAATATTCTCCTGCAGGTTGGTACAACCGTCTGTACATCAACTTCACTCTGCGCCGCCATATTTTCTTCTTCCTGCTTCAGACGTATTTTCCCGCCACTCTGATGGTCATGCTGTCATGGGTGTCCTTCTGGATCGACCGGCGAGCTGTTCCTGCCAGAGTTCCTCTGGGTCAGATATTCACCATGCATTTTGTTATTGCACGACCAATAAACACACACTTAACTGACCATCCGCAATCTACGTCTTGCAACATGCACTCTTGAATAAACTGATCTGTTTGCAGGCATCACGACGGTGCTCACCATGTCCACCATCATCACCGGAGTGAACGCCTCCATGCCCAGAGTCTCCTACATCAAAGCTGTGGACATTTACCTGTGGGTCAGCTTCGTCTTTGTCTTCTTATCTGTCATCGAGTACGCCGCGGTGAACTACCTGTCCACTCTGCAGGAGCGCAAAGAGAGGTCACAAAACAGCCGGGTACGTGCATCACCAATAAAGATTGTCCACTTGTTATGCGATCAGTCCATATATTGATTATTGTGACATGTGATTATTGCAATTGTGCAACTGTGTTTTGCTGATCCAGCAGTTGCCGTGTACCTGCGGAATGACCCATCCCGGTCAGATGATGATGAGCAGCAGCTACAGTGAGATGGACATGATGACCACGGGAAACTACGGCATGTCGGAGCTGAGCGACACCAAGCAGGAGCAGTTCCTGGTTCATCTGGTTATGGATAACGAACAGGGCGCTCAAAGGCCCGCCGTGACCACCAGCAGCACGTTAAATATAGACACTCACGCTATAGACAAGTACTCGCGGGTCATCTTCCCTGGAGCGTACACACTCTTCAACATCATATACTGGTCCATCTACTCACAGTGATGCTGAGGGAATGCACATCACCTGGACAAAACTGTGGTCACTAAACCATCTGATAGACTTAAACACAGTCTGTGTAATGCGTCACGTGGGCAGATAATATGGTTGGAGATTGTCAAATGCAAGAGGTTTATTTTTCCATATACGGCTCGTGTGAGTTTTGTATTCTTTTAGTGATGTTTAAAGAGCCCCTATTATGCATTTAAAAGGTCATATTTTGGTTTTGGGGGTCTCCAACAACATGCTGAACTGCATTCAAGGTCATTGTGTTGTATTCTGCATTTATTTTTACCTGATTATCCCGATGACTCCCATATGAATTGTTCTGCGATTCATTTGCTCCCCAACGCCTCCTGAGCATGATGCTAATCTGTGCTGATTGGTCCGATGACCCGGCTTGTTGTGATTAGTCGACTGCGTTCAGCGTGAGACAGGTAAACGAGAGTAAGACAGAGAGTAAATGTGGTTTTGATGCATTTTAGGTCGGTCCAGTGTGGACTTTGGTGCAGATTTTATGTCATCAAAATGCTTAGGACACTCCTGGGCTTACAGTGAATGTTTTCAGAGAGTGTCCGTTTGCATAGTTAACTCGCTTTAATTTGCAGAAATCATTCAATTGTGATGTTTTCTCCTGTTTTTTTTTAGAAAACTGAATAAAATGTGAGTTTTATCAGTCGTCTTGTTGTGTCAGCAGTCACACAGACTACATGAAATATCGCGGTGTGCTTTTCAAATAACTACTACTGAACATATTTATACTGAACAATTTAACAGACAATTATTACAATATATTTTTAGATTAGAATACCCTTATTGTCCTCGAAGGGCAATTAGGTTTACAGCAAGTGTGCCGCAAGCCTGCGTTTGAGTGAAGGTCTCGGCCGTTAGATCGCCCCCTGGGGGCTGGCTGCAGTACAAGTCATAAAACCCGCCTCCTGCGTGTTAATGAAGGAGACTTGAGCCCAAATAAAAAAATTAATTACACTTGCAATAAAATGTCCCGAAAGATGGTTCTGGTGGATTAAGGCACTGGTTATTGTGCTGAAATAGGTGCAGATCTTCATTTTTGTAAACAGTTTGTTTTTAGCAGTAATTTAATGCTGGGCGTGTCATCGTGATTGACAGCTGTGATCTCAAAGCAGCGTGTCTGAGCTTCAGCAGGAGACTGAAGTGTTATTACTCGATTTCTGTGTTATTTTACCATGACAAAATGAGTTCAGCAGTAAACTATAGTTTCTGACATACATGATCTGGTGGAACACTGTTTATTCGCTAAGTTCAGGGCTTTTTTCGGGCTTTATTAGTTTGCTGATACACGCCTAACCACCAAGATAGCAAAACACAGTTCCGGCTAGATTCTCGCCAGCCGGAGACTTACCCCTCAGAGCTCAGACTGACTACCTCTGCTGGACCTACTCCGGATGCCTGGAGTCACTGCCCGATTCCAGCCCGAGTCAATCGAGCCAGATGCGGCGGCCGAGCGAGCCGGCGCTGCCGCATGCGAGCCGGAATCAGCCCGCGACGCCGCGAGTAGGTTATGCGCTGTGGCCCGGAGCTGGCGCGATTGAATATATAAAACCCTCATATTTGTTAACGTTATTACATCCATCTGTGTTTATATGACAGCAAACGCATGCTGAGCAGTTCGGGGGGCGTGGTTGATTTTACATAAAGCGTTTGGTTGGAAGCTCGACTCCGCTCATTTTCGCGGCTCCTCCTCTGGCTCCATCAGACAGTCCTTCTGCGCATGTCAAGGCTCCAATTTCAGCAGTCTTTTGCGACAGTTTGTGCCCGTCAAGCAGGCGTTTTGCCCTCAAGGCGTTCAATGGGAAAAGGGGCTGTCGCGTCGTCCATATTTTTTACAGTCATTGGTTTACAGCAATAGCAGACAGTTGACAGCAACAAGTCACACTCAACAACATAAAATAAACAGTACAATAATCATGGAGAGAGAGGAAAAAAAAAACTTCACGCTTTAGTAACCCAACTACAGCATACCTGTCAACATTGGGATGTGAAAATAAGGGATATGCCCACTATAATAAGGGATCTCCAACATCAGATCCCTTTATGCAAATACCCCAGCTCAGACAGTATCCGACTGCTGACTAGTTTCATTGGCTGACGCTGCTATGAAGGTCACATCAGCCCTAACTTCAGATACGCTCTTTGTCAAGCGTTGACGCCCTGTGTGAATGGGGCGTAAGAGTTTATGAAATGAAGCTAATATTTTTGCAGATCTGAATCTAGAAATTGCTGAAACCTTTCACTGCACGCAAGCTCAGAGGAAAATTTACAGACTACAAATAAACCTCTAGTCATAAAACACAAACAAAGATAATTTATTTCATAGTGCGCAGAAGAACAAGATGAGAGAAAACCCAAAACACTAGTTTTTTTTTGTTGTTGAACACAATAGAAAACAAATCTTTTTTTGCAGAAATTATGCAGATTATACAAAACAACATTGGGAAAAGAATATAGGTCCCACTTTATATTAAGTGTCCTTAACTAATATGTACTTACACAGGAATTAATAGTTTGTTACAATGTACTTATTGTGTAAATGCATGTATTTACTGTGTACTTATGCTTCATTAAATACATGTATGTAATTATATCTGTATTTAACTTCTGTAGTTACATTTGTAAATACACTGTTGATCATCCCTTACACCTTAACCCACCCTTAAACCTACCCATACCACCAAATCTGTCCATAACCCAACCTCTATCCCAACTCAAAAGTGTTCTCAAACACATTATAAACACAGTAAGTACATTGTATTTATTTTTTTGACGTATATTTGTAAAGGCCACTTAATATAAAGTGGGACCAGAATTTAAAATCAAGCGTGACCGCAGATCATGTGCAAAACAGAGTACATTCTTCAAGATTAAAATCAAAGAGTGCAGCACACATGACACAAACGCATCATTGTCTGAAGTGGACGCAAGCGGCTGCTCTACTGTCCAAAGTGCTTCGATACAAGATACAAACAATCCCATTTTACTGCAATCAGCAGTCCAGCTCTTCATCCTGGAGCGTCTGCCTGACAAACACAAATATCTCACACACTTTCCATTCCTGTGCAAAATAATGACTGCGCTTCAGTACCCAAGCTAAATAAAGTCTTCAGGTAAACTGACAGGAAAGTCTTCATGTTTAACTCAAGAGTGCTTTAGAAAAATCGCTGACAGGACTGACAAGAACACAAAATCCAGTCTGAATTTGTGGTTTGTTATTGAAGATTTCAGATGAATAAACCTTTTCGGTAACACTTTACAATAACTACACACTATGAATTATTTATTAAGCATTAGCACATAGTGAATTCATCATCTGTTAAGCATACATTAATACATTAATTAATACATTAATACATACATAATACAAACATCTACATTAATAAACGCTAGTAAGCAGTCTATAACTGCAGATACAAATACATTCTTGACTTACAACCACATTCATAAAGTGCTTAATAATTGTACTTTCATATCTTGTTAATGATTTATTTTTTATGTTATTCAAGCATGATAGGATGCATTAATTAACATACGAAGTAACTCTTATTATATGCCTGAATAATAAGAGTTATAAATGTTAATTTGAACAGTTTACTAATCATTTACTAACTCATTCTGAATGATCTTAAAAACATCGACTACTCTTAAATGCAAATGGTTTGTAAATAATGCGATACTTAATTTAGTCATTAAAAATCAACCAGTCAAAAACGGTGAAAGTACAAGTATGAAGCACATTATAAATGTGGTTATAAGTCAAGAATAGAGCATTTGCAGCTGCAGTGATAAACTGCTTACTAATGTAAGAGGTAATGCTTAACAGATGATGAATTCACTATGCTAATGCTTAATAAATGATTCACAGTGTGTGGTTATTATAAAGGGTTACCAACTTTTCCAATATTATAATACTTTTTGTGTCGTTATTTTGGTGGTCAAAAGGACATCATTGTGCAGATGTCTAATAGACGTCATGGCTTTGACATCGATTGGATTTTGTACTTTTTTTTGATGTCGTTTTGACATCAAGGTGCTCACTTGTGGATAATGATGTTCTGCACTAATGAGTCTTGGTTTTTTGCCAGAATTTGTTCCTGCCACCATCAACCCGAGTATTGTTCTTCACCACGTCCATCACTTCATGTCTAACTCGAGGGTGCTCTACAAAAACTGATTACAGGACTGTCCTGAATGTTAGATGCCAGTTTGACGTGAAGGTAGTTTACCTGCCTGTAGGGATACAAAATCCAGTGTAAATCGGCCAATTGTAATCAAATCTAAACTAAAATAAATTAGTTTATTTAAAGATTATTAACTTTTCTTATAGTATAATACTTTTTACGATTATTTTGGTGGTCAAAAGCGCATCAATGTGGGGACACGGTCTTTGACACCAGACCGATTTGCATTTTTGACATTTATTGATGTCGATTTGAGATCGAGGTGCTCACTTGTGGGTGAAGATGGTCTGGACTAAGAAGTCTTGATCTTTGCTGTGATATTCAGATGGCAGAGCCAGGATTTGTTTCTCCCACCTTCAACCCGAGTATTGTTCCTTCACCACGTCCATCTCTTCATGTTTAACTCAAGGGTGCTCTACAAAAACTGATTACAGGACTGTCCTGAATGTTTGACGTCAGTTTGATGCTTGTTTGTGCATTTTGTGTCGTTCAAAAAGGCATCATTGTGTGGATGTCAAATAGACGTCATGGCTTTGACACCAGACCGATTTGCATTTTTGACGTTTATTGATGTCGATTTGAGATCAAGGTGCTCACTTGTGGGTGAAGATGGTCTGGACTAACAAGTCTTGATTTGTTTGCTGCGACAGTCAGATGGCAGAGCCAGGATTTGTTCCTGCCACCCAACAACGTTGTCGACCACATCCATCACAGTGGCATACAAACAAAGTTGTGACAGTTTTTACCACTCAATCACCCGTGATTCACCCTGCCTTTACATAGTTCCAGTTTGATGTGGGCAATTGGGTTTTGTTGGGGTTAGAGAGGTGTCGTTATTTTGGTGGTCGAAAGGCGTCATTGTGCAGACGTCAGATTACTTTGCATTCTTGATGTCGTTTTGACATCAGGGTGCACACTTGATAGGGGAAGATGGTCTAGACTAAGAAGTCTTGATCTTTGCTGTGATATTCAGATGGCAGAGCCAGGATTTGATCCTGCCACCATCAACCCGAGTATTGTTCTTCACCACGTCCATCTCTTCATGTCTAACTCGATGCTCTACAAAAACTGATTACAGGACTGTCCTGAATGTTTGACGTCAGTTTGATGCTTGTTTGTGCATTTTGTGTCGTTCAAAAAGGCATCATTGTGTGGATGTCAAATTGACGTCATGGCTTTGACACCAGACCGATTTGCAATTTTGACGTTTATTGATGTCGATTTGAGATCAAGGTGCTCACTTGTGGGTGAAGATGGTCTGGACTAACAAGTCTTGATTTGTTTGCTGCGACAGTTAGATGGCAGAGCCAAGATTTGTTCCTGCCACCCAATAACAGTGTTGACCACATCCATCACAGTGGCATACAAACAGAGTTGTGACAACAAGAGTCCTAACTACTCAATCACCCCGTGATTCACCCCGCCTTCAAATACTTCCAGGAAGTTTGATGTGGGCAATTGGGTTTTGTGGGGTTAGAGAGGTGTCGTTATTTTGGTGGTCGAAAGGCGTCATTGTGCAGACGTCAAATTAATTTGCATTCTTGATGTCGTTTGACATCAAGGTGCTCACTTGATAGGGAAGGATGGTCTGGACTAAGAAGTCTTGATCTTTGCTGTGATATTCAGATGGCAGAGCCAGGATTTGTTCCTGCCACCATCAACCGGAGTATTATTCTTCACCACGTCCATCTCTTCATGTTTAACTCGATGGTGCTCCACAAAAACTGATTACAGGACTGTCCTGAATGTTTGACGTCAGTTTGATGCAAGTTTGTGTCGTTCAAAACGGCATCATTGTGTGGATGTCAAATAGACGTCATGGCTTTGACACCAGACCGATTCGCATTTTTGACATTTATTGATGTCGTTTTGACATCAAGGTGCTCACTTGAGGGCGATGATGGTCTGGACCAGGGGTCACCAACCCTGTTCCTGGAGAGCTACCTTCCTGCAGAATTCAGTTCCAACCCTGATCAAACACACCTGAACCAATTAATAGTACCTAAAGCAGCACTTGATAATTACAAACAGGTGTGTTTGGTCAGGGTTGCAACTGAAATCTGCAGGAAGGTAGCTCTCCAGGAACAGGGTTGGTGACCCCTGGTCTGAACCAAAACAAGTCTGGATGTTTGCGGTGATATTCAGATGGCAGAGCCAGGATTTGTTCCTTCACCACGTCCATCACTTCATGTTTAACTCGAGGGTGCTCTACAAAAATCGATTACAGGACTGTCCTGAATGTTTGACGTCAGTTTGATGCAAGTTTGTGCACTTTGTGTCGTTATTTTGGTGGTCAAAAAGGCATCATTCTGTGGATGTCAAATAGACGTTGTGGTTTTGGACACGTTTTCGACATTTACTTCCGGGGACTATTGTGAGGCTTCATGAAAACCGGAGTCAATGGAATTGTGGTCCATCCCATTAAGTTCATCATTTAAGGGTGCTTTATTAAACATCTGACCCATCCAGTAGTCCTCTGGATGATTTATCAAAGTGAGTCAGTTTGGACCTTCAGCAGTGTTTTGAGGTGTTCAGACATCTGCTCTCTGCTGCAGTGTTTGTGTGTGTGCTGAGGAGCGTGGTCTCCTACCCAGTGTCTGGGCGGTTTGGGCAGGACGCTGGGGGATGGCGGCTCGCTGAATTTTGCACCGGCGTACGTCTTCTCTGCATCCGAGGATGTGGAGGCGTTCCCCTGCTTCAGGATGTTTTCTGGGCTCTTCTCTGTGGAGGTGGGCTTGTCCTGTCTTGCGTTTATTTGGTGCTTGCTCTGATGTGTCCGTCTGTTTAGGTTGTCTGTGGTTTGCTCCAGGCGGCTGCAGTTCAGGATAGACGCTCTGCTGATCTGGCTTCCTCGTTCTGCAGTGCAGGACTTCGGCTGCTTTAGACAAACATGAAACACACAGCTCAGGTGATGTCTTGTCTATGATCGTTTTTAATTTACTTTGTGATCTGAAACTTTCAAAAAGTGTCAGCGATTATTTCTTTCATGAGTGCTGTCAAAGCGTTGCTGCTAGAGGGATACAGCTGCGGTAGAAATTTAACGAGAATTATTTATTAAATGATTCAATAGTTGAATTTTATTAACGTCTACCCCTTACGCAACCCTAACCCCAACCCCCACAGTAATGTAAAAACAGTAATTATAAAGAGTATTAGTCATTATATTTATTCAATTATCAATTAATTGTATTTTATTAATGCTTACCCCCACCCCAACCCTCACAGTATTGTATAAATATTAATTATTGTTGTAGATTTTCACAAAAATGATGCTATATTGCTTTGAGCATCTGCAGCTGTACCCTATCTAGACTTTACCGTGCCTTCAAGGCAAGTCATTTCACTTAGTGGCAATCTTTAAAGGTGCAGTGTGCAAGTTTGACCCCCCAGTGGTTGAACTAGGTATTGCACTCCTGGATCAAAACAAACGCAAGCGCAGGTTGCCAGATTGAGAACAGGAGAGGGTAATTTAAACTGTGCTCTTAATAAAAGCAATAGCACCACATAGAAGGAATATTTTCAATTTAAAAGGAGTTTTTGTATCTACAACTGATCATGTTAAAGAGGTTCTCTTTAACATGATATCTATGAGGCTCTCTCTGCGGACCGCGAGATACGTCCGGGGAGGTATGTATTCAATCGTTTTTTGTTTTCGCGGATCTGCAAGAGGCCGCTGTGCGCACTTTTTCGCGTCTCGGGCGCCTGTCGGGAGCGCGCCGTTCTCGCGCGAAAAGCCGCCGGATCCACTGACCCGGCCGCCCTCCTCTTCCTCCTCTAAACCCGAGCGACAGTTTGCAAAAGCCGTCCAGAAAAACAAGAAAAAAAAAGCAAAAGCCCTCGTCTTCGATTTCGACCACGTTTTCGGATCCCGCTGCACTCTCGCCCTTATTTTTCGGATTCCGTTTTTCATCTTACCTGATTTCTGGAACCGCTGTTCCCCGGACTCGATCCTGGTCGTCGTACCCGCGGCCGGCTCCTTTTCCTCCTCCGGGGCCTCCGCTCCGCCGACGCAACGATGTGAGCTAAGCGGACTAACTGGTTGCATCGGGAAAGCCCTCCACTCGGAGGCGAGCTGTTGGCCGGCAGGAGGAGTGGCGCCACACCGCCCCGCAGCGTTCGCTCGAAAAAAACTAAACGCGTCCTTACATACCTCCGGCCATGTGAATCACCGTCTCCAGAAACGTCCGTGGGGCTACGCTTCCAGAATGAGCTTGGGTTGCAATTTTCAGGACCTAATGTTTCATGTAATGTCTACACAAACGTGGTAAATCATAAGAAACGTTTAAATTTATTACAGCATATCATAAAACATGCAATAGTTTCACTTTCTTGTTATATCTATGTAAATTAGATGATGTTTACGCAGCACTAATAATGTGAGAGCAAGTTTTGGCCAAGAAAAGAAAAGAAGTTAAAAACAACTAACCTCCATTCCAATATACAGATATATGTCAAACTAATTTTAGATATTAAGATCTTAACAGTTTGTTAAACTAGTGATAGTTTACTAGACTACTTCTATGGCAAAGCTGCAATCACACTGCACTTTTCACTCCATAGACTTCCATTCATAGTCATGCGAATGCAGCAGAACATAAACGCAAGCACGTGTTTTGCATTTCACTGCATTCGAAAGTTCAAGCTTGGTGAATTCTTACCTGCGAAATCACATCAGGTGATTAAGTAAGACCAATAGAAGACTATTTATAATTAGAAATTTAATATATGGTGCAATCGCTCACTTTTATTAATGTCTAATCATATATTGTTTAACCCCGCCACTTTTCACAGCGCCGTACGACAGAATTTTGCAAGCACAAACTCTAGTGTGACCGCAGCTTAAGTAGCTTTAGACATAAATGTCTGTTAAATGACTAAATGTAAATGTAATTTCCATGACTTTTCCAAAACCTTGTGGGTTTTTCTGTTTTTACAAAACTTTTCCAGACCTGGAAAATGCCATGTGAAAACTCCATGACTTGCCAGGTTTACCACGACCGTATGAACCCAGATATGATGGTATTTCTATGCTTTAGAAGAGTCAAAAGCGTACATACAGCACCTTTAAAGTGCCTCTCTATCTCTTTAAAGGGTGAACATCAAATTCTCCAAAACTGTTTGCCGTGATTACGATTAAATTTAGTTAGTTGTTGTGTCACCATAGCAACAATAAAATAAACACAACAGATAAATTCAAGTATTTACAATAGTGTGGGTTGAAAACACTGTTAATTGTTTTAAATTACTAGCTTTCCCTACTGAAAAAACAGCTTAAACCAGCCTAGGCTGGTTGGCTGGTTTTAGAGGGGTTTTGGCCACTTCGGTCTTAGCTGGTCAGACTGGGAGATGACCAGCTAAAACCAGCTTGACCAGCCTAGCCAGGATGGGAGCCCAGCCAAAACCAGCTATGTCCAGCTTAAACCAGTCTGGTCAAGCTGGTTTTAGTTGGATTTAGCTGGTAATTTTCCAGCCAGACCAGCTAAAACCAGCCTGGAAATGGCCAAAACCCCTCTAAAACCAGGCTGGTCGACCAGCTAAAACCAGCCAACCAGCCTAGGTTGGTGTAAGCTGGATTTTTCAGCAGGGAAAGCTAGTAATTTAGAACAATTAAAAGTGTAAATTAAAAATAAAAATTTTTTTACTAATTTTTTTATGTGGGTACAACTGACTAAGCTAAATCTTCAAAGTAGTTCACCTGATAAATGAATTTCTGAAGTCATCATTTACTCATCCTTTACTCGTTTCAAACATTTATGAGTTTCTTCCCTTCATTAAACAACACACGTAGATAATTTAAAGAAATATGGAAACCTGTAACCATTGACTTCTATGATATTTACTTACTATGTACGTCAGTGGTTACAGGTATTTAGCGTTCCTCAGCATATTTTGTGTTCAATGGAAGTAAATTGAGGTAAACAGTGGGTACATCTTCATTTTTTGAGGGGTGAACTAACCCCTTAACCCAATATGTGAGACACCTCCGCCCCTTGCATAAAGCCCTTTACCTGTTTATTGGGTGCTGGTTTGGACTGAGCAGGTTTGAGCTCTTCATTAGCGCTGCCTCTGTGGATGTTTGCTGATGTGTTGTTGGCTTTGCTGTGAACGTTTCGTCCTCTTTTCTTCAAGAGCACTTGCTTTGATCTGTTAATCTTCACTGCTTTATTGTCCACGCTTGATTCGACACGACGACCAAAAGCATCGCCCAACATGATATCAAGCAAGCTGTATAGATGTCTGGTGTTTGTATCGCGAACGCGTCCAGACGCACTCAAATAGATGGCGATATTGATCTTTGAAATTCTCGATCGATTAGGTCCACATGGAGATAACGTTCACAATCAAATGTTTTGATCTGTGTCTTCGCTGATACTCATGAATATCTATTTATAAAGTGCTTCAGAGTTTAAGCATAGCCGTCTTTTTCTTCATCTTTTTCCTAAATGGCTGTGCGCTGCAGCAGACTGCGCATGCGCCGACCGTTACATCATATTTGTTTGCAAACATTTGAGGACGTTAAATACTGAAAATAGAGCGCTTCGTTATTAATAACATTGAATGATATGTTTAAAAACGGCCACATGTGTTATAGAGGTTTTCAATGTTTTAAGGTCAACATTTTTGAACGTATCCTTGTGTTGGTACCAGGTTGGCACACTATAATTAGAAGACAAGTTAGACAACAGAAACACACGTAAAACATGTGCTGGAAATGTATATATGTATATGTATGTATATATATATATATATATATATATATATATATATATATATATATATATATATATATATATATATATATATATATATATATATATATATATATATATATATATATATATATATATATATATATATATATATATATATATATATATATATATATATATATATATATATATATATATATATATATATATATATATATATATATATATATATATATATATATATATATACACACACACATACACACATAAATATATATATATATATATATATATATATATATACATATATTTATATACATACATATATTTACACACACACACACACGCACGCACGCACGCACACACACACACACACACACAAAAACACACGATATATCATTATGACAATATTATTCTGTTTTCATTGTTAGGGTAATGCTTTATGTTAGTTAATAATATTATTTTAAACATGATATATCTATATTTTATATACATGTAGATTTACATTTATATAATAGCATATTTTTACATTAATAGCCTATATGCAATCTTTATCTCAACAGACAACAAATTTACTTAATAACAAGTACAAAATTATCAAACATATTGCTTTAAACGTTCAATAATCTGTACAGCTCCGGGGTCAGGAAGTGCTCAGAAGATAATATCCTACATTATTAATTTACATGCGTTTCTAAAAGAAAGATGAAGCTTATTATATAGATATATTAGATAAGATTATATAGGTGATTGGTAAATGCAGAGCTCCTCTATATATAACACAATAAAAATAAAAAAGGGGGAGAAACACCAGCAAGTTTTTAAAGAGATCAAACCTCAGCAAATAAAAGGGAAATATTGCAACAAATATTGTAAAACATTACTGTTTCCATAAAACGAAACTAAATAACGTAATTATTATTGTTATTATTATCATTATTATTGTGTGGGTGGGGGGCAACTTAATATTGTAATGCGTTACTTTCTAAGCTAACGTTTCCCAACACTGATTTATTTTATTTGCATTATTAAAAAATAAAAAGAGACATGCTACTGCTGCTGCTGGACGTGTCTGTACGCACAGCGCCTCCTGCTGGCCGCCAGTCGCCACTGCTGAGGTTTTCAGCGAGTAACGCACTGAACCGCGGGACAACGTGCAGAAATACTGTTTACCGGAGAGAAGCGGACGCCTCATGGAGCTCATCTCATAAACCCGAGTCGAAGAGCAGCTTTTCACAGCGCCAAGTTCTTAATAAAGTTGTGACGCGCTCGTTTGGACTGGGCCCAGGCAGCGGGTCGCCGTAGATCCTCCAGCCGCCCGACAAGGCTCGAGCCCCCGGCAGCCGACCGCGGACTTCCCGCTCGGGAATCGGCGGGAGAATGTCGCAAACCGGAGCGCCTCCCCGCTGGAGGAACTGTCCCAGGAGAGGACAACCTGTGGCCGGTGAGCATCTCTGGCTGAGTTGTCAACAAAGCTGGATCTGCTAATGCACACACAGTCTCTCTCTCTCAATTCAAACTTGCTTTATTGACACATGTACCGCCACTGTTTACACCAACTGCAGCATACGAACACACACCACACAGTGATGGCCTCTCTCATTGATATAATGTATGAGATTGATAGTAACGTGCTGGTTTTGGAGAGCATAACTCAAGCCTTTAGCTGTGTGCCTGCAGCTTCGTGAACCCGGATTAAAACTCCTAATGCCTTCAGTCTAACAGTAGCTAATGTAGCATTAGCATGTGCTTATTCATAGCACTGGCTGAAAAGCGCTAGCATGGCGCTGCGTCATACGCCAAAAACAACCTAGCGTTAGCTGAATTAATTGTGTTTTAATTGAGGAACATACTCGACACGCCAAACTTGTGTGTTTTGTCTGGTTTTGAATTGAGTGGCTAGTCGGTTTAGCTCGATTCACGCAGGTCAACAGCAGTACGTCACTGTGAGGGCGGAGGGAGGGTGTGTGTGGAATCTACTATGATGTGGGCTTTGCTCATGAATATTAAGTTTGCGTTCGGCCTCCTGATTCGCTGAGATGTGACGATCTAACGAATCATACTATGGCGAAGAGATAGATGATCAATATTCATGAGAAGACGTGACCTTTTACGCGATGGCGTTATTAATATTAACGAGATTAGACTTGATTTCGCCAGTTTAACACTTCAAAAACACGTACCTCTTTTAGATTATCTTTCTTAGTCATACAAGGATGTTTTATTTGGTTTTTATCATGTTGATAAATAAAAATAAATATTTTCCAATACAGAATTGGATAAGCTAAATTGTCTGTAGTGTATGTGTGTGAATGAGTGTGTATGGATGTTTCCCAAAGATAGGTTGCAGCTGAAAGGGCATCCACTGCATAAAACATATGCTGGATAAGTTGACAGTTTATTCCCCTGTGGCGAACCCAGATTAATAAAGGGACTAATCCGAAAGAAAATGAATGAATTTTCTAATACATCTATTTATTTTGCTTGCAAAATTTGTTTTACACAAATAAAAACTTTTTGTCTGTAAAGCCCCTTTTCAAATTTTTGTAAAGATTTAAAATATTATTTGCATACAATCTCTACCTTCAGCAATGTTAAAGCTTTAAAATCAATAACACCGTGTGGATCTTACAGTATTGTCTCTTTCCTATAATACACAGTGGTCTGTATTGTATGTGACCTTTTAATCATCACTGTGACCTTGCTTTAAGATAGATTTAAAGTGATTTTTGTAATTCATATCCCCCCTGGCGTAATCTTTTGTTTCTCTCTTTGTTTTGTTCCGTTGCTGTTGTAGAAGTTCTTTAAAACTTATAAAAGTGATTTTTGCATAACAGCTCCCTTTTAAGACAGAAAGATATACCCCTACATAATTCATAATACATAAAGTTTTAAGCCCCGGTCAGATTACACGATTTTTTTTGTCGGTTACGAAAGTCACTATTACAGATTATGCAAATTTTTTTTTTCTTTGATAGAATCGTGACTTTTTCCCAGAGTTGGGTTGCAGCTGGAAGGGCATCCGCTGTGTAAAAACTTGTTGGATAAGTTGGCGGTTCATTCTGCTGTGGCAACCCCAGATTAATAAAGGGACTAAGCCGACAAGAAAATGAATGAATGAGAATCGTGACTTGTTGTGGGTAGCTAATGTGCCAGACTACACGTTCCTTCACGATCAGTCATCCTGTGACGTTTACGACGAGCGTAATTTCAGTGCAGTCACAAATGTTGCCAATTGCTATAACAATACAGTTTTAATCTCATTTTCAATATGTTTGTTTATTTAAATCTTATTTTTATCTTAATAAGCACTGATGCTTGCAGACAACTAATAACTAGGTTACATTATTTAAAGGCGCTCATTAGGATAGGATCAAACTTATAATTCCTTTTTAACAGGGGCGTAGCCATTGGTGTGTCGGTGCCTGAAATAGATGCATATATATATATATATATGCATATATATATATATATATATATATATATATATATATATATATATATATATATGTATATATATATATATATATATATATATATATATATGTGTTTGTGTGTTTATATATATATATATATATATATATATATATATATATATATATATATATATATATATATATATATATATAAATATTTATATAACTATATATGTGTGTGTGTATGTGTGTGTTTATTTATATATATATATATATATATATATATATATATATGTGTCTGTGTGTGTGTGTGTGTGTGTGTGTGTGTGTGTGTGTGTGTGTGTGTGTGTTTATATATATATATATATATATATATATGTGTGTGTGTGTGTGTGTGTGTGTGTGTGTGTGTGCGTTTATATATATATATATGTGTCTGTGTGTGTGTGTGTTTATATATATATATATATATATATATATATATATATATATATATATATATATATATATATATATATGTGTGTGTGTGTGTGTGTGTGTGTGTGTGTGTGTGTGTGTGTGTGTGTTTATATATATGTGTGTGTGTTTATAACCTATTCCGGTTAAATTAATGATTATGAGAGTGTGTTAGGGGAAAAGAAAACATTTTAATAATTTGTTAATAAAATATTGTAGCATTATTCTCAGTCAGTGGCTGAAAATATGAAGATTGTCGACGCTGCAGACATTTCTTTTCGTCAAGTAGCCAGTTGATTGCTGCGACGCGCTCTTTCAGGGAGGCTGCATGAGAGAAAGCTCATCTCGTTTATTTTTTTTATTTTACAATCGCGCAACTTTGATGTTATTGTGTGTACATATATTTCCATTGTTATATAGACAAGGTTCTAGTATTGCATAAGTGTGGGCATGATTTTACTGTGGTAAAGTGGAGCATTTCTTGGCAAGTTAATGATTTATTATTTAGTAAGTAAATTTCATCATTATAAAATACATTTAAAGAATATTTTAACACCTAATTATTCAGGATTATTTATTGCACCAAAAGTCATGTCAAAGGAACATTAAATGTTCATAAACTTTTAAACTGTTTCATTTGTGTGTAAACGCCTGATGCAAAAATCTTATTTAGGCCTGCTAAATGCATCATGTAATTATGAAAAACTGGTCAGTAATTGAGTGTTTGAGTGTTAGTAAACCATATTTCTGAGTTGTTAAAGGTCTTTAACATGAACATCTCTGATGCTTTTTCTCCACAGGTAAATTTCTACCCATGAAAACCATGCTTGGGCCGCGCTATGATGATAAAGTCCCTGAGGAGAACCGGTTTCATCCCAGCATGCTGTCCAACTATCTGAAAAGCTTAAAGGTGAGTGGACGTTCCACAGATATCATATTAATGGATAATTCACCCTGCTGTTTATTTACTCACCCTTAGGCCATCCTAGCTGTAGGTTACTTAATTTTGTGTGTGTGTGTGAAGTTTCTGCTCAAAATAGCACACAGATAATGTTTCGACTCTCTGAAACTGACCCTTTTAGGCTTTGATCCTAATTGTGGTGTTTTGGTGACTGTCGCTTTAAATTCAAATGAGATTGTGCTCTTTTAAAAAAAAGGCGGAGCTACAAATGCATGTGTGTCAGCATAGTGGCAGATTAAAAACAGGACTAATGTTATCCGTGTGAAAATGTTTAATGACAATATCTTCAGCAGTGCAATACTCTAATGGACAGACGGCTGCTTCTCACTCAGGGCTGCTGTTTATGCTAATGAGGGAGAGATGTTCACTAGTGGGCGGGGCTTTCCCCATCTGATGACATGTACAAAGGGAGAATGTCAATCAAAGTGCTGATCTGTCCACAGGTGAAGATGGGTTTACTGGTGGACCTGACCAACACCACCCGCTTCTATGATCGAGCAGACATCGAAAAAGAAGGAATAAAATACGTGAAACTTTCCTGCAAAGGGTACGTGACTCTCAGAATCTGAAAGAGTTTTTTTTTGGACAAGCACAACATCTAAGATCTGTTCATTCAAATGTCCTAAACCACTAGAACAGTGTTATGTATTTTCTCAATGGATTAATAAATGTGCATCAGACGCAGTGTGCACGGTTTGTCTGCAGTGTTCATAAATGTTTGTTTGTTTCTACAGTCATGGCGAATGCCCGACGGCAGAGACCACAGAGATGTTCATCAGGCTGTGTGAGCACTTCATAGAGAAGACGCCCACAGAGCTCATCGGTAAGTGTTCACGCTCCTGCTGGAGCTTCTGTTGCCTTTAGAGGGCTCCTATTAAGCCTTTTTAAAACTCCTTGTAGATTTTCATAAAACAGTGATGACGTATTTATTGGTCACCAGCCTCTTCATTTCTTGAATGTTTTAAAAAAATGAATCTACACTAAAAGAAAATCTCTTAAGATATGCTTTTTAACAATTTGCACAAACAAACTTCAGTATTTTAAATTGTAAATGTAAGTAAATCCGATTGTGAATTGGATATGGGTCACAATTAAAAGAACGTGTAAACGGACAGGCAAACAAATCAGATGTAGCACCGGTGCTCCTAACTTTAAAAATGTAGGCGCATCAGCCAAAATTTAGTCGCACCCACCAATTATGAGCACCGTTACTACAAGTGTTATACAAACATATTTATTGCATTTGAAATTAACACTCAACAAACTATCAAGCAAATATATATATATATATATATATATGCAAGCTTAAGGAAAATATGTCTCAACGAAATCCCGTTATCACAAGAAAATACATTTTTATAACATAACTGAGTGACCAAAAGACACACGGAGCGCTCACCGGCCCGGCACGCACTGCTTGACATGAATGAATCTGTTAACAGTATAACTGTGCTGTTCTCACGGGTGCTGTCTGATATTGCACCGATGCTTTTGACATGTACTGTACTTTATTATATGCATACGTCATGTTAATAGCAATACCGTTTTTTCATGAGTAGCGATGTTAGTTTAGTCAGTGTAAGCCCGTTTGCGAGGGTGCACGTGGTGTTAAATTTGACATATAGCTGCCACTTGCACGGCGGACAGCATCTGGCGATTATATGAAGGATTAAACAGAAGCTCTCGTGCTGAATGTGGCAAACAGTTACCTAAAAATTCCATCCCACAGACTTTTCATAGCGGACTTGAAGCCAGTGGAAGTCTTTTATCCACTCTTGGAAAAGTGTAGATGGTGGATTAACATTCAGCACATGGTCACTAGTAAAATGTGTCATTACTTGTAACTTTAGATGGTTTCTAAAACTAAATCTGTCAGTGTTATCTTCATTCTCATCTTCAGCGCTTTACAGTTTCGCGGTAGAAGCTCTCTCTGTCATGCCTAGCCAGAAGGCATTGACTGAGTGATTGACAGCTAATATTTCAGTGCTAGAGCAGTGGTGGGCCAATAAGAAGAGCGCGAAGGCGGGGCAAGCATTACGGACTTGGCTTTGTTTACTGCAGCAAGTCGACATGACAACTGTTTTAAACCATTCCTGAGCTCTACGTTTCAAGTGCAGACAAAGAGCTTAGAGATGCATTCTGCATGAATGTCTCCCGAATCCACGCATGTGGTGAACATTTTGCCTTAAAAACTGGTCGCACACAACAATTTTAAGCTTTTGCAGAAATGCTCCTAAATATATTTTGAGGTGGCGTAGATAAAATTTCGGGCGCAAATGCGACCAAAATGGTCGCAATTTCGAGCCCTGAATCAGAATTAGGCGTCAAGACCTGACAGTGTAAACATGACCTTAGTTTTTGGAGAACAAAAGTATCATGGATAGAGTCAAAATGTCAATGATCAAATCACAGCGAGTAATCCACGTACAAAGAAGGAACCCCTGCTCTTTGACTGCATGTTTAGTCATCAGAAGAGTGTGTATGTTCTGTACACACACACGTGACATTTTTGTAATACTTTGTATACGAATGTCCCACATGCACATTAAAGGGACAGTTCACCTAAAAATGAAAATCTCCTGTTAATTTACTCAGCCACAGCTCATTCCTAATGTAGGTGAGTTCATTTCTTCAGTAGATTTCTGTGGTGCTTCATATAACAGCAGTGAATGCTCACAGGTTTTTTAGATTAAACGCATATTTACATTTTTGGGTGAACTGTCCCTTTAATTTTTTTGCAGTAATGAGTTTATCCACAAGGTGGCAGCTGCGCTTTAGGGCTTTCCCAAGGTAGTTTAAGAAAAACAGCATTAAAGGAGCAGACCAGAATGTGTGTGGATGCCTACACCAACAGCTAGAGAGTCACAAAGATTGCATATGAGTATTTTTATACGAGATGAGACACGTATAACTTTATCATTTTTATTTAATTGTGTACATTTTTGGGTGGCTTAGTGGTTAGCACTGTGTCCTCACAGCAAGAAGGTCACTGGTTTGAGTCCCGGCTGGACCAGTTAGCATTTCTGTGTGGAGTTTGCATGTTCTCCCATGTTTGCATGTTCTACAATTTCTCTTCAAATCCAGCAAACAGCAACCGTTTAACTGTTTGAGGAATATAAGCCTCCTGAGTGGTGATGATCAGTCATAATAAGCAGATGAACGAGGATCTCGGCGACAGATGCAGACTTTGAGTCATTGACACACAGCAGTGACCTCTGAATAATTCTTAGCACTGTTTTATTTGCAGCAAAGGGCCGCGATGTGAGTGTTTGCATGTGAAAGTCAGAGTCTGACCTCTGCAGGTGTTCGTTTCTGACTCAAATCACACCCGCTCTGCCAATCACAAACTTCGCCATTTAAACTTCATGAAAATGATTCATTAGAGGCTTTATTTTGAGAAAAGTGAGATTCTGATGATTTAATGAGGCGCTATTATGCAGAGATCACTTTAATACAGGGTTTAAACACAGTTGTGTGATACATTTATACTTATTAATTCTGTATTTCATAATCAGACTTGATGAAATCAGTCAGCAGACACACTTTGATTGACATTCTCTCTTTGTACGTGTCATCAGAGGGGGAAAGCCCCGCCCACTCATTAGCATAGGACCTTAGTCCTGTTTTTGAATCTGCCAATATGCTGACACACAGGCAATTGTAGCTCCGCCCTCTTCTGAAAATAGCACAGTCTAATTTGAATTTAAAGTGACAGTCACCAAAACACAAACCAATTAGGATCAAAGCCTAAACGGGTCCGTTTCAGAGAGTTCTAAAGCATTATTTTTGTTTCATTTTGTGCTGAAACTTCACATAAACATCAAAGATTTATTTCACATCTTTTCTGACTTCAGCTATATTAGTTTGGTATGATAATATTACAGATTGTCAGTAGTGTGATCGTCCTGTTGGAGGCGCTCTTGAGTCGCTAACACAGATCTGCCGAATGACATAAAAGCTGAGGACGGAGGATGTGAGGATGTCACTGTTATCGCCACGGCAACAGTGTGATTGACACTGCAGGGATGATGAGCTCCAGGAGGAGAGAGAGAGAGGAACACACACAGAGACTAGATTACTGTTATTGGTCCTCTATGATTATTAATCAGGCAAATTAGCTGCACGGTGCTCTGCATGAACTACATTCATGCTGATCTCTGTATCTGTCCATTATTTATAAGCGTGACCCTAGACCAGCAAAACCAGTTATGCTGCATGGGCATGCATTTGTGAGAGGCTTTGACTTGTTTCTAGTCCAAATATGAGGGTTCAAAAAAGCTAAATAGGGAGAAAATCACCTGCAAAATTATACAAATTCAGTTTTTTAGCCATGTATTGTTCTAATCAATCGAGTTTTGATCCATTTTTTGATCTATTTACACTTTATTGGCATAATATTTTGACATTTTTCTCTCGTAATACTTCGACTCTATTCTCGTATTATTTCCACTCTATTGGCGTAATATTTTGATGTGATTCTCTGATTATTTCGACTTTATCCTTGTAATATTTCAACTTTATTCTTGTATTATTTCCACTTTATTGGTGTAATATTTCGACTTTATTCTATTTAAACTAAATTCTCGCAATATTTAAACTTTGTTGTTGTAAAATTTTAACTTTATTCTCGCAATATTTCGACTTTGTTGTAATATTTAGATTTTATTCTCACAATATTTTGACTTTATTCTCGTAATATTTCAACTTTATTCTCGTATTATTTCCACTTTACTGGCGTAATATTTTGATGTTATTCTCGTAATATTTTGAATTTATTCTCGTAATATTTCGACATTATTCTCATAATAATTAAACTTAATTCCCGCAATATTTCAGCTTTATTGTTGTAATATTTTGACTTTATTCTCGCAATATTTCGACTTTATTCTCATAATATTTAAACTTCATTGGGGTTAACATTTCAACATTATTATCATATTGTTTAAACTCAATTCTTGCAATATTTCAACTTTATTGCTGTAATACTTATTCTCGTAAAATTTCCTCTTTATTGGCGTAATACTTTGAGTTTGTTCTCGTAATATTTCGACTTTATTCTCGCAATATTTCCACTTTATTCTCTTAATATGTAGACTTTATTCTCATTATATTTAAACTCAATTCTCGCAATGTTTTGACTTTATTCTCATAATATTTCGACTTTATTTTCGCAATATTTCGACTTTATTCTCGTAATATTTCGACTTTATTTTCGCAATATTTCGACTTTATTTTCGCAATATTTTGACTTTATTCTCGTAATATTTCGACTTTATTTTCGCAATATTTTGACTTTATTCTCATAATATTTCGACTTTATTTTGGCAGTAATTCGACTTTATTCTCGTAATATTTAGACTTTATTTTCGCAGTAATTCGACTTTATTCTTGTAATATTTCAACTTTATTTTCGCAATATTTCCACTTTATTCTCGCAATATTTCCACTTTAGTCTCATAATATTTAGACAATATTTTTGCAATATTTCGACTTTATTCTCAGAAAAATACAAAATATCTTCATGGATCATGATCTTTACTTGATATTCTAATGATTTATAGCATCAAAGAAAAATCTATCATATTAACCCATACATACTGCAAAAATGCTCTTCTTATTGTTTCTAGTACAGATATCTAAAAAAATCTTAAACCAAAAAGCATTTTAGACACGCAAAGAATTTTGGTTTGTTTTCAGAAATAATACAACAAATTTCCCGCTAACATTTAAGCGCTGTTGAGCGCGTTCTTATAGAGCGCTGATTTGCCATTGTGTTCATGGGCTCAACAGAAATGACTGATAGGCTGTGAAGGTTATCAGTTC